GTGGTTACTGCGACTTCGTGTAAAACAGTATTTTCAATAATACTTGTATCTTTATCTAAATCTTCATTATATTTTACGTACTTAATGTATACAGCCGGAGAGTTAAATTAAATTTGTTAAAATATTACAAATTCATAATAATAGAATAATTCGAGGCAATTAGTAGCGAATTTGAAAAATTGTTACTCTTTTCCATTTTAGATGAAATTTTATCGGCGCCCATGTAGTCATGACTTAGTATGCGCGCAACAGAGAAGTAGAAGGGATGAGCATTGGAATTTTTATGGAAGAAAAAAAAAAGGAAAAACTTCGTGTCTGCGACCAATCGAAAGGGCGGTTGGTGAACGCGAAGAATAGACATACCGAAGCGAATAATCGACATAACTTGGAAAAAAATTATATCATTTCAGTTGTTCGATCTTTTAAAAAATGTTGCTCTATGGACTCACGAAATTATCAAGTTTCCCTGAATTTCGAGAAAGGAATAGATATGGCCTTTTACATTCCTGATGATAAATTTCTTTTTTGGTAATTTTTAATGTATAAATACTTGCGTTAATTCATTAAAATTTTAGTGAAACTTTACTTATTAAAAGATTTTTAATCTCTTGAAGTTATAAATAGATTAATTCTTTTCGTAAAAATAAAATATACAAATTTAAGGGTGCTGTGATTAAATTAGTGAAGTGCTTCCTAGAACTTTTTATACAGATGAATATCTCCGAATGATTTTTGATTTATAATTATATGTATAAGGCAGAAAAGTAGTATCAAAGACATTGAGTGTTATCGACTAACATTCATTGATGTTAAATAAGACTCATTGATACATATTTCATATTATATGTCCAATCAGCGAACAAGGTACAAAACAAATCTGATTTATACGCTTCATCTGACAATTCTTTCTTGATAAAATGATTTTTGATTCATATTTTCACAGATGAATAATTCAGTGTGAAGTTTCTGGTGTACGTAGGTGGAGAGTGTAATGCTATGGTTTATGATAAGATTATCTTATCGCAAACAAAATCAGTTGACCTATCGGATTGTCCTAAGTAAAATTTATTCTTTATAACGAATGTTATAGTTACAAATAACGTTCAGGGAAAATAATAATAAAAAATCGAAAAATAGTATCTTATAATTGCAGTTATCTTTGCGTTAATTTTAATTACAGATGTAATTGTTTACTTCAGTTATACGCTATTTCAGCTGTTCTTTCAAAGTGGAGTTTGATTTTCAATTAATTAGATATATACAATTTTAATATTGCAATAGACCTCTTTGAAATCATTAACATATAAATTTACATATATAATTAAGACCATTACAGTATACCACTACATTACAGCAACGTTGTAAAACATTATTATCTTCAATCTTCTGAACCTTCTTATTAATAGCTGTCACCAGACCAATTATTCAATACTACAGCCAATTAAGCTGTCAACTCAAAATTACAAGTTACATGATGTAAAAGACAATTTTGCAGAAAACAATTGGCTTCTTTAATAAGTGAATACTAATTGTAAGTAACACTTTTAATTAGATGAACATATATCCAATACAATAAGTTCATTTAAAGTTTCATTTTAGGAAAGCTTCAGGAGATTTTGCGAAGTTTAAAAAAGCATAATCTTAATTAGGATCTTCTCAAAACAATCAAAGAATCATCTATTTAAATAAAACGACTAGCATGGAAGTTATTCTAAGAATCATTTCAAGAATTCCTCTAAGCTGTTTCACTTTGCGTGCTTATGAGCAAGAAACGTTTTACTGCGATGTTTAAGTACAGAAGGAAATTCAATAGCATTCAATGAATTTTTCTGCGTTGCAGAAAATCATTTTTTTTTTGCAAAGATATTTTGCTCTTAATCAACAGGAAATCTTCTATTTTTATTTTGAAATCTTCATAGAAGTATTCTAAGAAGGATGCGATGAGTATAAAAATTTGTTACTATCATGTTATTTCAGTATGAAGATTTTTCAATTAGAAAAATTAAAGATTTGACGACAAATGATATTTGAAAAAGTTGTAAGCAGACAAAGAGGAAAAATATTGGCAAGTTAGTGCGCACAGACGATAAAATTACAATTTGCGGTGCAATCAATGTAAAAACCGGTTGTCGGCTGAAGCATAATGTTTTTCAAATCAATTCGTATTCGATGGGAAATACACCTGTATGCCGACTTCTCCCTTTCACGCTCTAGCCTCTCAGACTCAGTGTTAACTCGTATAAATGCACGTATGCTATTTATAGATAGCGTAAGGCTGATTACTTCTTTCATAGATACCTGCTGTCCGAGTTCTTAAAGTTTTCACTATAAACGTAGAATGAGAAAACAATATGACAAGAGGAAAATAAGTGGTGCAAATAAGGAAAAGAAAGAAAAGTCTGTCTTTATTCTGTAATTCATTATTATCAATTTTGAAGATTTGATATTACACTACTTAAAGTTAGTCAAATTACAAACATTTAAATAATTTCAATCTTTTTAATATATATTGAGTGGTATAGCTATATTAATCTAAATATTTGGATTTATTATATTTAATGGATTTATTATATTCAATTGTATGGACACAAACACCCTTTATGAGATTATCAGCAGAATGGATTAATAGCTGAACATTATCAAAAGAACATTATTATTTGCAACAATTTTGAAAAAAAAAAAATAAAGCAACATAAGCGAATCAAGCGAGGAAAATGATCATCCATACTTTCCAGCGTAATAATTTCGTTTTGCTTTTCGTATTGCAATTTGCAAAGAATTGGATGTGGAATTATAATGCGCAGAATACATGCAATTACTATTCGTTTTTTTTTTTTTTTAAATACACCAAAATGGACTAGAACGTAACAGAAACAGATAAAGTGTTATGGTTCTTAATGTTGTACTGAATGACTGTACATTTCAGTCATGCCCGTTAATGTTTTTCCACGAACGAAAACCTGTTGTAAATTACATCTCTGCGTCACAGCCTTCTTTTGTATTCGTCCTTCAAAGGAGTTTGTCCGCATGAGGATCACCGGAGTATCGCACAAGATCTTCGTATCCTGGAGGTGTTTCATACTTCTCATTACCACGCATCCTGAATAATTTACATTTTATTACAACTTCTATCAATTTATTTACTAGACCACTGGGTCACGGTGATCTGGAAATTTTTGGATCTATCTTGACTTGATCTAAAAGTGAAGAAGCCTAAAAGGTTTGAAAGTTTAATATTAAAAATCTTGTATATAAAAGATTAACTCTTTATCTTTAATTTAAGGTAAATCTCTTTTTCTTCTTCAAAGAGAATCGAACAGAGAAATTTTAAAAGAAGAAACATGCTCTGTCGAATTAATTCACGGAAACAAATGGTCAACTAATGCCTCTTTAATCGTAAATATTCAAAAACTTCAAAACGATTATTTTCGAAGGATGCCAAAATTTCAGCAGGAGTCATAGAGGTTGCACTCTTCAATGAGTCCTAAGCCTCTTCGTGAACGAAGATCAGGCCTTATTCCAGCACGCGACTGAATTGCGGTATGCCGCGAATGCAAACGACTATTTTTTACCTTGTCATCGTTTCAAGCGTGTTACACGCACGCGGCACAATCAATTCACCCAGCTCGTTGTGTTATCAACTAGTCGCTACGCGATCTGTTTGCATCCTGAGAACTGGCGTGATTCAATGCACATAGTTATGACCGCTCGATGTTTGCAGTTTTTTTAGTTGCTACTATATGCTAACTACTGACTCATTAATTCTTAAGACAGATTTTATCGGATAGACTAATAGCTGCTATAATTTTTATTGATTATTTTTCGTATATTGAATTGGCATTAATTTAAAGAGCATGGAAATGATCTCTTTAAATTTTCAAAAAACTGCAAATACTAATTTCTCTTGAAATATCTTTTTCTTGATGATACCAGAAACTTATCGTTGTAATAATTCAATCGACATTAAAATTTCCAACGAGAAGATAATCCAAATATTTACTTAGGTCATTAACGTATGAAATATTTATCTGAAGCTAGTCTTCTGCCTACAATATCTTCAGGCACTTGTATGTATGAGTAAAATACGTTTCTGTTTGCAATAGATTGGAGATCTATATTATTTTATTTTTAAAAAGTACTTGTAGCAAATTAATATGATCATTTTCCTTCGGATATTTAAAGAAATTATTATTTTTATTTTATTTTCTTGAAATTATTATTTTCTTTTTCGAAATTATTTATTATTTCTTTTTTGAAATTATTATTTTTTTTTCAGAAAATAAATTAAAACGGAGGTAATTCTAAATCTAAACGCATATTGTATTAATTTATTCAAGAATCATAATTATCTCTTACTTGAAAGATACACAGTTCATATATTTTATTATATACAATGGAAAGATAATAGAAAATTCGAAAAACTCTGTGCATCATATGGAATACGAGAAGCAACGAAATTTCGGCAACAACAACGTTCTCCACATGTTGTTGATTTCCCCTGTTAATCCACTCTGTCCAAATGAATTTGGCACGGTGAATCATTCGATTCAACGAGGAGCAACAGGTTTGCAACAAGTCTCTGGTCAGGATAAGCTCGAAGAGATGAGTGAGACAGAGAATTAGAAGTAGAATCTTTAGCCTCCGGAGGTCAAAGACACGGATTTGGAGGTTCAATGGTCAAAGATGAAATCCTCAATTGATTCTTTAATTAAAAGGATACTGACAATTAATTGCAAGAGAAATTTCAAACTAGTAATGTACGAAAGTCAATTTTTTTTGCATCAATGAGAATTAACTAGATGAAGGCAGAAAAAAATAACAAATTGAAACATAAATGTTTGAAGTATTGATACAAACAAATGTGAAAGTATAGAAAAAAATTGAGAATTGAAGTTAAAATATCCAAGTACTAATAAAAGAGGATTTTTTTTTAAAGCAAGAAAACCACAAAAGCAGCAATTGAAAATTAAGTTAAGCAGTTAAAAATTGTTTATCTATCACATTCTTGGATGTGATAAGCAATTGATATTCAGACAAATTTGGTACTTCTGACCATACTCTCGAAGGTAGAAGAAGGCTAATGAGAGTTCTAGTGGATAGCAACACTGACCGTGATGGAAAAGTGACGGTAGGAGGAGGATAGACTTGTTCAGCCGATGGTGGTGGTTGCGGCGCCACTGTTATACCTCTGAGAAAGGGTCATATACTTAGGTTCCTGTGTATCATTGGCCAAAGTGCCGGCAGTCGTCGTCCGACCTTCGTGCGTGTAAGATTGTTTTACACTCGTTCGTTCAACGTTTCTCTGATTTCATTGACAAGCGTGTGATAACTTGCGATATCAGTGAACATACTATGTGAGGAAATATATACGATTTTTAGTTAACGTGTATCCGATTAAAATACTTAATATAGGGCATATTATAAACTATAATGTAACAGCACGTGATGCGTATATACACGTTGTTTTTTTAACAAGAAAATATGCCTGATATGTTGAAAACATATGAAGTTGATACGTTTAAAACGAAAGTTTTTTTTTCTTTTGATTAATTTTAGAAGATGACCTGAACTTGTTTTAATTTAATGAAAATTTAAAAAGAGTTTTCGTAAAGCTTTTGTTATATTAGAAAGCTAATCAATGAAATTGTGCAGCATTTTCAAACTTTATTTAGATGTATATTTTTAATAGAACAGTATTAATAGATGAGAAAGAATGAGCTTCGTGCCGCCAAAGTGAAGTTTCACTAGCTTTCTACAGTTCTGTGTAGTCTTTAGAAAAAAATCTTTAATGAATTTATTCATTTAGGATCAATTTTTTATAAGAACTAAAAACAAAAAAGAATCCTACAGTAAAAATTACACGAAATGATATTTGTAGTTTAATTCATGTATTTCATTGAATGGAAATAGAAAACAGTTAGTCCACTCTGTCGTTCTTCAGCCCAACGTGCAGAACAGTATGTACTTTCTTCAGGAAGTCTGAATGATATTGCATAAGATCTACACATATGTACATATCTATGACTTCATTAAGTTCACAGATTTTAACATTAGAATTACCGACAATAGAAAGAGAGAGAGAGAGGGGGGGGGGGATTAAAGCATAAAATTTTCATCGAAGATATTAAAATAAAAAAAAAGAAAATAGAAAAATTTTACAATTGAACACACAAGCTTTTATTTATATGTTTCACGAAAAATCATTTAAATCTCTAAAAATACACTATTTTACATCTATAAAACTTCTAATAAAAATTATAAATTAGTCATCAGTTCTAACATTACATATTTTTCCAACTGTACATTTATTTTCATTTAGCATAAAACTGAAATATGCAATAGATAATAATCATTTCAGAAATAGTCTCTCAATTACCATGCAGATCGATTGAAATAAAAGTCAAGGTTTATATTTATAAATCAGAAAACCTTGTTAGTAGTCATTTTTACAATTAGTGATGATTGTTTTCTGGAGGATATTGTGTAAAACGTTCATTATTTATTCATGTTAGGAATACATAATTAAAAGTCCATTTTACTTAAATTTATATCAACTTAATATTGCAAATTTTATCTTCATTCAAATTCTGTTTGAAATAAGCATGAAAACTTCAATATAGCGCATAAATATTTATATATTCATTTAAGCAGCGACCTATTTTAAATAGTATACATTCAGCATATAAAATTTTTTTTGTCATAAATTCAATTCTTGTACCATTCTTTATTGCCACATTTTTTTTCCATGTTTTTAACTATTAACGTACCGCTATATTCGTTATCAATCCTGAAAATCATGTGCAAGTCTTCATGTTCGACTTGACATATATCTTTATTTTTGCTTGATGAATTATTCACTGTAATCTTTGTGTTACGTAAATATTCCTGGTAGATACAAGTACTTACATATTCGTGTAGATGTTTCGGTCAAACTCATACTCAATGACGTTCAACAGTTAGGTTGAATTCAAATCGGTAAAACTGTAGTAAATCTAAGTAAGTCGTAAATCACTGTTAATGGTCCGATAACATATATGTACATGATTCTTATTGTAACACTTATTGTTCTGTTAATTGTGTGTCATTATAAGATATCCTGTCAGTGTTGGTCACAAACTTGAGAAATAGATATCATAATTATCCAATCGACGTTACAAACAATTGTGCTTTTTGATCGTAGATCGAAGAAGTATTTAAATTTTAACTACTGTTCTTTATTAGTCATTGATATAATCGTTTTTAACGACTCTTTGTTGCATTATTAGCAAATTTCATTGACATTTATTGGAAATTTTAAGGTCATATTTCTTATTTAATAATTTGGAAAAAGTATTCATCAGTTTTACAATATATAGTGAACGGAAAATAATGAAAAGAAAATAAATTAAAGACTAATGACTAACTTGATTATTCTGAATGATATTCGATCTTGAATTGTTCACTAATTTCAAACCTGATCGTAAATAAGTTTTGCTGAACTTGTGCAATTTCTGAATTTCAGCGTGGAAGAGGGAGATCACCAAAATCCGAGCCAGCACAATCAATCGTTAACTCCTAAACTTTTGACAAGCTTAAATCGTTCACACATTCAAGCTGTCTTTAGATAAAAATACTGTCAAAGACTGCTCTATCAATCAAGACTTCGACGAAATTTTTGTTTTACTAAAAGATGTCATAGTTTACGCGCAAATTTAAAAAAAAAATAATAACTTTGATACCTAAATTTAAGGAATTTAAAAGTTTAAGTAAAAAAAAAAAAAAGGGAAAGAAAGGATACTTTGACTTTCTAGAGAGAGAATAGAACGAAAGAGTAGAAGAAGGATTTTCAAAATTAAAGTCTTGCGAATTGTTGACTGAGTTCATTGAGGTAGCGATAGGTCTTTAGACCTCCTTGCAGCGAGAAGTCATTATTTCCGGCGAGACGGATTCGACGACAGAAGGAAATTACCTTAGGAGCGTATCCCCGAGCAGAAGGACCACGGGGATTCGAAGACGCAAACGAAGAAGAGTTAGAGGTACCAAGGAAAAATGGCGTACGACGACGTTATACTTCGGATGGGGGAATTTGGCCGATATCAGCGGAGAATCTATCTGCTGCTTTGCCTGCCGGCGATATCCTGTGCTTTCCACAAGATTGCCGGTGTCTTTCTGAGCGCGAAAATGAATGCCAGGTAGGGCTTTATTCCTGCTTATTTTCACAATAGACTTTCGCAAATAATAATTTTCGTTTCAGGTGTCTGTTACCACATGAAAATCCGGAAAATGCTACGTATTTTTTACCGCCGCATATACTGAACGCCAGTTATCTAGGAGACTCTAAGTATCAAGAATTGTTACAATGTTACCAACTAGATTTTCCTAATGTCGTTAATGAAACGATCGGCAGGTACGTCGACACATCGACAGGCCAAAATACACACAGCCAAAAATCATTTATTCCAAATAGTTTCAACACTCAAGGATACAAGCCATGTGAGACGTTCGTCTACGATAGGAGCAAATACAAAAGTACCACTACCTCTGAGGTATACTTCTTGGATGTGTCTTCGTAATATTAAAGCGATTCGCTCAGCATGATGATTGTTTCTTTTTATTTTCTTGTCTTGATGATTGTTTCTTTTTATTTTCAGTGGGATTTAGTTTGCGACAAGGCATGGTTGAGAGCTACGGGGGATTCGTTGTTCATGGTAGGAGTCATGCTTGGCTCAATGATTTTCGGTAGTTTGTCCGATAGGTTTGGGCGTAGACAAATTTTCTTCCTGTCTTTAGTCATACAGTTGAGCGGCGGTATACTAGTCGCAACTTCACCCAACTATATTTTCTACGTTACCTTCAGGTTAATAGTCGGCTCCACTACTAGTGGAGTCTTCTTGGTCGCCTACGTGATAGGTAAATTGTTATGAATTTCGTACACACTTAACAAAGCCCCATATACTTTTCACTAGTATCATTTAATATTATAGCTTGATGTTATAATACTGACAATGAGAACGACAACGTTGCCTTTCAGCCTTGGAAATGGTAGGGCCAAAGAAGCGTTTGGTAGCTGGAGTCGGCTGCCAATTGTTCTTCACAACCGGGTATATTCTAACTGCCGCTTTCGCGTATTTTATAACCGACTGGAGAATGCTACAAATCGCTATCACTATACCTAGCATTGCGTTTCTTCTTTATTGGTGGTAAGACAAATATCTCTCTAATTCAAAACTTCCAATCAAGATAATACTTCTCTCGCTCGTTTTTTTAAAAATATCTTTCTCGATCTTTCGCAGGTTTATTCCTGAATCTGCGCGTTGGCTATTAACAAAAGGACGTGTGCAAGAAGCGAAAGATCTCCTTCAACAAGCCTCATTGGAAAATGGTGTAGAAATACCAAGCGAAACTCTAGATACGCTTCTTAACAACAACAGCGAAGACAGTATGCCAGATTATAAGAAGCCATCGTTATTTGACCTCTTCCGGTATCCAAACTTGAGACGGAAGAGTATTCTACTATTTTTCAATTGGTAATTTATTTTTATTTTCCTTCTAGAACTCCTCAGTTGTTTTTTTTTAAATTGAATATAATATCGTCATTTTTCTATTCATAGGCTTGTAAATAGCGGTACATATTACGGATTGTCCTGGCACGTATCCAACCTTGGTGGTAATGATTATGTTAATTTCGTCATTTCCGGATTTGTGGAAGTACCTGCATACACATTTTTAATTTTCACGTTGAACCGTTGGGGAAGGAAAATTATCTTATGCGGTTGTATGTTAGTAGCAGGATTTTCATTGCTTGCTATTTTGCTTGTACCCGCTGGTTAGTGGCCAAAAAGAAAGCAACACTATTGTTTTGATTTTCAACGAGTATTTAAATTTACAAATGTTTTCTAATTTATGAATATTTCCAGATGCTCAGTGGCTCATAATATGTTTAGCAATGATTGGTAAGCTCACAATTACGTCATCCTATGGTGCTATTTACGTTTTTACTGCCGAACAATTTCCTACGGTTATTCGAAACGTTGGCCTCGGAGCAAGTTCGACTTTCGCTCGTATCGGTGGAGTGATTGCTCCACACGTCATTCACTTGGTAATTTCTCATTTTAATCTTCTAATTATTCTTGTTAATACAGTTATTAATTAATAGCAAATACCACTCTCTGTTCTAGTCTGAAATCTGGATGCCTTTGCCATTCGTTATTTTTGGAGCGTGCGTCCTTTTTGGAGGAGCTATGTCCTTGCTTCTTCCAGAAACATTAAACAAAAAACTTCCAGAAACCATACAGGACGGCGAATTATTCGGAAAGTATGTTGACGTGCTCCCTCTTGATTTCACGAAACGAAATCAAAAGATCTTACTATCGTATTTCCATGATTTTAGGAAGTCAAAGAAGAAGAAGACAAAGGATATAGAACAACTGAACGAAATCGATGTAATAAAACCATTGAAGCCGCAAGAAAACGGTGTTCACGAAAAACAGAATGGATGACGTTAATTTATATGGCAAGAACATCGGTTATGCTCAAAGTATCTACTTCAATCCTTTCTGATTGTATTTTAGGCACACTTGTATACGTATCTTACGTATACTAATCCCAGCATGCCTGTTCCAACATTGCAGTACCGAAAACAGAAACAAAAACAAAAAAAGAAAAGAAACAAAACCACATTTGTCTTTCAAATTGTATCGCTGACAATGTATGTAGGTTGCTTTTTTAACCGAATGAAACGAACACAGAGCGTGAAATCATGTGACAATAAGAAATTTATATTAGACTTTTCAGTTTGTTACCTATAGCGTGAGAAGAACGTAATAAAAGTAAGAAGATAGCGTTTACCTTCCGTTTTTACATACAATACGCAGCCTTTGTAATTGATAGCACATAAAAATTCTGCCAAACAGACATATCATTTATTCTAATTTCTAACAAGCCGTTTACACGTTAAGTGACCTTGAAACAATAAATCCGTAAAGGCTCGTCTCGAAAGCTCGCGCGAGATTATATTTCTACGCAGTGAAAAAAAATACAAAGAGACTTTGACATTTTAATTGTGTTCTTTGTTCTGTCATTAGAAATGTATAGCAATGTACATCCCATCCCCTCCTGTTTTAATAGCTTCGACATATCGTTGTTTGAAATCAAGTTCTCGATTTTGTAAGATTTCAAATTTTGAATTTTCTAACTCGCGCTGACATCTACCAGGAAGCGCAGCAAGTTTCGCTGATGTATCGAAAATATCGATTCTTTGAAATATATCGAAAACGCTATAGTTTCTTCACTTTCCCGCGTAAACTACAATGAAAACGTAAGAGTTGTCGTGTGCACGTTGGGTCTTACAGTCGTGGAGAGTTTGCGAGAATATTTGTAAATAATATTGCGTCAAAGCAGTGAAATTAACCGGAGTAGAGATGGATATTGATCGAGATCAAAGATTAGAGGAAATACAAAGAGAATATATGGATTTTTTAGATGATATGGTGAGCTTGTGAAATTTTGTAATCTGCAATGCTGAATATTTTATCCTTCTTTTTCGTTATTTTAGGAAGATCAAGGTATTTATACCACTCTTGTTAAAAATATGATCGAGGAAAACGGCCGTCGATTGTATGTGAACATTAACGATTTACGAAAAAAGAATCCTGCTCGTGCAGTAAGGTATAAACAATAGTCTATCTGTTTCTGATCTTTCTCAAATGTGCAATTTTACATTATTTCTCTGATTCTGATGAACTTATCTTTTATTCCTTTTTTTTTTTGTAGTCTGTTAAACAATTCCTTCGAAGAGCATCAAGCCTTTCAAAATGCACTGAAGCAGTTTGTTGCAACCATTGATACAGAGTACGTCAAAGAGAATGTAGATTTTTTTATAGCATTTGAAGGAAGCTTTGGAAATAAACACGTTACACCAAGAACTCTTACATCACGTTTCTTAGGTAACTTGGTATGTGTAGAAGGTATTGTTACAAAATGTAAGTAAATGTGTTTTGTATCACATTGTTATGTGAATTTTATATATGAAATTTATTATATTTTGGATTCTGTGAAATATGTATTCTAAACATTGTTAGGTTCTTTGGTACGTCCAAAGGTTGTGAGAAGTGTTCATTATTGCAATGCAACAAAGACAGTAATGGAACGCGCTTACACTGACTTCACTTCATTTGAAGCATTTCCACAATCTGCTGTGTACCCAACTACAGTAATTATTTATACTCAATCTAATAATTCAGAAGTAAATACTCTGTATGATATTTCTAATTTCTTGAATATAGGATGAAGATGGTAATCCATTAGAAACAGAATTTGGCCTTTCTACGTATAAGGATCATCAAACATTGACTATTCAAGAAATGCCAGAAAAAGCACCAACTGGTCAACTACCAAGGAGTGTAGATGTTATATGTGATAATGATTTGGTGGATCTCTGTAAACCTGGAGACAGAGTTCAGATTGTTGGAAGTTTTAGATGTCTACCTGGTAAACAAGGAGGATATACAACGGGAACTTTCAGGTATGAAATGATCAATAAACAAGTTTTGAAAATAACATTTAGAGTTACTTAAATGTAAAAAATATTCCTACAGATCGATTTTAATCGCTAATAACATTATGCAGTTAAGCAAAGAAGCTAATCTAACTATTTCTCATGATGATGTTGCTATGTGTAAAAAACTTGCAAGAAACAATCCTTGTAAAAATATCTTTGAATTACTTGCTAGATCATTAGCACCTTCTATTCATGGTCATGATTATGTGAAGAAAGCGATTTTATGTTTGTTACTTGGTGGTGTTGAGAAATTATTACCCAATGGTACAAGACTAAGAGGGTAAGGATATTGAACCATGTACATAATTTTTTTAATTGAAATAAGATCTAATTATTCATTTCTTTTAGAGATATTAATGTTTTGCTCATTGGCGATCCATCTGTTGCAAAATCACAACTTTTGCGCTACGTTTTGTGTACAGCTCCAAGAGCTATTCCAACTACTGGTAGAGGTTCATCTGGTGTAGGTTTAACAGCTGCAGTTACTATAGATAATGAAACAGGAGAACGTCGGCTTGAAGCCGGTGCTATGGTATTAGCGGATCGTGGAATTATTTGTATAGATGAATTTGATAAAATGTCAGATATTGATAGAACAGCTATTCATGAAGTGATGGAACAAGGGAAAGTAACAATTGCTAAAGCTGGAATACATGCTAGCTTAAATGCACGATGTTCAGTGCTGGCAGCGGCAAATCCAGTTTACGGAAGAGTAAATTCTATTACGTTGATTAAAAAATTAAACGTAAATTAGTATACATTTGTTTATATGTATATTTTTTTCAGTACGATCAATATAAAACGCCAATGGAAAATATTGGCCTCCAGGATTCGTTGCTTTCACGTTTCGATTTATTATTTGTCATGTTAGACATTGTGGATTCTGAACAAGATCAAATAATTAGTGAGCACGTTGTTAGAATGCATAGGTATAGAAATCCAAAAGAAAAAGATGGAGAAGCACTACCTTTAGGTAGTAAAGTGGATATATTAAGTACAAAAAATCCAGATCAAATCTTGCCTGATGAAAGTGAAACTCAAGTTTATCAAAAATATGATCCCTTATTACATGGAACATTGCGGTCCAAAAGGTATATTTAAAATTGTTACATTTATATATTTACATGCGTAGTATTTTATGTGATGATAATGTTCTTATAGTGACCAATTATTAACTATAAATTTCATGAGGAAATATATTCATATAGCTCGTTGTATGAAACCAAAGCTTACTGAAGAAGCTAGTGAAGTGATTGCCAGCGAATATTCGAAATTACGATCTGAAGAATCAGTAGATTCTGATGTAGCAAGGGTATATTATTTTGTTCATTACTTATTTTATTTATTTATTAATCAAGTTTTTAATTTATTTCCTCATTAACTTCTTATCATTTTCTACTAGACTCAACCAGTAACAGCTCGTACTTTAGAAACATTAATTCGATTGTCTACCGCGCATGCAAAAGCTCGTTTATCAAAAAACGTTACTGCAGATGATGCATATGCAGCAATAGAATTGGTAGAATTTGCCTATTTCAAACGAGTTTTGGAAAAAGAAAAGAAGAAACGAAGACGACGCGATAGTGAAGAAAGTATAGGCGGAGACGAGCAGAATGAAAAGAAAAAAAAACGTAGCAAAAGAACTTCGGGAGAACAAGATCCATATGATTTTGAAAGTGATGATGACAGTCATATTGACGAAGCTGCCAAAAGAGTTACTAGATCGCAAACGAAAACGACCGATTCAAGTCAACCAGATTCTGATCAAACTGAAACTCCTGCAGAGTCAGAAACTCCTGCAATTATTACTGAAGAAAGGTACGTTCAAATTGTTTTTATATTGTTATTTGTTGGATGTTGGATTTGTGATATATAATTGTGTTATAATTTCAGGTTAAAGGTTTTTAGAACACTTCTTTATAAGTTGTTTCAACAACAAAGAGCACAGTCACTTTCATTATCAAGAGTACGCGAATATATTAATAGTCAGCAAAGTCAAGAATTCACATCAAGTGAGATTACTGCTGCAATTAATAAAATGTCTGATGCAAATCAAATTATGGCCGCCGATGATAATATCTTTCTTATGTAAAATATATTTGAGATTGTAAGTTACCCTGTATTTTTTAGATTAAGTATATCTGTAAATTTGCTATGAAATATTTTAGCGGATGTCCACATTTCGATTAAATTATACTTTTAAAGTTTATATTATATGTATAGGTATTTCATAGATTTTATATTTTTATAACTGAAAATTCATAAAAATGTCTAACTCTTTTTTTCCTAAAATAAAAGAGAGTCTGATATGGTTGGAAATAATTATATCTATCAACATTTATTATCTCTCCATATTACAGTACAGCACATTGGCACGTAAACTAGCAACAGTGATCAACATTCATTACAATATCGTAAACAATATTGTTTACATCTCTAAGTCTTTGTTTTGTGTGTGTGTGTGTATATATATATATATAATATATATATATATATATTTATATTTATATTTATATAAAATCAACTCATATCACATAGATATAAATAGTTGTGCTGTCTCATTTAAATATATATATATATCTAATGTTTAGGCATTTTGTTACACATAACTTCTTTTATTCACGTTTTCACACTGTTAAAAAAATCTGTAACTTTGTAACATCATAAATTTTCACTGCATACTAGCTGTCATAAATTTTCGCAATTGTCATGAACATATCATTGGTACTCTTAGAATCGTTCACTCGTTTTAAAAAAAATCCTTGCTGACCAATATTCAATTTTATATTATCATATTTGAAATCAAACTATACTCATTTGTTTTTGTACGTCTAATGCCATTTAATTTGGATATATGTCAATTATATTGTTCTTCCATACGCGTAATTTGTGTTAAATTATTGTTATCGCTGAATGTACCAAATTGTTCAGATTTTAAAGAATGTACCAAATTGTTCAGATTTTACTATATACCTATAATCATAACAAAAAAAGTAGTACAATATTTATAATCAGCTACTTTCTTATTATTATAATACAGGCCTTCAGGACGTAATGTTTCTATTGAAAATGAACAAATTTTGTTAAATTTTCTTTTGTTCACGTTCGATATATATTAAATTTTTAACAACCAAATCGTTTCCGTTATTAAAAAAATCGTCACTCAAATTCATTGTACTCATATTTGTTCTCGATAACGTTAATCTTAATTAGCACTTCCATGGCTTAATGTTTTTTTGCTGTATAAAACCTACTATATCTAATTCTATAATTCTGTACAAATTTCACATTTCAACATCAATAACTGGCACAAAATATATATAACACAATCAACAAATTATCTTTTAATGTATCTAAAAATACGCTGATACAATCTACAAAACATTAATCTATATAGAACCTGAGTATTTGCAGTAGCAAACTAAGGCATGAGGGAAAAAGTGAACTTTTGTTTAGAAAAAAAGAACAATGCCAAATAACACGATAAAATCTAAGAATAAAAATTGTATAATACAATTCCCTCGTGCAGTATAAAATAACGTTTCTTTCGTTATTTCGATACAGCATTGCAAAATTTTCTATCTAAAAATAACGATTAGAAATGGATATAAATTATTTTTCTACATATACACTTTTTAGTTTGTAAACAACGACGTAGAAAATAAGATTAAAAAAATATGCAAAAGAAAGAATTCTAGTTTGAAAAAAAATTTTTTTTTTTTCATATATAATTACAGGAATTGTACCTTTTCTTCTATGTGCTCCAAAGTGCTTTTTCTTATGCCTTACCTTTAACGGTGTTTCAGGCACATGCTTATATTTCTTCTAATTTTTAATCTCTTTGTAGACAAGCAAAAATGAGGCACACGCAATGAACAGTAAAATACAAATCGTATTTATGCATGCGCTCCATTTTTACACTGTACCACTTTTAATTTATATTTGTGGAAGATGCAAGTTTGCTTAAACTTCGTCTTCACTGGACTCACTGCTGTATGCCAACTGTTCCTTCCACCATTCTCGAACCTCTAGCATAACATTAGAAGTTTTTGGTACAGTTGCTTTTGTATTGACTACTTCCCGTTGCTGTCTGCTTTGCTCAGTGCTCTCTGTGAGATGTGGCAAATTATTTTTCGGCACCGCTTCAAATGGAAAGCTCACGTTGGAGAAAAGCACAATAAGAAAAGTACAGATATAAAATGAAAGAACTATACTTACGTGGTGGCCTGTTATTTTTCTTCTTAGGTGCTGCATTCTTATCTTTTTCAGTCCTGATTGAAGCAGGATCCGATAGTGTTGGAGTTAAATACTTTCTTCCTGATCCACTACCTATACTATCAGATCTTGGAAGCACTACTGGTTTCTTTGCTTTGTGCCTGGCAGCATCAGTATCCTGCTTGGTAATAACGAATATTACTAAAAAATTATGTACATTGACATTGATTAACTAAATAAAAAAAACTTACCTTTGTTTCAGTTTCTTCTTCTTTGACGGCCTCTTTTCCTTTCTCTTCTACGTGCTCCTGTTGTTGTGCTTGTTCAGTGTTAGCCCGAAGACCGGCGACGAGACTATTTTGCTGTTTCTGTAATGTGTACAAGATACAAATTAAATATGATCTTGTGCGAATTGCGATGAGTAAACTTACTCCGCTTGCGCGTATTTTTTTCAGGCAACCCTCTAGCCAATTTCTGATCGTTTGCTTGGCAACTTCTTCTTCGATAATATATTCGAACTCTTCTCTTGCCAATAACTCTTCAAGTTGAAGAGCTTTTCGGATGTCAACCGAACGGTAGGATAACATACTGAAAAGAAATGTTCAATCAAGAAGAAGTCTTTTGAAGCAAATGATATTTGTTTATACAAGAAGAACTTACTTGATAACATCATGAAAGGTAACATCTTCGCCATTGTTCAACTTTTCCAGTTCATAACACATATGCTTGAAGAGAAGTCGATCCTTCTGTGGATCGGTTTCCAATCTACCTTTCAATAATCGTAAAATAAACTTCACCTAAAACAAACTAATATATCATTACTTCTAGCCAATTTATAATAGCCTGTTAAGCTCGTAAAGATCTTTTTTCTAGCCGTACCCGTTTCACAGGTATAAAACCTTTTTGATGATTATCAACAACGTTCCATGTGTTCTGAAAATTTCTAATATCAGCATAAGATAACAAAGCATCTTCTTCGTTCGAATAGAATAGAGAAAAGTTCTCCATAATAATAGCTGTCGTGAAAAATTAGTATTCATGAAATCAATAGAACTCGAAGAATTATTCTGATGTGATAAAACAAGCAGTGTATGTATATCTACTCAGAAGAATCAGTTGATACTTACCCACTAAAAGATTTAAAACAATGTAAGTGATAATGACGTAGAAGGTACAAAAATATATTAAGGAAGCATGAAAGTTGCCGCAATCGGTTTCCCAATAATTAGCAGCTGGTGTGCAATACGGTGGTTGTATCATGCAATCGTGCATTATCTTATTCCAATCCTCCCCAGTGACAATACGGAAGAGCATCGCAACGCCAGTTACAGGTGACTCAAAATTGGCACGCCTAAATGACAATTGTCTCTCTTAAGATCATGTTAGAACAAAGACAAAATGCCTGCACCGTTTTAATTATCTTTGTAACTTTTAACTTTAACGTTAAAATACATGGTTCTTTTACCTTCCTATACCTTCACCGTACTTTACAGTTCCAAAGATGATCGTGCCGGCTAACGCGTAAAAGAAAACAAGGAGAAACATGCCAAATATAATGAAGAAACTTTTGCAAACGGACACTCCGACCGTTAACATCAACATTTTGAGAGTTGTATGTTTGCCAGTAATTGTGAAGAATCTAAGAATCACGACCATAAAGCCGATTACGTATGACAAATCGTTCTGCAAGAAAGGTATACTCCTGTCATTACAGTCTTTATATTTCTAAATTATTAACGAACATACTGAACGATCAGATGACTGGATTAATAATATTACCGACCTACCTTCATTGTACAATGAATGACGATCCAAATAACACCGACGACTGTCACGAGCAAATCATATCTGTTTCTTCTGGACTGCCAATAGCCACGTGGTGTAAAAGCAATATTTTTCATAATTACTTCCACGAGGAAGATGAGTGTCAGAATCGTGGACACCGTAGCGAGTGCTTCCGTGTGTTCTTCCTCGATTCTCCACTTAAGGGGGGGAGAGAGAAAAAATAAAAAAAGATTCGTTAAACGCAAAAACTTGTGTCGATTTACTTTTACCACGGTCTAATGGTAGCCGGCAAGGAACAAATGATTCTAAGTAACAGTCATAGAATCTTGTGCTTTCGTGGGTATGTTCTTTTTTTTTTTTTTTTTTTTTTTTTGTATGTGTTTGCTAATTAATTTCACAAAACGGTGTTATCGTGTTGCGGTGTTTTTGTGTGTTGTAACTGTGGTGGGGGAAAAAAAAGAACGAAAATTATCAAACTCACAGAGACACACAGAAGAGCACTGTTTATGAGCACCATGACTGCAATGAATCTTTTGAAATAGATATTTTGAGTGATGTCATAGATAAACGCTCTGAATTTCTTTCCATCTGGCCTAGGTGGTAAATGTAACGGTTGTGCGATTTTCAGTCGTTTTTTCAAATCACACCTATTCAAATCATAATAAACACAATTGTTTACAATTTGGGACGTGCCACTTTAAGTTTCATTAATTAATTAAGTCTTTACCATCGTCTTTGATCGACCGTGAGTAATGCAGTCCCTTTGTTTTCAGAGTAATTAGCAATAACGACACCGACGAACAGCGTTAAACCAATCATACAGCCCAAGAAAATATAAATGTGAATATAAACAGCATGGACCTAAAAATTGGATCATTGAATAATATCATCGGGAGGAAACGCTCGTTACAACATAACGTTAGTAACTTACGGGACCAAGAGCTTTGATAAGAACGTCTCTAACGTCGAGCCACCCTTTAAAAGACAGTACTTCGAAAAGTGCCATCAGTGCGTCACCGATATTGTCAAAATTAAATCTTCTAGGATTAGCCCTAAAAAATGTTGACGTTCGCTTAAAAAACTTTTGTCGCTACGCAGTTACTTCTTGCCGAATCATTTAAATGTAATTTCTCCATTTTAGTAAGTTCCTACCATACGCGTGGTACCAGTATTGATGGATAGCTTTCGTTTTGGCCTGGCTTCAATTTCATTTTCGTCACGAAAACCCTCCTCATGAACACTCCAACGCAATCTTCTCGCTTTAGAATGGTCGGATCGTTGCAACGAGCTAATCTACCCCCATAAAGCTGTACACCATAACTCGCGAATATAAACATCAGTAAAATCAATAGAGTGGACACCTAAAAAACTTCTTATTCATTTTTTGTCTGAACTCGGCTCGCCAAATCGGCATCGATCTATCCGAGAAACGTTTAAACACGAATGAACTTTTAATTAGAATTATTTACCAATAAGATCTCTTTGAACCCTCTACATAATTCATAAACAACTTTTCTCATGTGCGGCACAAGAGTGAAGATTCTTAGCGGTCTAACGCAACGTAAGATCATAAGAAGTTGCGCACCGGAATTCGGCGGCACGCTCTTCGGCATCCAGCAGAGAAACACGAGGCTGACCTAAATGCCCACTGGATTAGCGTTGAATTTATCAGATATCGTATAGCAGAAGTGATTTCCTTTGTCAACGTACAACATAAATAAAAACATCCAACACAGAGGCGACGTCTTTGATATAGGCCTTCGGCGTAAAAAATAGTCCGTCTGCCAGAATTTTTAGAGCTAACTCGATACTCATAAAAATCACGAAACCGTACTCCGCAATTTGCAATGCCGGAACTTCCATTACGCGGTATCGTGGTGTTTCGAACATCATGGAGATGCAAGACATAGTGGTAGCAAAGATCATTACCCAATCAAGGTACGTGACCAAGCCAAGAAAATTGCTACAAAGCGTATAAACGTACGTGACCATTATTAATATTTCGTTTTTTTATTTTTTTTTTTTTTTTTTCTCTCTAATGTCAAGCAATAAGTCTAATGCACTTTAAAGCATCAATATTTACACTGTAGGAAGCACTTACTGTAGGCTTTTATATTGAACCTTTCTCTCTTTTCCAGTCAATGGATCTTTTACGTTTGTATCGTATCTCGCGTAAACAAGCGATTGGCAAATTTTGCGAAATTTACTCTCGCGCGGTACTGCGAACAGTGGTGTATCAAAAAATGGGTGATTCTCGCGCAAATCTTCCTCACGCTGATTTCTACATAAGTGCAATGTGGTAAGCAGTTCAGTTAGAAATAGGAAAAAAAAATGTGTAAAGTGTTAGAGCCCAGTGAGGAAGAACTGTTGCATCTTACCTTCGCATCTCGGCCTGTTGTCGCTTAGCCTGCAATAATTTAATGTCCAAATCGTGCGGTCTACTCCGGGAAGAGCTAACTCTGTTTATACCTCCAATGTCACCATTTTCCATCAGATGTTCGTACGTTTGTTTCAACTTGATCGATCCGCTACGAACGCTCCTTCTAATTGATCTGTTAAAATAATTGTTTAAAGAGTTATTGTTATTATACAAGTATTTCAAGTAACATACATATGATACGAATATTTGTTCTAAACTTGAGGTCTTACTTTTTCTGATCAAAGCGAAGTTGCTTGGCACTGCTGACAGTACCCTGTGGCTTCAAAAGGCCTTTTCCTGGCACTGGTATCATAGCCGAGTCTCCTAGTAACAATCTTTGATTGTTTGAATCACTGAAAAATAATATATGTATATATTACATTATATGTTTAGTATAAGATTTACATTTTAATTTTCAGAGATTTTATAACGTAATAACTCACTTTATAATGTAGATAACAGCTGCTTTTTTTAGACTTGTAACAACGTTTCTTACTTTTGGTGGATTATTTAAAATTTTTACTGGACGTTGTTTTCTATATATCATTTTTGAGTCAAAGGTTTCATTTATTTTCTTGACACCTTCGTTCTCTTCATTTTCCATTTCGAATACAAACTGTCTCATGAAACTTTCACGGACCTAAATTAGAAATATGTATACATTTGAAAATACAGCACAAACATACTAAGCACAAAGTAATACTTACTTTTGGAAGATTAAAATCTGATGGCACCTTATGTAAGCATGTCATTTGAGGACTATCAGGAAATTTCTCAAATATTCGTAATCTGAATGGCAGAGTTTCCTTTATCTCCGCACTTTGTTCACGAAATTTCAATTGTTTCAGTTTCTTAATGTCCTCATCCAGTTCAAGATTATCCAAAATTACGGCGACGAATAAACTTAACACAATCTTAAAAAAAAAAAAAATATTTTCAGTAATCATATCATTAGTTAAAAAGAAAGTAATTATGCAAAGTTATCTGTGTATTTTTACCAGTGTAACAAAAAGATGATATAAAATGAAGTACATGGCAACAAATGGAGCCATCGTTTCATGTGTCCTTAACATTGTTTCATCCATAACATCCACCCAAGCTTCTTGCGTTAAGATTTGGAACATGGACATAAATGCCTAAAAGAGAAAAACGTTTTATTAGTATAATTTGATTACACAAATCAAAACGCATCCTTTACCTCTGGGAATGTTTCAAATTTCGTGAAGTCGCGGAGGAAACAAAAAAGCTGCATCGAAATACTGGACGATATGACTAACAGGCACATGGTAAATATAATGAGGCTGCCTAGCTTTTTCCCAGGACCGAATATTTTATATACAAAATCCTCGAGCATAGGTGACGCCTTGATGAGTCTAACTACTCTAAGTACCTAATTACAAAGTAACACTGTATCAATTTATCATTGTACATTTTGAATTCAATTCTTTTCTGCTAAGCGTTTCACTGTTATATTATGTTTTAGAGTTGAACGAAAGTGAATATAGAAACCTGAAAATATGTGAATCCAGAAAGATAGAAGAACGGAATGATGTGTATGGTTGTACCAATTGCCAGCAGCAGCTCAAATTTGTGAATCGAGTGCTTGTAATAACTGCGAAATCCGAGACACCAGATCTTGAACAATGTCTCAAGGTCCAAGAATATAGTGAACGCGATCTCGGCGTAGTAGTAGTTATCGTAGTACGTGTGCCTTGGCTTCTCATCGTGTTTAAAGCTCATGGTCGCGGTGGTAATGCCATTTGCCAAAATTACGAACATCACCACCATGCGAAATTGAGGAGATCGTAGAATTGCGTGACATATTGGAGATGCCAAGCCTCCGTGTTTGTTCTCGTCTAAAGTCACCAATTTCCAACCGTTATCATCGCCAGTTAATATCTAAAATAGAAGATATAAAACAGAGCAATGACCAAAGTTAATTAGTCGTTTCGCGATTCTGATCGTTTTATTACTAACTTGCGACGCTGTGTTGTTACTAATGTGCCCCCTGACACCCCACATCTGTTGAAATTGTACTCGTATTTCATTGAAGGTTTCTGTAATGACAGCTATGAACACGTTCTTCACGAGCCACGCTAAGAAAAATATCATTGTACTGAAGTAGAGAACCGCACGCCAAGCTGGCAAACTATCTATCGCACGGTACATAATAAAAACCCATCCTTCCTGCGACGCAGCTTGATAAACGGTAAAAATGCTCGTAGCTACGAAGCAAAGTTATTTCCATGAGGTGTGTTATTTGCATTTATTTGCGCAAATGCTGTAAGAAATAGTTTTGTTACTATGAAGAGTTTTGTTATTACCAAATTCGTCGAATCCATTGAAACCCATGATGTACTTTGACAACTGAAGTTTCATGCAAGTCATTCCTTCTGGACATTGGTATCCTGATTCGGGATCAGTGGAGCAGAAAGTGTCAGGAATGGCTAAGCTATTTATAGTAATATGCTTCGGATTTGTAGTATTGAGAACACAATGGTTTTTCAATTCGCCGAAAAATTGAACGCCTAGAAGACCGTAAAGGGACATGAAAAAAAGGAAGAAAAGAGTCACGTTGTATATCTGTTGACTCGAACGCCTGGAATCAACAGACAGAGTAAGTATAAAGTTTCCAATGAATTTTCGAATGAATGTTCGAAATACTCACTTGAAAATTTGATTGATTCTAGCTTTCGGCATGGAGAACTTAAGGAAGACTCGTAAGAAGCGTATCATAATCAAGGGCCGTGGTGCCCGCAATATGGAAACGTAGCTAAACTCTAAAACGAAACCTAGCATCTCGAACATTTGTAAAATTACGGACAGCCAGAGGAAGATGACCATACTTCCATCGAATTGGCACCAGTGATCTTTCAAGTAAGATTTGTCCCTCTGTAACTGAATAATCGTCAGTTTATGTCGATTGTTACGTAAATTTACGAATATCGTGCGAATTACCTTCAGTATACCCCTTATGTGCATCTTGGCGATCATTTCAGCAGTAAATAGAAACGTGATGACCAAATCGCAAACAAAGGTAACATACTGAAGAGGTGGAACTTTCTCAAAAGTTTTGGGAGTATTCAAGCAAACAGAAGCTAAAGATACTAGAGCACAAGATCTCATCAACCTTCTCACCCAAAGCTGTAACAATCAAGTAATTATTTAATATTAATATTTGATATTAACATGTGCATATAGTTTGTATAGTTACACATAGCACACAAGAAGAGTAGTATGTATATGAGAAAGTGTATGTATTTAGATATACCTTATTCACCCACTCTATGTCAGCGCTCTCATTGAGGGACTCCTCTGGGCCGTAATCGGCCAAGACGGGTTCCCCTTTGAGGCTCTGCTTGCGCCCCAGCATCATAATAGGAATTATGTTCGCAATGGTGAGGCCTGTAATTGAAAAGTATAGTGGATAGAAATAAATACGAACGAATAATAATGGGAAATATCATTCTTTTGTTGTCGTTATACGGACAGTTTTATTATTATAAATCAACAGTGAGATGATTATTAAATAATTACACAGTTGAAAATTAGGATATAATAATAATATTGACAGTAGTGAAAATTACTATGATATAATTAAAGATGTACGTACATAGGAGAAGACATAGTTTTAATTAAGATTATTATAATTGTCGTGTTCAACGGAAATGATTCAATTAATTAGTTGGTCCTACCTTTTTTTTAACAATTTGGACGACAACGAAACTGCCTTTACGGCAATTCATATAGACTACATTTCAGTATAAAACAACGATAAAGTTTTAACGTGTTATAAACATCTTATTAGTAACAACAAGCTGGCGGCATGGCGGTGAACATTTTTTGGTTCAGTTCTGAGCTTTCCAGTGATAGTGAAAGCTCGAAGTGAGCATGAGCAGTAATGTTATCATTCCAAACAAATCAATATTTCAAATCGTGGAACGAAGACGCGCGCGAATCGACGACGATAATTCAGGTAACAAAGGCTTTTATTTTAATAAGTATTATTTATTAATGAAATTTATTTAAGCGATTGACATCATTTGAAAATATAGTATTCTTTTATAATTAAGGGGGAAACGTATATTACTTTCATTATTAATTTTATTTTCTAGAAATTGTATATATTAAAATGCGCTTAATACATATGTGATAAAGAATATCTTCATCTTTTTTTTTTAATTTATTAATGATTGCTTCTGTTGAATATTGATATATCGTTAATCGTTGTTCAAGTTTCTTTCACACTTTTCTCTGCCGAGGCCATCATTTTCGAAAATTCGGAGTTTGGATTGGACAAAAGTGTGGACGGTGCTTCAAATTCGATTATTTGACCGTTCTTCATAACGATAACGCGATCAGACGAAATAACAGTTTTCAAACGATGAGCTATGGTCAATACGGTAGAATTGGAAAATTCGTTTTTTATGGTGTTTTGCACAGCGATTTCAGTTTCCGGATCAACAGCAGCAGTTGCTTCGTCTAATATCAATACCTAAAATTGAATTATAAATTATTGAACGAAGTAAATATCAATTAGCACAGGGAACTTTCGCTAACAACGTACTTTAGCGTTACGTAACACTGCTCTTGATAAACAAAGTAATTGTCGCTCGCCAACGCTGAAGTTGTTTCCTCCAACCTCAACGGGAGCATCCAATTGCGCTGGCACAGTTTGGACTTTTTCTTTCAACTGAGTTTTTTCTAAAACACTCCAAATCTCGGAATCACTAAACTGCTTAAAAGGATCTAAATTTGACCTACAATATGATTGTAGACATTAATAAATATTCTCGAACATTCAGATTCAGTGTTCCTCCTTACATTTATTTTTTGATTTATTAAACGTACTTACCGCAGAGTTCCACTGAATAACACAGGATCCTGAGGGATTATAGACAGCTTACTCCTTAATAATTTTAACTTTATTTTCGCTACGTCTATACCGTCAATCTTTATTTTTCCACCGGAGAGTTCGACTAATCGAAACAAAGCAACGATAAGTGAACTTTTCCCAGCTCCTGTTCTCCCCACGATACCTAAAATTCATTATCACAAAAAAATGAGATAATCGTATGAATAATAATCGCAAATTAATTATCGAATTGTTATTACCTATATGCTCGCCAGATTTAATAACAAATGAAATATTATCTAATGCAAGTGGCAGTTCTTTTCTATACTTCAACTCGACTTTATGGAATTCTAATTCCCCATCAGTAGGCCACTGATCCGGAGGATCTATATGATCTTCCTCAGAATTACCTTCTTTCTGCAATGTCTGCAAGGTAATGTACGTGTTATTAGTTGTATGATTTCCTTTTCAATTGCTGTTGCAACTAACAAATACAGACTTTTACTTACCTTCAAATAATAACTTATCCTTTCGACACTTATAAAACGAGTTTCTGTTTCTGCCATTAATCTCACTGTGTACTGGAAGACACCAGTCATTTGCATAGCGTATGCCATTGCCAAGCCAGCAAGAGCTGGTGATATTTGATTTCTAAGCGCGATCACAAGAAACGCGGTAATGGAAGAAGATGCTATCGCCAAAATATCGAGCCTCACGGCAGACCATCTCATGATGGACTGGCATAAATAAAGGCATAAATTGTTTAAGTCTAGCAATTCTTCAAATCTAAAATATAAGAAGTTATTATTACATCTTTTCCTTTTCTTTTACGTGATTCTACTCATGCCTCATTTTGAAAAGCGTACTTGTTTACAAATGCTTTTTCCTTTTGAAACGCATGAATGGTATTTAAACCATGAATGGTAGTCGTAATGAAGCTCAAAACAGGAGATCGCGAAGTACTCTCCAGTCGCTTGAAGTCTCTCATTGCTACTCTAAAAATTTGTTGTTTTGCTACATTTATTAGCAATAAATGTTATGAATTCTTAAAATATTAATCTCACCTAAAGATTTTGCTAATGTAAAAAAAGACGAGTGCAAGAACGATTAGTGCTAAACAAAACCAGGGCACTATTGCACATATAAATATAATTGCAAAACTGCAGGTAATAATATTCTGTACCATATTCTCTACAGAAATTGGTATGTAATTGTCCACTGCAAAGATAAATACAACTTACTTAACAGTTTCAAATATATTAAGAAGTCTTACCTTCATCAATATCCCGGCTAAATATATTTTGTATCCTTCCAATCGGAGTAGTTTCAAAAAATGTTACCGTTGATTTAATCATTTTTTTGAAAACTCTGTTATGTAATGTCGTAGAAGCATTTATCGTAGCGTACATAATAGCCAAGCCACGCAACAAACTTGTGAACAAAATAACTCCAACGCAACTGATATAAATATTTTGATAATATGAATAGTTTGGATTGTCATTTAAATTGTTCGATATTATGGTTTCATTGTTACTAACATCGGTGATATTCTTGAAACAAAATGATCAATGTTTAGTGAAAATAATGTGAATCATGACTTTAACTAAAGAAAAAAATATTTACTCCACCACCAGCTTTAATCCACATGGCTAACCACCAAGAACTAAATGCTGAACTTCCAACGTTTAAGAAAAGTGTCAACAATACTAAAACAGCTACAAAATAACCACCCGCGGCTTTTACATATGTGTGATACGTGTACGATTCTACAGTACCAATCCCCATCTTTTCTGGTGTAGTCAGGATTGTTCCTAAACGACGAATATGAACATAACATTTTTATATCAATGATATAAATAAATCTTGATACACACCTCCTCCGTGTATTTCTTTTGATACTGCAATATTTTCATCATTGTCTCCAGAACAATGAGAATTAGATGCTATTTGTCTCTTTGAATCAGTACTAGAATCTCTGCTGTCTATTTCAGTTGGTGCTGAGATTCTGCTAGTTAAATTGGAAATGATCATTAAAATTGCAAAAATCATGACTTTTAAAAATAATTTGTAAAATACATACTCTTCTGTATCATTCCTCGTCTTTAGTAATGCACTATTTACCATTGTAGCATATTCTCTGTTTAACTGCATCAATTCATTATGTGTACCTTGTTCTACAATTCTACCTTTATGCATTACATAAATCTGATTACAGTGTTTTAGAAACTGCAATTAGCCAAATATAATGTTATTTGTAATTGAGCATATGTACGTATTGATTGAGTTTAATAACAATTTATTTAAAACATACTTGAACCTGATGCGTTACGAACAAGACACATTTGTCCTTAAGCGCTCCGAGAATTAAATTTTTAAAAATGTAAGAACCTACATGCGCGTCCACCGCGCTTAATGGATCGTCCAGAAAATATATGTCTCTTTAAAAAAAAAAAAAAAAAAACAAGAAATGTTTTCTTTAATATAATTGCAGTAATAAATTAAGAAATTTTACTACAATAAAAACAATACCGATTAGCATAGAGTGCTCTAGCAAGAGCAACTCTTTGTTTTTGTCCCCCTGAAAGATTTACACCCCTTTCTCCAATCTCAGTTTCGTCTCCACCCGGCAACATATTTAAGTCTTCTTTTAAGCTGCATACCGTTAATGCTTGATAATATCGTTTAGCGTCAAACTGATTTCCAAACAATATATTTTCTTTAAAAGTAGCATTGACAATCCATGCCTGTTGACTGACATAAGCGCAAGATCCTTCTCTCAAAATATGGCCATTTGTCATTTTCAGCTGCCCTAGGGCAGCAAGTAAAAGACTAGATTTCCCACTTCCTACGTGTCCACAAATTCCTATTAGTCCACCTTTTGAGGCTCCAAACTTTATGTCAGAGAGTACTTCGTATTTCAAACATTTTGTTTCTTGGGGAGAATCATTGAGTTTTTCCAGTTCAACTTTATTCTTCAAATATGATGTAACTTTCCTGGAAAAATATATAAAAACATTAAAAAAAAACAAGATGATTGTAAAAAATCACAAATAAAAAAAAAATACTCACTTTCTTTCTTTAGTATTTGTTAATTTCCTAGCGTGCAAAGTAGAATTTTCATAAACGAATGTACCATTAGCAATGGCTACAGCTTGCGATTTTACAATTGGTTTTGATATATGGCACGTATGCTCTTCTAGAAGCAATACATTCTACACAAATTATTACTATTTACTAAAAGTGAAGATCAGAACATGTAGACATCAAAATAACTTTAGACAATCAAATAATTATGAACGTAATCAAATAATCAATTCTAATAATAAAACAATATTCACATAAACAAGCGTTACATTTATGATACCTTACATTGCAAGCAAAACTTTATAGAAAAAAAAAAATTAAAAGTGCATAGAAATTAAAATTTAAACATGCAATATGAAAGCTATTATAATATATTAATAATATAATTATATTACAAAGCATTGTGTATTACTATAATTAAAATAAAAGCAACATTACAGTTTTTGTACAATGCAAATGTTATTTGCAAACTGATTAATTCTATGTTTCTATTACCACAATTAGTAATTATTATTAATTTTAAAAAATGCAAAAGTAAACACCTGCAATCTCTTGAGTGTTATGTTTGACTCAATAATATTAACTAATGCCACTTGAAGGAACATAAATGAAGAGCGAAATTGAGAATTGAGTAATGTTACAAAAGGAAACACCTGGAAAAGTAATGGAATTATAACTTAAACTTAGTAATACCGCAAACCTTCTGTTTTGTTTAACTATTTTCAAACATTTGCATTTCAATAACCTTGTTTTATTTTTCTAATTATAATACCAAGGAGGAGTAAAAGAAAAAGCAATTATTTTGTATATATTTACATGATAGGCAGCACTTTCCCCTTAGGCCTGCAAGCATTTAGCCATTTATACCACTAACGTTGAAACATTCGATTATTAATGAAACAACTTCCATGTATGTTATATCATAATTTTCTGTTCAATTTCTTTTTCAATAGTTCAAAAGAAAAATTTATTAAATATAACATACACGAGAACTTGTTTTATTCTAATATTAAATACGAAATACCCATTCATTGAACATAAATAACGGGAATTTGTAATTAAATAAGTAGCTTAAATTTTAGGAGACCTTGATTCTTCTAAGAGCAATATGAACGTCGATAAAATATCGTGTAGAATCCTTAAGGGAAGCGAGTGCCATTCTCAGCATATTTCCAAAAAATGTTGTAATTGGGAAAGCCTGTAATACATATTCCATTAAGTGCAACACTTGTTTCACGATTGTAAGTATTCTACGTAAAATAAACTGTTGGCCATTCAAGTATCAATTGCATGGTTCTTTAAACTATATCGATTTACTTATAATTTCTTTGCAATTACTTATTCTAATATTCCTCCAAAAAAATCGAAATAAGTAGCTGCACTAAATGTTTGTTTTGAATTCGCAGATTAATATATACCTGAGCGGCAGTTAAATTACTGCCTGAAGATAAATGAGCTAAAAATGTAATAATTGCAGATATCACAGGTATAGCTGGAGTTAAAGAAATAGCAAGACTTTGGAAATATACAGTTTTGTGTAACCAGTACTTCTCCTTTTTTCGTATATCTAAAAGTTAATTAAAATATATTAAGAATATATTAAGACTATATTATAATAGCTGTTATAGTTATTATAATAGTTCATTAAAAAAAATAGTAATCATACCAAGGAGCTTATTGCTAAAATATTTTTCCCACGAATACATCTTAATTAATTTAATACATTCTAAAATTTCATTCATTAATTTCACTCGTATGTCTGTAATAACAACTGTCTTAGTACGGAAATGTCCGACTAAACGGGATATAAGATACTGTTGAAAAATAACGTTACATAACAAAATTTTAAATATATAAAAAATAATTTCTTGTGATAATATAAAAAAAAATCGCTTACCTGACAAGGATAAAATACGAGAAATGTAAGTATTCCACAAAGTGCAAATGGACTAAATATCCACAATATATAAATTATACCACAGGTAATAATTATTGGGCCACTAAATATCATAGGTCCGTAAACGACTACATCAAAAAGTCTTTGACTGTCATTAGTAAATAAATTAATTATCTAAAATTGTAAAGTGAAGATAAATATGAAATGAAACTCAACGATAATGCAATACATTTAAAACCTTACTTCTCCTGTATTTTTATTCCCAAGGTTATTCAGTCTAATGATTTTTTCATATAACAAAGTCGTACATGCAGATTTTAATCTTAGTGCTGTTCTAATATTAGTATTCCACGTCCAGTTAAAAAATACTACCCGTAAAAGATCACAGCATATTAATAACAGTGCCCATTTTATACCAGTCCAAGTATCTTCCTCTGGCGATTGAACGTGTTCTAATACTCTCTTCATCAATATCATCTAATATAAAAATATAAGATCCTATATAGTATTACATATAAAATTTGTATTTCAGGTCAAAACTAATAGACATACAGAACTAATAAATCCGCAAATTGTAGAGCAACTCAATAAAAATCCAGCTATACATATCCTTGTTCTCACAAACCTCCAGCATACATTTGGCAACGATGCTAAGTATGGACCACGTTTGCCTATCTCTTCTTGCCAAAGTACTTCTAATCTAAACATGAAATTTAGCTTAAATACAAAGGGAAAAAAGAAGATGGATTTACAATATGATGTAAGAGTTACCTATGTGCATTATATTTGGAAGTTTCATAAGTAGAAATACATGGTAGATTTGTAATGTCAATACCATTTTTATATGCCTTCCATATATATGGTGTTATCCATGTATAAAAAATATATGAAAATAATCCAGCACTGTCTGCTGGCATACTTTCTTTGTTTCTAAAATATATGCGGTAAAACATTAAAAAATAATTTTTTATCTCATTAACTTCTGCATCTATTTCAATACATACTGATTTTCATGACGTATTGGTATAAGATTCCTCAGAGCTGGATTATATCGACTCATATTAGTTCCTTTAACATATTCTACCGGCACCTTTGGCGAACGTGAATATCTACTAGGAAGTAAAAAACGCTGTCCTTCACTAGCATCACTGTATCTAGGAAAAATGTAAAAATTAATTTTTTTATTTTGACTTAAACAGAATTATACTTCTTTTACCTTTCACTATTTGTATATAGAGCTTCGTTGTCCTCACTTTGGCCACTAAGAATATCCGTTTTATTTTCCATGATACTATTAACGTTAATTACACCTTAACGGATTTAAACTACATAAATGGATACAACACATACACAAATGGTAAAAGTGAAATCATAACTGAGGTGAATATAAAAAATTCAATAGATATAAAATATAGTCTACTGAATTATTTACCAATTTCTTCAACTTATTTAATAATTGGCTATAATTGACTACTTATGCATTGTAAAATGTCTTGACAGAGATATCAGTACAACAGCCTGAAAAATTATCAGAGAAGAATTAGTTTTAATAACACGTTATCAGTATCTATCTGCTACTTATGTACAGCTATGCTGTCTTATTAATTCTTTTTCGAGATAAAAAATTTCGTAATTATATTATTTAGTAACAAGAGAAAAAGAGGGAATAAATTCAGTATGAGACTACGTACTAGTACTTACAATAAGTACTAATGATGCTAGAAAGCTGATAAAAAAATCTAATCTTGTTTAATCAATGACAAATAGTAAAACTGAACAAATATGTGATTTCAAATTTGTACGTGAAAAGTTGTGCCCTCTGTGATTTGACAATTTGTACACATGTGACATAAATCTCATTTAACCTGCTTCTTCCCCCCCCCCCCTCCCCGAGTTTTGTTGAAACAACAAAGTAACAGTATTTCGTGTCATAATCTCAAAAATTATTTATAAAACGATCAAAAATGTAAATATATATATAAGAAATATTTACACGAGTCACAAATTCCAAAGCAATGATGATTAATGAAATATAATTGTTATTTTTTGATAAATAACAATCTCGTAGTATTGAATTAAAAAGAAAAAATCAAGTTGAATTGAAAATTTTATATTTTTTACAAAGACATGCTGAATATATATTTAACTTGTATTTTCTCTGTTTATATTTTATGAAAAAAGTATATCAAATTTATCGAATTCGATGTATCTTATCTTACAAAATCTAATGCCGTCACCGACTCCAACTACATTACTTAAGATAACAATTATCTTTGTTTATGAACGTGTTAATTTTGATATGTTCTATCACACTGCGTCGCTTTCGTATTCTCCACCCAGACATAGTATTAATGGATTCCAATCACTTGATATGGTGAGGCATGCCTCACAAGATATTCCTTTGTTCGATCCTCATTTATATTCATTTTAGTTATAACGATTCATTCCTCATTAAATCATAATTGAGCGATATTTTCTACTTAAAGAAAAATAAAAATTTTACAGTAAAGCAAAATCTATGAAAGTTGAATTGGGTTTTAAAATGAAAATACTTTGTAGCAAATATAATAATAATTCAAACAGTAGAACACAATGTGAATGAAAACCTTCAATTATGAAGATAATATTTATTGTTATGCTTTACAAAACATAGATCACATCAAACATACATCATTCCTATTAACTTCATGCATAAGATAAGTTTATAAGGATACATATTATTATTATTATTTGAATGTAAATTTTTTTTACGTACAAAATATAAAGTCCTAAACAAATACAAGCATTCTTGTTTTCTTTACCACATTCATTTTCACAATGAAAGATAAGGAGTATTTTATTTCTTTTTTCCTTATATATTACGTATATAATAAAATGTTACATGTACTTTTTTTTTATTCTTTTTTTTATAGTAATGTTTTTCACGAAAACCTGTAGAACTATACACACTACAAGTAAAACTGACTCAAACTGACTGATGCGAGTTTTATAAATGCCAAAAGTGGAATAGAGTCCAGGATTTAGTACACACTGAATTATTTAACATACTCTTTCATTGCTTTTTTTCACAATATTATATGCATCATTAAACGTGAGTTCGTAGTCAAAACATTTCGCGCATTACTTAGAATAGTAATATTTAATAAAGTTATACATAAACTATGTAAATGTAACTGTGAATTATTATTTAGTTAAATATATTACAATATGAATCGTAATTGTTAAACTGTTTGTGTTTTGATATAAATTATCTATATTCTTATATGATTTGCAAACGTTGACAATGACCGAATGTCGAAGCTGTTATAAATATGCTTATTCTCTAATATTAGAATTTGGAACACTTTTGTGAGGTCTTAATGAAATGGCAGATGTACAATGCATCAAGATGATATGATTAAAAAAAAATAATAATAATTTTTGTGACTTAGGATTCAACGGAATTATTATACTGAAAAATATAATTTGTCTTTTATGATCATTACGAATAAAAACTTGTATTGTATCAATAATTTGATGAAATGATTCAAAATAATATTTATCTTAGTTTAATAATAAATGAAAATGAAACAAAGTCGTAATAAATTCTGATTCATTAAATCCCTTAAAAAAATATTAAACTAATTAATATTCATCGATGTTACTTTAGTTATTAAACAAATTTTATGTTCTGTTGAATGGTTCTAACAGTGAAACACTAATCAACTTTCGTAACTGAACGTAATACGGAAATGAAATTTCACTGTAATACAATTGTAATTCAGTATGTTAAATCTTTGATTTATGAAATGTTTTATCGTCGATAGCGTAAGAAACGCGACATCCGACCTCAAAAACTATTATAATTACTTCCTCCTAGTTGAGAGCTAAAGCCTCTGTTTGGGGAATATCCGGGCCTGAAGTTATTACCCAAGCCTAGGAATAGAAATTTTAAATTAATATTTACTTCAATTAAGTTAATTACATTCGGAAAAAAATAAATGATTTAAAATTTCAAAAGTAGCAAAACGAAAATACCTCCGCAGAAATTTCCAATGCCACCCAATGACATTCCGCTTGAACCACCAGTTGAATTTAAAAATAATTCAATATACCTATGAGACATGTGGCTTTTGTCCTATAACAATTTATGCAACATTGTAATAGAAAATAATTAATTAAAAATCATGATGTTAGTTAAATTTATTATAACCTTGGACATAGCTTTGACAGCTTCCTCGTGAGTTGCAAATTCTACGTCAGCTTCTCCAGAAGGACGTCCACCATTTTCAAGAATAATTCGAACATTTACTGGTTCGATAGGTCTAAAGAACTAGAATTGGGATCACAAATATATTAACTCAGTAATAAATATTTTACTCAATAAAAAATTTTACTCATTTGTTTCATTCAGTCAGAGACTTACATCGGCTATATCTTGCTCAGTAGCTTTGAATGGTAATCCACGCATGTGTATACTGTGGATACCAGAATTACCACCCCATGTATCACCACTGCCTCTAAAGTTTCCACCTTTCATGTCCAAACCACCCCTCATTCCCATACTTCCTCCGCGTGAATCGAAGTTATTACCACTTGCCCATGGACCGCCATCAAAGTCTAAAACGTATTATATGGTAATAAGAGGAAGATAATCTAATATAAATTCATATCATATTTATTAATGACTTCATGTAGTACCTCTATTTCTAGAACCTCGGCTATTATTGCTAAAACGGTTCATCCCTCCAAAACGAGAGCCTCGGTCATAGGGTGCAGGTCTCTGATTGAAACCACCCATCGGCCCACCTCGCATTTTCGGTCCAATACTAGCGCGTACCTCGGACAAACTGCTTCGGAAGATTTCGATGTATCTGTTAAGATTGATATTAGTTATTATTATTCTCGTATAAACATTATTGCCGCTCATATCGTCGGCTGCCTTCTCAAATAAGAGAAAATTTGATGCAAAAATACCAATGAGCATATAAAATATTCGAATTTTTAAACGAAAATAGATATAAATAGGAAGTACGACGTCGAAAATAAACGATTTTCGTGTAACAAAATTAATCGATTATTGCTCCAATACAAAAAGAAAAAAAAAAATTAAAAATAAAATAAGAAAAATGATAAGTGATTCGAAGAAAAAATCCATACTGAGAATTTTGTAATGGATTAACTGTTCATACTACACCTCCGCATATTTATTAAAACTGTGTGTAGATACCCTCCCTCGGTGACATTGCATTCTGATGTATCTTATGTCACCCTAGCCATTGAGATGCTGATGATCCTCAGGTATATGACAATTACAATTGCACTTTATGCAACTCAAGAGAGAAAGAGAAAGAGAGAGGAAAAGAGAGAGAGAGAGAGAGAGAGAGAGAGAGAGAGAGAGAGAGAGAGAGAGAGAGAGAGGAGATAAACAATACATAAGTATCGAGAAGCGATACAACATAAAAGAAATTATTTCGAATTTAAATGTTTAATTTAAAAAAGATTTAAAAAAAAAGAGAGAAAGCTAAAACGACTGAAGTTATTCCATGATGTGAAATATTTCCGTGCAATTAAAACGAGCTGTATGTATCAACTATAGTGGATCTTACAAAAGAGAAACTGTGCAATGCCTTCGAGTTCGATTAGAATATTACATTATCTTGCATAAAACGTACAATTGTGCAATTGTCAAACAGGTGTGCTAAATTAGATCGATGATTACTACCTCCGTAGCGCCCACCCATCCTGGGTTAGCCCTACCCACCTCCCATGGGATTTGGTGACGATGTAAGGGGGTACCTCCCGCCCGGCACCCACCCATAGGTTTCAGTTGGGCCAACAGTACTTTCGCTTACGTACCGCTAATTTTCTTTTCTTTTCTTTTTTTTTTTTTTGTGTTCAGAGAGAAGCAGTTTCTTTATACAATTAATTTCCAAAATAACACATGAATAGAATAATATGAATTCAAAGTTTTATAAACACTTTTTAATCATATAATTCATTCTGGAATCATTCGTACCAATAGACAAATTATTTCAATGCACTGTCTTCTCGTTTGTAAGATAAAATAATAAAGAAACTGCGTCTAATATATAAAGATTCGTTCCCGCTATTTACTAACAAAATTTATATACCTACATGTACTACGATCATAAAATGATATTGAAAAGTCATAAGTATACCCAAACCCAGCTAGCGTCAGTGCCCCACCTGTGTCCTATCTTTTCCTTGTGTTTCTGCAGAGCGCGCTCCGCAACATCTTTGTTAACAAATTGAACGTAAGCCTCCCCAGTACTGCGGCCCGTGTAGTCTGTTGGTAGAGAAATCCCGTTCGGCAAAATCTCCAACCCTGACCCACACATAATCAAACATCGACATTGTAGCGTAACACCCATTATTAATTATAGTATCGTCAATTTATTTAAAACCCTTATAAAGAAGCAAGATTTAAAACATCCTTTGCACATTTTACGTGCAAAATGCGTCTCGCTCCAAAAATTTCTCAATTAAGTCAAAACAAAAAGAATATTGACTACGCCGAAGTTAAGAATTAAGTTCTCATGTATAGAAAACACAAAGATATAAATAAAAAATATAAGGAAATTTTTGTACAACTATACAAAGCAGATATGAAAATTATAATGAATCTTTTTTTTTTAAGTCTATAGAGGATTGCAGAACATAGGAATTTCCTTAAATCTTAACTAAGGCCAACTGATGATTACAGAAACACAGAGACACTGCTTGGGACGGGTATAAAATGAATTTCATATTTGTACGTATGTAAAATATTCAAATGCTATATCGCTTTATCTTAATGTGTCTTGTCCTGACAGATATTTCCCACATTGAATCTAAATATATAAAATATTTCAATTTTGAAACATACCTCTCTTCAACATTAATTCAAAGCACCTATATTAATTTCTTTAAATAAGGATAGAATAAAAAGTTACATTATTACCTATATACTATTACCATATGTACTATAACCATCAAAAGCATTTAGTCCCTGTGATTCAACTTTTATTTGATCAATAAAAATCAAACAATAAGCAAATAATTTAATTATATATATATGTATATATATAAAAAAAGAAAAAACAAGACACATTGATCACCAATAAGGTATAAGTGAATTTCTAGCAATATATTATACCAAGAAAAATGGATAAGAACACAAGTTTGAATGTATGGTATAAAATACCTGAGAAGAACTGAGCAATCTCTTCCTTAGAACAGCCAAATGGTAGACCACGTAATCTCACGCAACCATCATCCATAGCATTCTCTAGATTCATACCACTTCTCTTGACTACCCACTCCATTTCGCCTCTTTTTGCTTTAAAAACTACAATAAAAAAGCATACATTGATTATATCTTTTAAAAATATTTTATCTTTGCCTTTTTTTGTAACAAACCTTCTATGTAACGATGACCCATGTGATCCCTATCTCGTTTGCAAGCTTTCTCAATATCTTCAAGCGTGTCCATTTCTACATAAGCTTCTCCACTTGGACGGCCCTCTCTCGACATTGTCATATGTACACCATTTTTACCATTTGTGATGGAACAATCATTGAAAAACTTCATGATTTCGTCAACGGTGGTAGACCATGGAAGTCCGCGCAGTTTAACAACGTAGCCTTCATCATCATGGTCTCCACTTCCATTCGACATGGTTGTAGTCTAGAATAAAGTGCATAAGAACATATATAAATATATCCTGACTCTTTTCATTCTAAATATTTTATAACTATTATTTACTGTTTAAATACGACATATTCTAACAAATTATCGTTTTTTACCTTTTCATTACTTAAATTTTCATTTAAATACGTATTACATCATTTATACTGTAATAAATTTATAATAACAGTCCTTCAAAAATTTGGAGGTCGGTCATTTCCGATCAAATGTTAAAATAATTGCAAATATAATATTTCGTAATTTGTCATTAAGACTTAAAAGATTAATGAACAAGAAAAAATGCAATTTGTAACAAAATCGTTGGAACAATTTGAAAAAAGGATACCTCATTACCGAAAAATATCGATAACATTCTAGTTTTTGATCTTACGCCAGCAAGATATGATTGTTCCGTAAATTGTAAATATTATTAATCAAACTTACGACTTTCTGGTGTTGATCTATAAGTTAGAAAAGAAAATTGCAAATTTTGCTTAATTGACAGCGAACGCTCGGCCAATTCCACGCTTGACGAAACTATCAGCAAAATGGCGTTTACCCTAACGAAGTTTGTGACTGGTTCACAAACATAAAACGCTCTACAATAAAACACAAATATATAAAGTCTTTGATTTCTTTAGGATTTGCGTAAACTTTACAAAGATTAAAGTAACACGTACTGTAGCTAAATATTTTATACTTCTTAAAATATACAAAAATAGAAATCACGGACGACTAATAATTGTTGCTTTGGAAACGCACCATATATATTTTTTCGTTAACTGAAACGAAGATTTACAATTCTTTTATTATTAATGTATCATTTTAAAATACAAATTAATATTTAAAAGTATAAAATATATGTCACAAAGATTTATGTACAATTATTAATAGTTGTATATTCGTCTTGATATATCGCAAGTATCATTAAGAAGTCGCTTTGAAACTTTCGACGCAAATTTTGAATCGAGGATAAAGATCGAGGAAGATCAAGCTTGAAACAAGATGGAATTGCTAAAAATATATCATGAATTACCGGGCACAGAGCACTCTATGAAGAATCTGAAGGATTCGTCACGGAGTTTGAAGAAGACATCAGAATTTCATAGAAATTCGCGCCAACAGAAGCGCATCAAGGCAAACACGCAATTCCACGTTGCAGTTCCTAAAGTCATCCAATGTCGACTATGAAATAGTTTTTACCAAACTATATTGATCGTGTTACGTATTTAGACTTGTTTAGACCTACAAATATTTGGACTGTAGCTGTTTAAACTAATATTGATATATTCGCGATACGCTTTACGCAAGGTAAGACATCCTGAATATCGAAGTAATAAAGTATCACAAAGCAACGGGAAAGAGTGAAAATCTCGTGTCTGCAGTCACGTCGCGAGACAGAGGTCGTGACTGAATCCAAGGAAATAGAATCCCGTTCGACAGTGGAAGGATTGAAGTCGATCGAATTGATCACGGAGAACGTAGTTGATGGAACGTTCGTCGCGCTGGAGAGCTGTGCAAGGTGGATGCTAAGAGGAACCGTTCGCAGCGAAATCCCGTAACGTTTGCACGCCGTTACGACAATCAACGTCACGTGCAGCTGTGTAGGAGCGAATTGAATTTCACCAACAGGTCATCCAGGAGCGCACGATGAGCTTCCTATTGTAAGTTTTTCCCTCCCCCCCCCCCCTTCCCACTTTCACCGTTTATACGAAAAATCGACTTTTACCTTGTTGTACGCTTCTTTCGTTGTACTCGGTATTGAATTTTCAATGCCGCGAAGAAACAGGCTCGCTGAACCGTTCAATATTCTCCTGTTAATATCACGTCGCGACAAATGTTTGCAAATGACAAACGACACCAAGGGAGAGATTGGTAATTTGTTGCCGTAGATCGCGATCGCGGTGACGATAGATATTATTGAAACTGCCCGACCTGTTTTCGTTGTTATTTTTGCTAATTTAGATAGTCACAAACCGTCGTGTCCCTCGATTCGTATACACAAACAATCGACCAATTGGTGGATATCTAAAAATAGAACGATGTAATTCTTTTAAAAAATCCCATCATTTTCGGACCCGCGATCTCTATGGGCCTCTCAGCCACTGCTTTCACGCAACTTTTCTGCTGCGTACGCGCGCATATTCGTCGCACGTCCAGTTATTCGTTACAGGGCACATCTCGCCAAGCACCATGAAAGCAGTTTTCTCTTTAGATACGATGCACCTCTTTGATGTCATAGAATACATATTGGGCAAGTTCTTAGTTGCAATGCCGATCAGTCAATTTGTTGCATCCGCCTTGAGCATTGTTTCGCTCACTCGTAAGATCTACGCGTCTTTCCCTGCTATATTTACGTCGTGATCACGTATGATCAATTGATTTTTATTTGTTTTTGTAGATATTTATAATGAACCGTTTCAGCCTGTAAACAAATCAGACATTCTGCTTCGTGTTTCTTTCTAACGTGGAAATTAATATTGAATCGTTGAAATGTATTTTCATGGTGTTTTGATTCAAGTGGAAGCAGGTCTTCGAAAACCTTCAAGCCAAAGAAAAATATCCCGGAAGGGACTCACCAGTATGACCTGATGAAGCACGCAGCGGCCACTTTGGGTTCGGGAAATTTAAGACTCGCAGTTATGCTTCCTGAAGGTGAAGATTTAAACGAGTGGGTCGCAGTAAATAGTATGTATTATTATTACTTATGTTTCATATTTCTACTTTCAATAATTGATAAATGACCAACTAATTTTGTTTTATTACTTCCAATGTTGCAGCTGTTGATTTTTTCAACCAAATCAACATGTTATTTGGCACCATCACGGAATTCTGTACAGAAGAAAGTTGTCCTATCATGTCTGCAGGACCAAAATACGAATATCATTGGGCTGACGGGCATACCGTTAAAAAACCAATTAAATGTTCTGCACCAAAGTACATTGATTACTTAATGACTTGGGTGCAAGATCAGTTAGATGATGAAACCCTTTTCCCTTCGAAAATCGGTCAGTTGCATTGTTTAGTTTTTGGATAAGATAATTTCACATTTCACACGCTGATAAAATCGTAATCTTACAGGGGTCCCTTTCCCAAAAAATTTCTTATCCATCGCCAAGACAATACTGAAAAGACTATTTAGAGTGTATGCACATATCTATCATCAGCACTTTAGCGAAGTGGTCCAACTTGGTGAGGAAGCGCATTTAAATACATCGTTCAAGCATTTTATCTTTTTTGTTCAGGTAGAGTATTCAAAACTAAACAAATGTTCAACAAACGAATGTCCCATCGTGATTTGATGTTCATATATTGCGTTCGTTTGTTTTACAGGAGTTTAACTTGATAGAAAGAAGAGAATTGGCACCGTTGCAAGAATTAATAGAAAAATTAACAGCGAAGGACGCCCGATGAATCTTAATCGTCAACTGAAAACTCCTCCAAAGAATCTTGTCCATGCTATCTTTTTAACAGACGTGTAATTGTGCATGTTATTTAACTAACCCAATTCATTGCTAACCCGATCATAGTTTTGAGCCAGGCATTTCATTGTTATATTACATATAACATATTTTATTCAGTTACAAAAACAAGTGACTGACTTCTGCATTTTGTAACGAAGATGATTCTTAGGAAGGAAAAGGCTATTTGGAAGATCGATGAAATTACGGTAAAGATTGAGATGGTGAGGATTATTAACGTAGACTTTTGTAAAATAGTTATACATTTGATACAAATTATAGTATCAGTTTTTCATTTTGAAAGGAGGGAGAAAATGTTATTTCTTAAATAGACGAGGTGTTTCATCTTGGATTGATTACGTGTAATTTGTTACGCATAACAAATTTTTATACTTTAAACTCTGAAAAAAAAAAAAATTAATTCATATCGGCTATATAAAATAGATTAGAGCTTTTAATATTAGGGAAAAAAAGAACGATGACGTTCGGTCTATCTATGTTTTTTCTTATTTTTATTATCTTTTATATTATGTGTTACGTTATTTCACTATAAAAGTTCGGAAAATATTGTCACTTTTATAAATAGAAACGGTACTACGCGTAATGTCTAAAAATGAATATTCTTCTTTTAACGTTGTGTCTTTGAGTATCAGTATGAATTGAAACAACCCGAAATTGAAGATTCTATATCATTACTAAACTATGCATTGTTGGTACATAACGTTATTAAGTTAATATTAATCTATTTACATTTAACTTCATACTGTGTAATTAGTTTAGGCGATTATTATCATCGTGTTAAGCGCTTGCAATAGAAATTTTATATGCACTATATCTTTTATCCTTTATACGAGTGAGTTCTTGAGTCTACTCTATTTTAGAAAGAATATTATATTATATTTAAGCCGTTTGCGTTTCGTTACTGGGAAAATTCTTTTTGTATTTCATCTCTTTTTTTTTTCCTTTTTGTCTAAAAATGACTTTCTCTTAAATGTTACAGAAATATTTGTAGACGAATTTACAAAAAATTAGTAATTTTATTTTCAAGTATAATATAAATTCGATTTGAAAGAATATGTTGCATTTGAAAGAGTTAGAATTAATTTAATGGATACAGGGTATCCCAGGAAAAAACGCAAAAGGCAAACATTTTCGTATAAATAAATACGTGACGTGTATAGTTACAGTATGCACAGTCACATATGATTTATTTCGCTATTAAGAAATCATCTTTGATATATAGAAATGTCAAATACAATAGGACGCATTATTCGTTTATAGCATGTTCAGATAGTTTCCTCGCTTATAGGAGAGATCAGATGTTAATATATATATACACGTACATATATATATTAATATAAATGCTTACTGTTTTCACGTGCGGTGAGACTGCATCCGTTGCATTCGAATATTTAAATGGATGCATTGTATTCGCTTGAAACTAGAAAATACTCGTCAAATAGTTTCTGTTCACACTCTGTGTCCTTTGCTGTGATGGTCGGATTTTGCATTTCTGCGTGAAGAGCGGGGTGAAGTTTTAACTAAGTTTTTCATGCTGGTGTTCATGTAAGTGACTATCGTTTGAATGGAGTAATATAGGAAAATAGGACGTTATTGCTTATACTATTGTGAGATATGTTTGCTTTTAATGGACTAGGCTATTTTGTGATAAGTATCGCATAAAGTAATTACATATTGAATTAGAAAAGATACAAGGAGATGTAGTGGTTGCGACTTTTGTTGATATCTTCCGTTCAAGATTTGGTGGGAGAAATGCAAAAAATTTCTTTTAATACTATATTTAGTATAATAACATCAATGGTTATTGACCACGTTTGTTAATTCAACATTTACATATACGATAACTATTTTATGCAGAATTATGAATTAACTGTTATTATGTGAGTGTACTAAAAACTCTCAAAAATATTTAGGAAAATTTACAATAAATTTAATATATTCAAAATACTACTACAATCACTTGTATCTTTTATCAGTTTAGCGACTATATATGAAGAACTTATCTGAGAACAGTCTAAATTTATCGACACAACAAGCGGAAAGATGGGGATTGATTGAAATTCGTGACTGCGACAGAGATTGCAAATTGTTAGTGATTGAAGCGAATAGAAGGAACAAAGTGTTATTTTTTATAAAAAAAAAAAGAAGGAAAACAAAAAGAAAAGGCGTCTGCTACTATTTAACACCGAAAACAATTAGAGTTTTTGTTTATCTCTCTCGCGTTAACGTATGAATCGATCGTGTAGAAACATTGTGTAAGGTTGCTCGATGTGATACCATTTTTTCATGTAAATCACGAGGATCAATGAGAAAATTTTACGAGGTCCAGGACTAATATAAATGTATTTTATTATAAACGACGTAAACGAACTAGCTTTCATAATAAACTTCAATACTTATCGACGAGCAGGAATGGATAAACGAGAGAAAAATAACCATAGGATGGCTTGAGTTTCAAAGAATGACGATTCGAGATAGGCATTTTTTCGTGATGGTCTACTGGCGTGTTGAATGTAAAACGAATATAAATAACAATAACAGTAACAATAATAATGGCTCGTATCGACGATAATATTGTATTCAGTACTTAAGAAGATTGAAAGAATTGTACCTTATTACATAGAAAGAGGAAAAAATTTTTCTCGCAGCAAACACACACGACACACACGATTTCGTCTCTCTTCTTTCTTAATCATAATATTCAAATTAGAGGAGCGAAATCGTTTGAGTATATTAGCGTTGTCAGCTAGAAATTATTTTACACACAAATAACGCTGTTATCGATTATAATTATTATTATTATTATTATTATTTTTATTTTTATTTTTATTTTTTATTTAGTAGTATTATCGATACAATTATATGCCTTTATTACTGTTTATATATGATAATTTACACGGTTCGTGTCGTTAGATTGGCGTTGAATCTTTAACAAAACGCATTTGGATAATTTTTTTCTTTCTTTTTTTTGTTTTACTAAAAATAAATGTAACTCAGTATGTTATCTTTTTGACTAATTTGTTGAAAAATAATAAATATTTTTCCTTTCTTAATATATATAACATACACGTATAAATACAATTCTCCTTGTGTTGTTCCTTTCATTTTATTTTCCATCTTCTGTTTCTCTGAAATTTTTGACATTGTTTCATTAATGTCGCTGCGCTTTTTGCACATTGAAGAAGTGTCCAATTGTCTCAAAATTTGTCGATGATTGTTTTAAAAGAAAGTTAATACTATTTTTTTTTTCCTTTTATGTTTTAAAACTTTTAGTAGATTCTTTGATCTTGAAGTTTCTATCTCAAGAAAGTGGCTTCGTGGCTTTTAAATAAACGGGGACATACGCCAGTAACTTATTTTGTGTATTTTAAGCACAGACCGATTTTTATTGAATATACAACAGAATAAATTGCAAATTGTAAAATGAGTTTGTCGTTATGGTTGACAGTTGAATAAAAACAGCTTTTTCAAAAAATGCGCGCGAAAAGATTTCAAGACGACGCTAGTGATATATCTGTGCAATGTAAATAATATGTTTTTCAAATACACAATAAACGAAAGTTCACGCGTAACTACAAACATAAAACTAGTTCGCAGTATGTAATAAGACTCCTTTTATTTCTTATATTTTCTTTCCGTTGATTTGAAATTGCAACGACTACGCCCCACTTACTTTCACTTTTGCTATTAATACCACAAACGCAATGAAACATATTTGAACTCGTTTAGAGTTCATAAAATAGCAATCAAGTGAAGCACCATAAATGATCCTTTCTACAAAAAAAATTAGTTTCTCATCTTCTACAATTACAATCATTTCTCTCGTAATCCTCAAAGCAAAACAAATTGTAAAATTTGATATATCATTATTTTTGTATTTTGTTATAAAATTAAATATATTTTTACCGAATTCAACTGTAATAATTCAATAATCTCAAGATTCGAAACGATGACTTGCATCAACAAGTGTCGTGCAGAGATGAGAAGTTCCCCGAAAAGAATGTGGGTCTGGTTGGTTATTTCCAATTCATTCTCAAATTTAAGAATAACTATTGGTTGAGAGTGTCACGCAGAACAAACAAAACCTAGGGGGTCGGTTACTGAGAGAAGGAACTGCTTCCTTTGCTCTTACATGGGACTTTCCATTTTTACATAGATACAGTTATATATAACTGAAAATATACAATTTGTAATTCGTGAGTAGATGGTGAAATTTCTGTAGTGGATGATTTTATGTATAATGTTATAAAAGATATAGAAGATGGAGTGTTTTTCGTCTCAGAGTCACCGCCAGATTCATCAACTGGCTGATGCCGTCCTTAACCTCAGACGCTCGGTTTATTAGAAACCTTTAGCTTGGGCCAACAAACGGCACCCATCCTAGAAATGTTCCGCAGTCTGCGCCTAAAGATCGCACTTAATCCGTACATAAACGACATTCACTTACGATTTGTAATATTCGTGTCTTTAGAATTGGTATACTAAGGAAAGACTGGATATGCTAGCCGCTACAGGCATTAAAATACTAGCGTTGCGTAGCGATGAAACGATGGAACTAATTTATATTGTTATCCCTGTCGCACACTATCACTCGTCTACGGCGCGAATATGTCTGTCCTTGTCACACGCTATTACCCTCCTTGTCTACCGCATAGATATCTCTGTCCTTGTCGCACGCTAGTGCCCTCCTTGTCTAATGACGCTAGACAAGGAAAGCAATAGTGTGCGACAANACACACATTTTTCTAGGACAAAACACACATAGAAAGAAAGCAGGGAGCCTAGTTTTGAGGAGGCATATAAAAAAGTTTGCAAATTATTCCTCTTAATTAGGCTTTTCTCGTAAATAGTGCGAACTGTCACAAAATGAACATGGTGGCGCCATCTAGCGGTAACTCAGTGGTACTAATTATTTATAAAAATACTTATTTCTGCATTTTACGGGTTAAATGGGGTATGAAAAGAAAGCTAAGGGTTTAATTAGGGTAATACAATCACAAAAATTCACAATTCATTTCGTTAAATTTGATTTTTTCGCAAATGAAGGTTTCTCTGTTTTACTAGCGGCGCTAGTGTTTCGTACCCCATAAAACAGAGAAATTTTCGTTAGCTAATTTAGCGAAATGAATTGTGAACTTTGGCGATTGTATTATCCTAATTAGGCCCTTAGCTTTCTTTTCATACCCCATTTGACCAGAAAAATACAGAAATAAGTACTTTTATAAATAATTAGTTGAGTTGCCGCTAGATGGCGCCACCATGTTCATTTTGTGACAGTTCGCACTAATTACGAGAAAAACCTAATTAAGAGGAATAATTTGCAAACTTTTTTATATGCCTCCTCAAAACTAGGCTCCCTGCTTTCTTTCTATGTGTGTTTTGTCCTAGAAAAATGTGTGTGTAAAAAGTTGATTTTTTTTCCAATAGATCGCAGGATGTCTTTGTCGCACACTATTGCTTTCCTTGTCTAGCGTCATTAGACAAGGAGGGCACTAGCGTGCGACAAGGACAGAGATATCTATGCGGTAGACAAGGAGGGTAATAACGTGTGACAAGGACAGACATATCTGTGCGATAGACAAGGAGAGCAACAGCGTGCAACAAGGACAAACATATCTGTGCGGTAGACAAGGAAAGCAACAGCATACGATAAAGACAACAATATAAATTAATTCCGGCACTTATCCACACGGTGCATGCTTAATTAAAACTAAGTTGCTGAACAGTTTTTTATAAAAAGAATTGACGTAAACATGATCTTTGTTCTCCTGCCTATTGCTGTAATCGCAGTCGTTTCAAAAAGTACTGGATTTGTCTAGAGAAAACAATTAAATGTTATATATCAGACATTTAAAGTATCTAAATGTTTTCTACGTATGATATCCCTTTGTAATTCTAAGAAAGTAAAGATATAGTTGAATTTATCTCTTGATCTCTCCCTAACTTGAGATCAGCAGAAAGTTTCCCATTTAATGAGAAACACTTGGCCATTGCTTCAAAAGCACCTTAACAGAATTAAACTTTTCTAGAATTTTCAAGAAACCTGTCGTAAGTGTAAATTTCAAAGTGTGAAATTGACAGAGAACGGTGAATGGTGTGTTAACTATTTGGACAATATGAAGAACGTATTAAATAGCGAATGGCTGCTAATTCATGCTAATTCACTGCTTTCAAGGTTGTTCAGTCAGTGACATAAAACATTGGCATAAAATTGGCATGGTTCACCAACTCTGTTTTATCGATACTTAAGATAAATGCACGTGCAATTAGTACACAGATAAATACATTTTCAAAGGTGATCATTTTTAAAAACAAAATCCCTTTTAAACAAAAATTTTATTAATTATATTTTTATTGTATTTATCATGTTTTATTCATTATCCTCCAATTTATTTTTATCTATAAATAATACTTTGTACCGCACAATAGTATATATCTTATATTAAATATGATTAGAGTGGATATAATTGGAAAAATAAATAAAATTACATTTTCAGAAAAGAGTATTAATTCTGATGCTAGTAGAATTATTATCTATTGATTTTTAATAAAAATTTCGATTGTAAATAAAGTTTCACTTTTGGTAAAACTATTGTAAATTCCAATCTTTCCTATTTCAAGCTTTTTCTCTGTACCTTGAATTAGAAAATTTTTTGCTTCTTGAACTATTGATCAAGTAATTAATTTTTAAGTTACCTCTACTCAAATAACCGATTTTTTTTTTATTGAAATATAGAAAAAGAGAAAAACAACTTTTTCAATGATTATTATGTTGTGTAACATAATGTGCGGCTCAAGAACCAGTTCGAACATCTTGGTGCCGCATTTATATTATAAACATTTTGAATACATGCATGATTCCAAGCATAATGCATAGAAAAAATGAATATCGTGACCAGGCAGCAAAAATGACTTTGAACATCAGAGTCAAATCTTTTTTGTATCATATTTTGGTCGTCGAGAGGAGTGAAAGTATCTGATGTATCGTAGCCTGGAAAATGATGTTAAAGTTCCACTAATCTTTAATTAATCGTTTGCAATTTGCTTTTCTTTTGCAGTATAAACAGCCGTATTTGATAACATAGTATTTCTATAGTAACAGACGAGATATCTCGTATTTCCAATTGTAATTAAATAAAAGGAAAGTGATTGAAGCGAGAAGATCCTTAACTTAAAGAGAACGACAATGTTAACGCTAGAATTATGGACCATTAAAGCATCAAATTTCCATCAGAGACATTGAAGTAGAAAAAAAAAAGTAGAAAATTATTTTAGAATAAAATGGGGTAAGTTCATTTCACGAAAACTTATATTAATCTCTAAAAATATACTGCTTTAAAAACATCTATAAAACAACGAAAATTACAAACTGGTCATTTCGATCACTTTGGTGGTTTTAGTATTAAGCGTCACTGGAAAGATCTGCACGTTTTCTCAAACGAGATAGATCATTATATTGTTACGTACAATAATTAACATACATATATGCAAGCATAATAATTAACTGCGCATGTTTAAGCACATAAAATATGCACAAAAAATATGTGAGACGTATAATGATGGCTTTTTTTTCACTATTCATTTATTATTCAACATCTTTTTCCTTTCTTTTACGTTTCGTTTTACGTTTAATTCAACCAAGTTTCAGAAATCATCCCACTCTAATGATTTTTTACTTAAGTATGCCGCGCGTATGACAGAGTCGTTTAGTTCGTAACTGTTCGTAACTGTTCGTAACTGAATTATAAGGCAAATATGAATTATCGAAATGTTGAATTGACGCAGAACATTTTCTTTTCATTTCTCGGTTTGTCATGGATTTGAAGTTTTGTTTTACGTAAACGTGAGAAACAGTGAGAAGTCAGTAACAACGTAGGTAGTTTGCAGTAATCGTGAAACAATTTTGACGTTGTTAAATTAACAATTGGAGCTAAAAAAAGAAAAAGAAATATGGAAACTTCGGCGCACACCTTGGATACATTTGCCACAAACTGCGATTATTTGGTAAGTAACGATGATGAATTACAATGAGTGCAAAATCGCACACTCGATGAAAAATTGTTAATATTTCCAACTCTTATAACTTCGTGAAGAAGAAATTTGTACAACAAATTTTATGGAATCGTTGCAGAGAGGAAACTTCAATCTTCAAGATTGTTGAATTTTAAGTACGAAAAATAATTTTTCCAGCGTCTATAGACGTTTTTGAGTTTGCAAAATTTTCAAGAAGAAGAATCATTATTCCCTTTCAAAGTGATGTAAAAATATCTTTGGGAAAAAAGAAGTTCGTGAGAATAAAAACTTCATGCTTTACAACGAGTTCAGGTAGATTGTTCTACGATCTTTAAAGTTATATATAGTTATATAGTATATAAAGTTATATATAGTTCAGGTAGATTGTTCTACGATCTTTAAAGTTATATATAGTTATATAGTATATAAAGTTATATATAGTTTAAAGTATAAGTATATATTTAAAGTTCTATATAATTAATAATAATTTAAAGTATCGACAAATTTGTCACAAAATTTTTAAAATCGCTGTTACTTTGCAAGAAAAAAATCGCAAAATAATAATAATTTAAAGCATGAAACTTCTACCTTTACAATACTGAGTTCGTTTCTTTCAAAGATGCATCTACAATGTCAACAATTTTCACGAAAAATTTTTCAATTTTCTAATATTTTCCAATCTTCATGATCCACCATGATCTTGAAGATTGATGGATTTTTTACAACGATTACATAAAATTTGTTGACGACGTTATACAACTTTTTTTTCCACAAATCTATGAGCATTTTAATTTTTTGCAATGAATATAATTACTTTTATAATGAATATATTTATGCAAAACATCTAATTGAATTTTAAATGAATCTTATTGAATTTTATTTATTTATTTAAATTGGATCAATCAATCTAGTCAATTAAATTTTAAATGAACGAGAATCACTAGCCACGATTTTAGGATGATATATAGACATCGTGCAATTCTCTCTGCAATTTTCTTCGATCCTCCTCATCCAAGTTTTACGCAAGTTTACTTTACTTCGGTTACGTTAGACCACTGACGAAAGCTAGCGATGTGAAACGAACATTTACTCAACAATGTCAATTAGCTTTGCAATATGCTGTCATCATCACTGATTGTTGCTCTTTGAACTCTCCTCGCAATACAGGAGAAATTGAGCCTTCGTTTCACTATAAACAAACGATGACAACGATCGTATCATGCAATGTTTATACAATACATCAATCTTCTCATTTTTTGCGAATTCCGAATTTCTGTAAAATTTCAAATTGAAATTCAAAACTGGAACGAAAATAATTTAAGATTAATAGAATATGTAGATAAAAAGAATATGTAGTGTATAATATAACAACGATGCTTTAAGAAACTTATTTCTTGGAAGAGTGATTAATTCAAATCTCATAATTAAAAAACAATTTCAAATCTGTTTTTTTCGTTCTGCAATTGAGTTTATTTTTCTCGGATCAAGGATCATATTAACTTGTAAATATTAGCAGAGCTGTTTCAGTTCTCGGTTTCTTAAACAAAAATTCCGATTCTTGGAAGATTCAAAGCCACGTTCACTTTTTCAAATGGAAATATTGACTGTTATTCCTTTTATTACAAGAATTTAAGATGGGATTATCCGTTTTATTTATTTAGGGATTATCCTCTCCTTAGATCCAAAATTTACAAAAGAATCAAGCTTGACAATTCGACAGTGTATCGTAGAATTTCTAATATAGCTAGCGAAGTCTTTGATCTTGATCTTTTTAATGATTCTCCATCTCAGATTAGAATAAAATGCGCGAAGCAATGCGTCTTCTTTCGCAAATATGGCGTAACATTGTTCTTTACATTTTATTTACATTTGTTGTATTTATTATTTGTTTTGTACTATCGTTATCGTTTCTTTTTTTTTTTCATTTCTTAATGGACGTCTTAATATACTCCTTTTTCTTTTTTTAATAAACTTCTCCCGTTAAATAAATAATTTGTTTATTTATTTATTTAACGGCAAAAGAAAAAAAAAGTACATGAAAAAAAACAATGACAAAAGCACAAGATTCAATTGTTTATTTATTTAACAATTGAATCTTGCGCTTCTCTTCCTACAGGATATGATAAACCTGGTGATTCAGAAGTTGCTGAAGTACGGTTTTCTCCTGTTATCCTGTATTTTGACGCCAATTTTAAGGCTGCAGCGCTTCAAGAAGCAAAAAAGAATACCGACGATTAAGAATCACCTGTTGCTGATTTCGGCGACGAAAATCGCGCGTGCAATTCGTAGGAAACAAGTGAGACCGCGATAACGTAGTTACTAGAGAGGAAATACGAATTAATAAATAATCAACGATATCCTGTTTTTTAATAGATCAGCAGCGAGGAAGTGGTGAGAGCTTACGTGGAAAGATGTATAGCCGTGAATCCTGTGTTAAATGCCATCGTCGATCAGCGCTACGATACAGCCATTGAAGAGGCGCGAAAGGTCGACGAATTCCTTGCTAGCACGCCAACAACCGAGGAAGAGCTTGCCCGTGAAAAGCCTCTTCTTGGCGTACCCATAACTGTGAAAGAAAGCTTTGCTGTTAAAGGTTCGTTCAATCGTGCTCCTACTTTTTCGACGGATCATATGCTGGAGCAAAATGGTGATCAATGAGAAGAAAATTCATTGAATACATATTCCATGAGTTACTCATTGTCCACAGTATATTTAAACACGAATAATCTTGGTTGTTAGGTTCCTAAAACATATAAAACAGAATTAAGAAAGCTCCAAAACTATATTACCTTAACTAAGAGAAGCAATAATATAAATATAAAACAATATAAAACAATAATTACACATTAGCAAGTGAAAGAAATATCTTCACTTCCGGTAGGTATTGGTTCACGGCTACAGATTAATTCACAAGTCAGGATATCTCTAGGCGATTTAACAGCTCGTTCCACGACACTATTATACGCTCTTAATAGAACGGGAAAGATCTTCGTTCTTTAGACTTTTCAAAATGTCTCACAGAATTAAACCTCCGGGGAACAGAACTGAAAAACTACAGTATTCTTACTGTAACAAGATCTCTCTTGTCGAGTATAATAATATAAAAATATTGAAAAAAGAAACACTTCTCGGATCCTAGACCGAGGATCAGTTATTACTCTAATTTTCAAACTGCTTTGTCAGAATTATACAATTCTCGTGCCATGTTGTAGAAATATCGCGTTATCCGGGTATTTTAGTTATACCTGTATTTTAGAACTATCCAGTATCAAAAAATAAGACGTAATTTTAATAATGACAGAAATATCAAAGTACCAACCGAGCCAAAAATGATGCTTGGTTGGTGATTCAACTGAACGATACCTTCTCAAATGGCGTCAACGACCTCTTCATTCTATATTCTTTGTCTCTGTTCCTTATCCTTTATTCTTTCTCCACTTATTCTTAGGTGACGGCATAGCGTGAACAAACATTTTGACGTAACGATGTTGAACCTATTCGAGGGAACGTCGATGAGAAACCGGTTCCGAAAATACGTATATCAATTCATTCGTATTTTGAACGCAATGTGTACAACTCGTGTACCCACATGAGACGTAACTTCTATAGTTTAGCTGTCTATTCGAGTTTCTTTCTCCTCTTCCCTCTTTGTTCAAAGCAGTGGTTGTCACGAGTTGTCTAATTTTCATTCGAAAAGAAACCCGTTTGTGTCGTCTATAGTCCAACCTGTTTCGATTCACTTGTAATTCTCTTAATTCAGGCTTGAACAAGCTCAATCAGATTTAATTTCTCGGCAGAATTAGAAAGTTTAATAAAGATAAATCGACATTTAAGTCGGTTTTAGTCTTTACAATATTAATCACTTTTGTCAGAAATGATGGCGTGACGACAAAAAACTGTTTGCTTCATAATCCTTCGTTTTAAATTATGCATTTCCTCATCTATCAAGATAAAATCTTTTTACATCATAAATAATTCGATAAATAGTTCATTAGAGGCAAAGTTAAATTCTCTCTTTCTAAATTGATTCTCAATCAGGGATGTCTCATTCGGCTGGCGTGAAGAAGAATAGTTCACACAGAGCCACGCGGGACGCAGAGGTTGTTAGCTTGGTGCGCAAAGCTGGCGCTATTGTCACTGTTGTCAGTAATACCCCTGAATTATGTCTGCACTTCGACAGTATCAACCACGTTACTGGTACTACTTGGAATCCTTATGACACCAACAAAACATGCGGCGGCTCTAGCGGTGGCGAGGTTTGTATTTTTTTTTTTAACTTAATTATAATTTTTTTAACTTAATTATAATTATATATATTTAATTCAATTATAAATGCTTATTATAAAATTAGTATAAATTTTTATTATAATGCAATTGATGTACATACATACATGTTCTCTAAGGAAAGTTGCAAGATCAATCTTATAATTTCATGTAAAATTTTCGATTGCCCTCTTCAAAATTAAACATAATTCTTCTTTTATCTTGTTATAAAATTAATGCATCAAATGTATATACAGTGTAAGCAATGTTGCAGATCAATCTCATGTGGTTTCGACTATCCTCTTCAAAATTAAACATAATTCTTTCTCTATTTTTTGATTAAAAATAATGAAATCCTTTCTTTCTCCCTTTCTATCTCTATTTGTAGAAAACACAAAAGATACAAAGGCTTTGTATCTTTTAGTTTCGTTCCCTCCTTATTCTTATTTCTATACTTGGTTTATTCTTTCCATTTATTCTCAAGTAATCTAGCAAGTTAGAATCATGATCTTTTATTTTATATGATAATCTTTTTGTTCGTGTTTTTATTCTTTCCCTTTCTCTTCTTTTTTTTTAAATTTCGTTCTAGGGAGCATTAATAAGCAGTGCCGCCTCTGTCGTGGGCGTCGCGTCGGATACTGCAGGTTCGGCAAGATTCCCAGCCTTGTTTTGCGGTGTTTTTGGCCATAAAACCACACCCGGTAAATTCTTACATCAGCAAAAACTACAAAATTCCGATGATTATCTTTCCTCGTGAAAGAGAATATTGTAACGTTTCAACAAATTAATACTTCATACTGAAAATCAATTTTTAATGTTCTCAATATGTATGTGCTACAGATATAATCCCTGGAGGCGATCATATACCGGACTTCAAATCTTCATTGAATTTTTCAACATGCACAATGGCCAGATACGCTGAAGATCTGTCTCTGATGTTAAAGAATATGTGTCAGTCGGAGAAAGTGCGGAAAAATCTCGAGCAGAAGGTTGCAACTCTAATACACTGTTTCTTAATTCGCAATTGATATTTTTCAATCATTTCAACGACCCACGAAAATATTCGAGCACTGTATCTTAAATGAAAAGTCGTAAGATTAATATTCTCCGCTAAATCAATAAATATACAGGATATCTACTATTTCAAATATCTCTTAAATCTCTTCATTAAGTTAATAAAATCTTTTCATACCAAAGAGGGAGATATTTAAGGTGGTGAACTTAGACAAGACACTCTGTATATTGTACATATTTCAAGCAAAGAAGTTAATGAATGTGTTCTACACACATGTAATGAAAAAAACAATTTTAAATATCGTGTGATGTTTAAATCTTTATATCTCTAATAATCTCTGATTATCTTGATTGAATATTTGACAGTATTTTTATTGCCTAGGTGTCTTTGAAAGAGATCAGATATTTTTATTTAGACCATTGTTGCCCGATAACAAATTCTCTAAACGAAGATATAAAACAAGCGATCAACAAGCTAAAAATACATATCGAGGAAACATACAATCTTAAAGTGGAAAAGGTATTTTATGAAATTAAATGTGCAAGGAATTCAGAGGAAAAATGATACAAGCGATAAAAAATATACTTTAGACCATTTGATTTTAAACGAAAACATTTGATTTTAGGTACGATTACCTAGCATGCGATTTACATTTGCATTGTTTATGGTTTTGCTAGAAACAAAGTCCAGCCTTACCGAGGAAATTGATCGTATGGTAGGTTTTCATTAGACATGTTTAACATGTTCCTGGAGAACAATCCGAATTAATCAGCTTTTAATTACGGCATAGGGACTGTTCGAATGTCTCTTGGAAATGTTGAAATGCCTTATTGGCACTTCAGAAATTATGATGTCAACGTTAGCGTTCGTTATGTTGAAATTGATTTCTCATAAATTACCCGAGAGCTGTCGTCGCTATGTGTACGCCAAAAAGGATGCATTGAAGAAAGAATTCGAGGCAGGTTTGAAAAAAATTCGAGACAGACGTACAGTTTTCAATATGCCGTACGAACTTCGATTCCGATTGAGGAAGTAAATTAAAACTATTTTCATTGCAGGAGCTCCTAGATAATAACGGCGTATTGATATTCCCAACGTTCGTTTCACCAGCCCTTTATATAGGCGAATCTTCCATAAATATCTGTAATATTTTATATTTGGGCATTGCTAATGCACTAGCATTACCTTCTACTCATTGTCCAATGGGAATCAATAAAGCAGGTTTACCTGTTGGGCTTCAAGTAAGTATGTCTCGTGCAATATATAGGGTACTTTTCTACTGGTCGACTTAAAATTAAAACTATAATCAATCACACTATACATATAGTAAATTAAATAATACTCGACATATAGTAGATTTCTTCTTAATTAATGACAAAATCTAATGGACGATATTCACTTGTTCAAATTCAAACTTTAAAAGAGACGACGTTACTTTAAATTCATTGTATAATGAATTTTGATCATTATTTGTGTCGTATAGATTATGGCAAACACAAATAATGACCATCTTACGATTGCTGTGGCTGAAGAAATTGAGAGAGCCTTCGGTGGCTGGCAACCTCCACCGATGAGCCCGGTGTAAGTCTGAATCTTTACAATGTAAATAAATTGCAATATATTATATATGTAATAAAATATAATAATTGTATAATGTATAATAATATATATCATAATAATATTGTCTTAATAGATAAAGGTTTTGTAATTGTATGTTATTTATTTATAATGTTACTTTGTTTTAATTTCGAATATATAAGATACGTTTTCAATTGCCATATTTTTATATTTACCCCGAATAACAATGATTTGTACATATTATTATAGAATATCATTTTCAGGTTATTAATTTCAGCGTTCCTAATTCACTTTTTGAATATTCATTTTTGTATTTTATAAGTTTTTATTCTGTATATTTATGAATCTTTATTCTGAATATACTTTACAAGTGCAAAAAGAGAAGTGTTTATTTATGAACATGAATGATTGATACATATTGTTTATTAAGTTTTTTTCATATCTACTAAAAAACGTACATACAATTCGCGTTAAATGTGCAATAATACATTGTAAATAAGTAAAATTATTTATACATAAACAAAGAGAGTCTTTTTAACGATGCATTATATTACTCAAAGGAACCATGATACTTTTCCCATTGCAAAAGTTCTTTACTTTTTGATAAATCTTGATGCCATACATTTATTTTGTTAGACGAATCAACACGCTTTTAATCACATAAGTTTTCAACATAATTTTACATTGATCTCGAATATCGAGTAATTGGATTTATCACATTACAAGATCTGTTCCGATGCGCATATATATACATTGCACCAGACATCAGACATCTGTATATGCATTACAGGCCCGCCAATCTATAGATCTGTCACAGATCCAATTATTTTTCTATTATTAATAATTATCTATAATTTTCTATAATTTTATTATGAAAAATTTTATAATTAATGACAGTATCGTCACGTAATAAGAAAGGCACACAAATTTTAAAACACTGTGCTATGGGTTCACCTTTAAAGTAGATTGATACAAAAATGTATAATCTAATTGATAATTTATAATCTAATTAATAATCGATATTAAAATTATTCTCGCCTGTCGGAAATGGTCTCATTTCCTACGATCGCAAGGTGGAACATATGGTTTGCCGCCGTGTTTCTCCCATTCACGATTAAATTCGTGTTCGAGAACCTCGGCACCACGTTTTCTTGTTAACCCAGTCTCATCTAGGCTTAACTCGCACATTTGCATATCATCAATACCTTCGCAAAAATGAATTTTCTTCAGGAAATGTGTAATATCTTTCGAATATAATGTCTTTGAAGACAGATAACGTTAAGTGCATGCAGTGATTTCAAGTGTTATAGAAAAAATAAACAAGGAGAAATGAGATGAATTAGAAATGAACATCTAGAATTTTACCTGCCACCAACAGAATTGGTGCCTTGTCAGGATGAAGTTCCATCTGTCTGGCAACGTATTGACCATCGAAATGAGCGTACCACCATCCCCGTTTACAAGACGCATTGGAATTATCTTGTTGACCCGATGCAGTTGGTCGAACGAAGGGAATTCTGAAATATCGTTGCGACGACTCAACTATGGGCTGTTTCAGATGAGACCTCGAGGTTTTCGCAGCTGAAACGACCATCAGAATGTATTAATATGACACACCGCGTGTTCTACCTGCTTTTAGAACAAATAAAATTCTGTCTCACCGGCTTCCATAATAGACTTTGGTGCCCTTTCGTTTTCATCCATGGTTGTTCGCCTACGATTTCTTGCTTTCCACGCATGATAGACTTTTAATCTTCGATGAAACTCATGACGACAGGCCTATAAAATAAAAATTACACGATGGTCAATGTTATGTTTATTACAGTTTCTTACAATTGATATGACGATTGCAAATGACATTTACCTCTAACAATTCGATATCACAGGATGTGTTTATTGCGTCACGTAATTCTGAATACTTCCACTTGGACAAGTCATACTTTTTATTAGCCATAGCTACTTGATTGTTACGCACCTGCTCCGATCTATTATTTAAAAAAAAAATTAATTAACGTTATTTTCATCATATTTTACATTGAAAAGAAAATAAGATATTGTTGATTAAAGTTGTTTTTGAAGTTTGCACGTACATCGAGCAACATGCACTTTCTATTTCAAAACATGAAGAATAAATGGATGGCATGCTATATTACCAATTTACAAACAATAGAAATCAGATATTGTTAGTATTACAAAAAATATGTATACGTTGTAAAAATATGTATATGTATAGTAAATTAATTACAAAATATTAAATGTTAGTTGTACATGCAGTAAACCTCAACGAATATTACAATACCTTGCTAGTCGGTTGTTGTTTGATGGTACTCGTACACCGGAACCGCTATATATACATATTTAACAAAATAAGGTCTTATTCTTTTGTCCAAAAAAATTTTTCCAATGATCAGTAAGATTAATTTCGTTATGATTTGGCTGGCAACATTTCATTAAATCAATATTTATTTATTATCCCGTATAGCTCGCACTACTTTCCTCCAATTAGTATTAAAAAAAAAAAAAAAAAAAAAAAATGAAGTAACGAATTCCAAATGCTTGAACTTTGATAAGAACGAAGTCTAATACAATACCTTCGTACAGGTGGTGGAGAATCTTCAACTTGGCCATTTGATTCTTGAGCTAATCTGACTGCCAATTCGTGATCTCTTCTTTCTTGTTCCAATAATTCACGATATTTACTTTCTTCCATTGCTTCTTTCTCTAACTGAGCCTTCAGAACAAATGGGAGACATTGTTAAGCTACACTTCTGACGATAAATCATCAGGATATAACTGATAAGTGGGAAAATAATCTTATCGAAAATAAAGTATTTACCTCAAAAATTTTAGCAGTCTTTTTATCTTCTTCTTCTTGCCTTTTTTTCTGTTCCTCTTCTGCCTTCCTTCTCGTCTCGATATCGTGTTTCTTTCTTCTATTTTCTTCTTCTTCTCTCTTTTTTCGTTCTTCTTCTTCCTTTTTCTGCTTTTCGAGTTCTAGTTCTTGTTGAATCTTCCTCAATCGTGCTTGTTCCTCAGCAATCTTCTGTTGTCTAACCATATCTTGCAACGACGCCATTTGCTTGTTCATCTGATTCACCATGTTCGTATACAAAGAATCGATCTCCACCGGTTTTATTCTCTCGGTCATTTTTATTTTCTCAATTGCCGCTTCTAAGTCATTCTGCAGTCTTTTGACATCGTTGATAGATTGTTCACGATTCTTCAATTGCTTGGAGGTTTCCTTCATACCGACTAACTGCGTGCTCAGATTCTTAATTTTCATGATCCCTTTTATTCGGGGACGATGTTGCTTCTTCGTTATATACATCCTTGCTGTCTTTTGCAAGATAATTAAATGCTGCCTTCGATAAATAATCTTATTCTTCAACTTGATCACAGATAACGCGCAAAACTGCATCTTGTTCCATCGAGACCTAAGTAACCACTTCTTCACATTAGCTACCAACTTCCTCAGGTTCTCAGGATCCGACTTCATGATCTTATCGAATTCGGCAAATTTTCCAGGTTTGAAGAACACCCTCGTAATACCAAACTTAAAGTCCTTCTTATTTAATTTTAAGCTGTGAAGCAACGCTTCGCAAAAAAATCTGGGATCCAGTTTGGCCAATTCCGGCGGAAGATAAGATTTGTACATGTTGTATAATTCCTGGAACGGAACTCTGCTGGGATAACCATGTTCCATGAGTTCTAAAACAGACATCATTCCAGAGCAGCGAAGCTGTCCCAAAATGCTATTTCCGTCGAACTGATGATCTACCATCTCGTTATTGGGTTTTATGCAACGAATGAAATTCGTTCCCTGTAAGAAAAATTTAATTTATCTACTCTGTAATTAGCTTCTAACGAAAGGTACAAACGTCAACATAAATAACTTAAGCAACTCTCTTACATTGCTTTTTAGTTTGTCCATCAATTCTCCAAGTTGCGTTTTAAATTTACTGCCAACACTGATGAAAGTAAGCTTTCCTTTCTGACAAGAATTATTGGCGAATTGCGTCCTAAGAAATTTATTGTTACTTTCTTGAATTAATGCTTCCAAGGATGCGTGCAGAGCGTCGTTGTTCTTCTCGATAAATTGATTCTAAAAAAAATGTGAAAAATCGTTCGAGATTTTCAAAGACTAGAAAGTCAGAAAGTGATGTAGAAAGTATACGAAATATAGAAAGCATATAATATATGCATCGCGTCGGTCATAAAAATAACTCTTATAAAGAGTAATTGATAGAGTTTATTTTAATAGATGAAGTACCGTTTGATAACAAACACCACCAGCATAATGACGTATTACAAATCCTTCGTCGTCACGCAACTCTCTATGCGCTTTCAAACGAGAGGTACGCGGCAGAGTTATTCTGAAATGACCATTCCAAACACGATGGACTTCGCTGGTGAAATGTGCGAAACTGTGAGTTGGTAATTTTGATTCTTCGTCTAAGAGACTGAAAATTCCCATGTTTCTCGACTCGATTAAATCTGAAAATTGGATATCCAGGAAACAAATCTGCGATTTTAAACGACGAAACGACGAATCGATAATTACACTTACCGATGCAGTCTTGATTGTCCACATAAGATATTTTCGGCACATCAAGGGATTCCTTTGCATAAAGATCTTGCTCGTATTTTAAAATTCTCTCGTTAAAGAACTGCTGCAGCTTTTCATTGCAATAATTTATACAAAATTGCTCGAAACTATTGACTTTGAAGTATTCTGTAAAAAAAAACACTGATTAATAGATTGAAGGAATAGAAACAACATAACAAAACAAATGTAATACGTACCAAATCCTGCAATATCCAAAACTCCAATGTAATAACTCGAAGCTTTAAAAGGGATACTCTTATTGATACGTGCTACGATATGATCAAATAATTTACTGTAAATGGCTTTAGCCAGAGCGTCTCTGGCATTATTGGCTTCGTAAACTTTCAGTGGTATCCTTAAAGTATTAGGTCAGTTCTTAAGCTTTTCTCTCTTTCTATTTCTGATTTTTATATAAACTTACATAATAACTGTCCCCTTGATACCGCCGCGACTAGTTTGCATCACTTTCGAGATTAAAGCTTGCCTGAGTTCCTCGGGATCGACAGCCAACAACTTCGCGCTCATTGACACCGCTTTCTCGGAACTAGCGCATATCCTAGAACCACCTTTCGTATCTTCAGGATTGTCCTCGAACATGATATTTCCAAGATGGAGTACCGCAGCAACCATCGTATAAATTTCCATTCTTTCAGCCTCAGTCAAACCGAGTCGTGTCAAAGCCTTCGTGAAAAGAGAGAACAGTTATTACATGTAGATGTAAAAAAATACGATATTCATTAAAAAATTTTTATGAATGAAAAACATCGTTGCGAACCAACATGAAGAGATTAGTAAAATTAAAAAGAATTGCATAAAATGAGAAGAATGAAGGTTGATAGCTAAGAAAATTATCAAATTACCGTTGCCTTTTCCTGAGTTTAAAAAATTATCCAATCGGCAAGAGGGAGAAAAATATAAAATGAGCAATTTTTCAACAAAGAAAAAAACAGTTTATAATAAATACCCGATTATTAAAAATCTTGAAAATTTAAGGATCTAATTGTAAATACTAATTATAATATTGGTATTTACTTGATCGATGGCAGTGAATCCTTCAACGTCATCCAAAATCGGATCGTGCAAGCTACCTTTCATGCTTTGATCACGGCTCTTTTGAGCATCGTTCAACTTCTTCTCTGACTCCTCGTTGCAAAAGTATTGCGTACAACCATTCTTTAGGTACTGGAAATCGTCCGGTTTCGTAATACCAAGTTTCGCACGAAGTTCCGGAGGAGCTCCAGCACACATCATGTAGAAAACATGATAGTTCCTCTCGTCGGGGCTCTGAAGGCATACCCTCGACTTTTCCAAGAGATAATGGGAAATGTAACCGCCGACTACTTGGCATTTCGAATCGAAATGAACCTCCATGAATTTGCCAAAACGAGAACTATTGTTGTTTCGTTTAGTCTTCGCGTTACCAAAGGCTTCCAACACCGGATTTGCTAATTGTAAGAACATGCACAGTAATGTAACTGTCATCTATCGTGTTTTAATTGTAATATAGCTTCCATTTTGTAGAATGTACCGTCTAAGATCTTCTGTTCGATCGGGCCAGCCGTCGATCCCCATAGGTCACATAGATATCGAAGCAGATACTTGGTAGATTCAGTCTTGCCCGCTCCCGATTCGCCAGAAACGATGATACTTTGCGATTGCTTCAGTACTTTCATATCTCTAAACGCTTTATCAGCTGATAAAAGAAGAGAATGGAATTTTTTAATTGATCCACATTACTGAAACGTTTAATGATAAATATATACGTACCAATAGCAAAAACATGAGGCGGCGTCTCACCCAAAGACTTCCCCTTATAAGCCTTGATCGTTTCAGGAGAATAAAGATCTTTGATCTCACAGTATGGATTTAAAGCGATTAAGATGTTGGCAACATATGTCTGTAAATTATCAATAAAGACGTCATGTTATTCATGATAATGAGAAAAAAAATCAGTAGCAGATTTAATTTAAGATCCAATATATCTTTTGAAGATAGTAAGTTATTGTTCGTATAAAACGCATTTGGCCCATATTTCACAAAGCTATTTAGGAACGTGATCTCCCAATTGTTTCAAACAGTGCACCGCAATTTGCGAGCAATTACTCACATATATCCTATCCTTGAAGTAACGAGTCCGTACGTTGTTCAGTAACGTGGCCTCGTTCAGGTACATCAGAGCGCCTGGGAACACGAAAAACAGAGCAAACCAGTGAAGGTAGGATTTTGAAAAGCGAGAAAAAAAGAGAGTCACCTGCACAAGGATTTAAAGACTTCCGTTCCTGACAGGAACGCCTGCGAGTCACGTTCCCCCTTTACATGCGAATATCGTGAAACACGTTTTATTATTATCTAGATCCCATTCGATTAAGAAACCCGACACATAGTACCGATTTTCAATATCAAGAAGAAAAAAAAAAGAGAAAAAAAGATAGAATCATAAAAATAAATATTCATGACACTTCAAAGAATTCAATTTGATTGTTTGAACTAAGAAGAGGTAAAAATTTGTAGAGGTGCAATTACAATTGTCTTCAACGTCTTTGGTGTATTCCCCAGCAGGGTAAACTTCGTCCAGCGGACAGGTGCGTTGGGGATATTTCGGATCCAGCGGCACGATTAACGCATCCCCGTCAACCATGTCCATGAACTTGCCGATTATGAAACCCTCTTGAGGGTCTCGCACCCACACCTGCTGATTCTCCATATTGGTCTACACTCTGAAACTACAACAATATACGAGGTTAAATGCGTTAATTATACTTAGATCTGCAAATGATTACGAATTTTTATGCAAATTCATAATTGTATAGTAAGAAAAAAAAATAGAACTTTTATAGAAATATAAATATAAAATACTATCTATGTTAAATAATATAGATGATAATATTATTTATATAAAATATTATTAAAATATCATAAGAAATATAAAAAGTGCCTTAAACACTTTATATACTTTTTCATATAATATTATCGAGACACTTTTAATCTTATAATAATAATTTTTTAAGACAACATTATTTATATAAAATATTATTAAAATATCATACAAATATAAAAAGTACCTTAAATACTTTATATACTTTTTCATATAATATTATCGAGACACTTTTAATCTTATAATAATAATCTTTTAAGACAACGTCGATGAAAATCGAAAGAACAACAAAGTGGAAAATATTTTCAAGCTCTAATTACGACCCGTTATCACTTAAAAAGGATGAAAGTGAAATTTACAACTTCCCCTCGACAAAACAATAGATATAATCGTGCGCCTTTTAACTGTTGCTTATAGAGAACGATATATCTTCTTTTCTGCTAACATCAATCTCATGACTCGAGTTTTTAAAGGTAACGAACTAATTACACGGTGGAAGTAACAACAGGCACACTTGAACCAGTGCACATCACTCAACTCGGTTTCGCATGAGCTGTAACTACGTAGAAACTTACTATACCGAAAAAAACAAGAAAAAGAAGAAAGAACAAGGGTAGGACAAACGAAATGTTCATTTACAAATTCGCTCAACACCTTGCCACTTTCACCCGTGGAAACGGAGGCACGTTTCCGGTGAAAGGAACAATCCTCGTAGATTTCCGGTGGCGAGGTTGCAAATACAAAACGAAAACCCACACTACGCCGTGACGCAAAAGAAACGATCACGACGCGCAGTTTTTCGTCAATAATTGATAAAAAAAGAAAAAAATTCATCAAGTAGCAAATTGATTTTGATAATTGGAACAGTTGGTTGCCTGCCCCGATATTCGAGATAAGAGATAAATAGCATGGCAAGGCTTAACTTTCTATTCTTTTGTTTTTTTTGTTTTTTTTTTATTGCTCGAAACAGCTGTTTCTTAATCGCTCGATGCATCTAAATAGATCTTTCTGAAAATAAAAATTAGTATCTACAAATAGCGGTGGTACAAATTAGTATCTATTGAAAACGAGAAAGTCTGGAATTAAAAGATTGAATTAAAAATTTCATCGTGATGTGCATACATGGCACAATCGCTACGATTTAATTAAATGAATCAAACAAATCGAAGTGTAACCTGCTACGTCCTACAGTTCACAGATTAATCGCAGATAAATAAGAGGCATTGTCTTACAGTAGACAGACCAGAATTGTTTTTCACTGCGTTATTGATAGAAGAAGCATCACAAGTGCCACCGTGAAAGCCGTTCGACGAGGACTTAAGATGACCCTCGACGGAACACGAGGTGCCAAACGAAGGACGTGTGGTTCCACTGATCAGACACAAGTTTGGTAAATCACGCAGAGTGATAAATAACGACCTACCTATTTAACAACACACCGCAAAAAGAAATATGAAAGTTAGAAGATAGAAATACAGATAGAATTTTAAATTGATTAATTGGTTCAATAAATTTCTGATTATTGAGATAAACGCTCTCATTCGAAATTTCTGGACTCTTATCGAACGTTATCACGACGTAGATAAGAAATGGTAGCAAAACTGTCGTATAGGAGTGTAATGTTACCTCTTCCTTTTAACAAACGTAATCCAGAAGAGCGGCGAATTTTTTTTTCTTTTTTTTTTTTTTTTTGGTAGAAAATAATATTACTATTATTATTAATTAAGTGACAGTCACTGAATTGAACAAAGTCGTCACACACTGGTGCATCATTGTTGCACGAAGTCCATGCCACCGTGACAGAATTTTGAAAAGGCCCTTGGCGAATCAAAGCGGTGTGCTTTCAAGCGACACGCTTGCATGTTCACCTCGACGAAATTGCTGGTAAAATGACTTGCATCAGCATGAAAGAATCGCTACCATTCTCTTTTTTTTTCGCGGAAATTAAGGATATATGATTAACACATAATACCACGTTATTACGCACGGCAAAACATAGTATTTCATCATCAGAAGAGATTTTATCTATACTTTGGAGATATTTCTGGATCATCGTAATTTCAAGTATACATGATCCATGGATTATTTTACGAATAAGTTCCACGATAAGGATTCAGATACCGTACGTATAATATTTGAAGCATTTTCAAATCACGTATTACTATATTTTCTAATATATTAATAAATATATACATGTTTCTAAATATAGACGAATATAAATGCAAAAACATGTACATCTGTTCCAATTGCAAATCGCTTTCCTCACTATTTAAGTCGGCTAAATTACGTTACGCTGCTTACCGATGACCGTGAATTGTACAACGCTGTGACCACGACTAATTTATTAATGCTCTGAATAAGCAGCTCAAAGCGATTTCACGGGAAGTTTTTCTTTTCCTTTGCTTCCAGTTACATCTTTTCATTGGCTAGTTATATCGTATTATACCTTCCTTCTTTCATCGTTCGTTGAAAAATCACATCTTCGTGGAACCGATGTCCGATTTAATAAACCGAGTCAGGAGACAGTTAAAAATGAACGAAAAAGGAATTCGTCGTGAATATCAACCAATCACACTAGTACGGTTGATCTAGAAAGCGCGAGAAGGCAATGGTTTCGGCTAGTTCACTCCGCCGCCGCATTCCCAGCATCCCGTTAGGAGTATAGTAACGGTAAAAGTAACCGGTAGATCCTTGGCATCGATCCTTGAAACACGGGTCATCACGCTGCACATCACGCTAATCTACAGATAGTCGTCCTAAGACGTTCCTCGCTGTAGAATGACTTACGACAGCCTAAGTTGATATATTACGCAATTACCGATAAACACATTGATAATTCTAAGCGAGCCTACATATATAGAGCCAACCAGCTCTGCCACGATAAAAATAATTAACCGTTACCGTGCAACGGCAAGCTTACTTTTCGCAGCGCGACGTGGTGGAGCAGAGAGAATTTCCGTATTGGTAAAGCAGGAACGATTGAATCATTCGGTTCGTTCACCTTGTTCCCTGCAGAAGAGCAGCGGGCTCGTTCGGATCGTTCAATCGTCGTGTCACTTTGCCCGCTACGAAAACCACGACAACAACGTCTCGATGAAACAAAGTGAATGAATCAGAAGGGGAAACAGGAAACGACAGGTGGAGCCGAGGGTCAGGAATAGGGAGACACGCGTGAGTGGTCACGTGGTTACCAACGAAATTTTGTGTCACAGAACCGACGAACCGCCGATAAAATAGGGAGACTGAGAGAAATTAACTCGAACGATTCTATCACGAATGTTCAAAAGCTTAACCTCCTGCGCTGGAATGACGTGCCACGCACGTAGAGAATATTTGGTCGAAGATTGCAATATTTTCTCAGTTTTAAGTATATTGAAATACAACCCAGGCAAAACAAATAATAACTTTATTACTTCTCAGCAATTTCTATCCAGTGATATGTATACCGATAAATTCAAAAAGAAGACGATTATTGTACACAGTTTGGTCAGACGTTATGGTCCGTGAACCAGTTACTAGCGCAAGAGGTTATAAGCGAGTCGAACAATCAGACCTCTGCTATTTGACTCGTCGTTGAATCGAGGAAGGCGACATTGGAATACGAGATCAGGTAAAAGCATGTAACACGTACGCGAATCATCGAACCATTCTTTTTTCCTCGCATATCGACGACGGCTTGGCTCGGGGCTACGTCTAAACTCAAGAGTCTAGACACTCTTTCCGTGGCGCGTTGTTGAGTTTCGTCACCGCGCGCGAGAAAGTAAGAGCCGGCCTATCTGTTGTCACGGTCAACGAACTCAGGACAGCTACTTCACCTTCTGTGAATAATATACTCATTACGCATTACGTCCACGCGTTGCGTAGCTACTGTGTAATTAGACGTTACGCTTACGCCGGTTTTGTAATTCATTCGACGCGATTAGAGAGCCGAGGAGGATCGCGAGCACGATGCAGCCGACGAACTTGATACAACACAACAGCGTGCGACGTAAGGATTCACAGTCAGACGTGTTGCGTTATAATATGGAAAGTTTAAGCGTTAGAGATCGTTGTCACGATCGTGAGAGATTAATGGTTAACCTTTTGTTCCATTCTAGGAAATTAAAAGCATCGGTTTAGGTTAATTAAAGGTGCACGCTACAACGCGTGAGAAATACGCAGGATTAGAAGAAAGAACAAAGGGAAAAGGGTGGACAACGGAGTTACAATGGAGATTACATTAGAATGGAGCGTTGGCACCTCGGACCATAAAGCGCGGTCAACGACCTGTCTTTCTGAACAAGGATATGATCAGAGAAACGAAATCTCGATACACACTTGAAATTCAACGCAATTCTTCCATACATTCCATACATTATTTTTCGTGCTAACTTTTTAGACTGAATCTAAAAAAAAAAAGAAATAGCACAACGAATGGAAAAGGAACTTTTTATCTAGATTTTAAAAATGTAAATGTTTTGATATAAAACACAGAATTGTGAACGTATCGAGGGCATAGTAACGAGTGCATGGTCCGTTACTAAACCGTACTCGCACGTACGGTAGTATCTCATCATTTCGCAGGTCGTTTAATATTAATTGGAACAACCTTCACGCGATCACCATCAACCGCTTTCAACGATTAGATCGAATCCGTGATTTCGAGAGCATGTACACTACCTAACTGCGCTATTTAATCTCTCGCTCGTTCTCTCTTCTTTCCATCATTTCGTTATCTTTCATATCACCTTGATAATTTATAAAGAAAGATGTTCGCTGTTGATCGAAGAATTAACAACTGATCTTTTACAAAGAATCCTACCGATCACGTTGCAAAAAATTACAATCGGCTAGGAAGTTCATAATTGAAAAGCGTTCTAGAGAGCAAGTTGAAAAAGATACATTAATTAATGTCAAATATCGAGAAAATCGATTATTAAGAGTAATGCGAACAAAATTCGAAGGTAGAATCGTTTTCAGAAGAACCGGTTTAAAGCCTCATCAGGTATCTTCAATGCTCGTAACCTCGCAAATTATATGAATTTTAAAATATTTTTAATCATTTAGTATTCTAAACTGTGCAAATGTGTAAACTTAAAGGACATGCAAAAATATTCTTTCCATTTTGTTAAACTAACCAACGAACCTGCTTAAAAAAAAAAAAATCGTAATCACAAAAATACATGTAAAAGTCCTTGTAGATAACATTTGTCGGCTAATTATTTGCGTTTTAAAAAGAACTCGTGCGTCGTCTTTTTACATTGTCGAGATAATTAGACTAGCAACCGAGACCGTGTTACGTAATCGCGGAAAAAGGATCGTTCGTTCCCATATAGGCGAGCCGATATCGTGAGACGAGAATCGTGTTGCCAGTGAGTCATAAACTCATGCAAACATACCGTAATGGCAATAGCGAGAACCTCGGATAGAATCGTTAGCCGCGTTCCTGTGTCACCGTTAACGATATATCAGCATGCACAATAGTATTTCATAATTAATTCGTTGCTTGACTGAGATTTATTTCATTAACACCTTGGCCTAACCTGGCTATCTGATCTGATGATATTTTTATCCGACGCGATCCGCCTTAAATCAATTAGTTAGAACGATTATCTGGACAAATACCGAATAACGCTTAAGCTTAAAAACCAAAGATGGCACTGCGTGTTTCACACGTGGTTCTATCAGCTTCTATAACGTTTCAACAATTGTAGATATTATTTACTATAGTATATTCTGCAAGAATGTTACAATTATTAAATGTTACAATAATTAAATAAAGTGTAAGACGTAAGTAGATTCATGCAAATGCTAATTTCTAAAAAAAAAAAAGGAAAATCTATTGTAAGTTATTTGTTTTCTTTTTTTTTTTTATAATAAATGATTCACAGAGGAACTTCAACGTGAATAATGACTCAATGAACAAAATTCAAACGGCGAAAGGAATTGTGGTCGAAAGATAATAAAAGGCATACGTTGTTCCAATGCAGACGAATTCTCAATGGTCAGCGACGCGTGATCAAACAAAGCGGAATTTCGCAGCCATAATAGGGGGAAGAGCAGACGCAGCTGGAAAAGGACACATTGTTTCTAAATAAGTGCTTTGTTATATATATCACGCATCCTTGACAGTAGGCGAACCCGAACGAGCTTTCATCACGCACTAGGAGACCGAGGCATTTTCTATTCTTTTTTTCACGACTATCTGATACACTTACGAAGAACGAAGCCACACACGATTCACATGCTAATTCACCTGCACTGAATCGTCTGCTTTCGCGCACCTGTGCACTTTCGTTCCATTCTCCTAATCCTCTTGCAGCTCGTAAATGAAAAATAACGCGCATTTTTAATAATGCACCACGACGTCATAGTGGACTCTCATAGCTTCTACAGCAAAAAATGAGGATCACTATTCATTAATTAATTAATCGAGGATTGTCAGCGTGAAATTAATATCTTGACTAGCAGAAAAAAAATTACAATTAAAAATTGGTTTGACGTAATTAACACTTGCGGTTAAAAATATGTGGTACGATTAAAAAGATTCTTCCTCACCAGAGATATAATACACGAACGAGATCGAATTTTGATGGCAACGGTTGTGGATTAAATCAACTCTCATCGGGGAGAAATGAAGCGTTGAAGACTCTCTTATCTCACGTACAATTTTGTAAGGGCTAATGTAAAAGATTTCCATGTGTATGTATATTGTAACCTAACTACCACGAGGAACATTTGAACGCCAGGAAAAATTATTGAAAAAATACGTACAAGATACGTAGATATGTAAAATTCGTAGAAGTATTTGTATCAGTACTTTGTGTTTAAATACTTTATCATTATTTATTACCAACTATTTTTGCAGAACAGTCAATAAACATAATCTTAATGACTCAAGGTTACTTAGCGTTAGAAAACGTAGTAAGTATTAATAATTTACAATACATTCGTTTTTGATAAATGTAGAATTAAATTAATAAAAAAAAAAAATCATAATTAATAGCAAATTATTATATTACGAAACATCATTGGATTTCTATTTTTGGTTAACTTTCTGTTTGATGCTTCACACACTATTAGCGTACAAGCATATGTAGACTGCGTGAACACAAAGTTCTTCAACCAAGTTTAAAAATCACATGGAAAGAAATTAATCTTTTTCATCTAACTTTTCAAACACCATTGAACCTCGTATCACCTTCTCAAACTGCATAATAGTTTGATACAATCACCGGTGATGTACATGGTGGCGATGCCTCGCGAACTAATCGAGGTCAGAACGTGGTCAGTTAAATCAGGGAGGATTTATATCAAGGTTACACAATAATTCACTAATTGATAATATTAATAAACTGACGAATTGTAAGTTGAAAACAATAATATTTTTTTCTAGTCATACTTTATTTTTTGAGAACTTTTAATTATTTAAACGGAATGCCTTTTTTTATATTACGTGAAAGCAGATAGGATAGAAGAGGAATTGAACGACGTATCATTCAATGACTTTCATACTTACGCAAGATCAAGAACAACAGAAGAAATAGTTTAGATATTGCGTTATTGATGTATGTACTTACCGGTGTTTTACATTGAGAATAATAGTACACGTTCAATATGATTAGTCAGAATACATTCTTATGCTCTATGTAATACATTTTTGGTGGTTTTCTGCTACTAATACTTGCGATGTACAGGCATTTTTTATTTTTTGTTTCAAATCGTTTATACTAAAAGGAGATGTATAGTAAACGATTTGCATAGTAACGGCAATTAATATCGAGCCGAAAAAACTCTTCGCACTCGAAACTAACTGAGATTTAGTCTAGTTAAATTCTGAGAATTGTCTGTATTTGAGGGATGTAAAAAATTTCTAATGTGACATGCTGAGCCCGGAATACCTTCATGTCATAAATAATAATACCGTTGATCTTATTGGATAGTTTTGTATTTTTATATGTATCTAACAGTTGGTAACAATACAAACCTAATTACCAAACATAAAACCACCAAAAGTATAAAAAAGTATTCATATTGGACATGGACTGAACATAAAACAGTACATCAATACGAAATATTCAAACTATTTCTTTCACTTCTGACCTTGTATAGGTGCGAAGGCCTTCGAATGGTGCATTGTTGAATATATGAAAAAAATATAGCATTTAAAAAATTGAAAGTCACCTCAGAAATTTTAAGTTCTCAAAAACTATATGACTAAAATTCTATATACCATACTGCGTATAAAAAAAAACAGCAAAACTTTGTCCTCTTTCATTTTTCCATAGCATCTACCGCTTATGACAAAAAATGCTGGACAGTAAATCCATGAACACCTGTATAAATGAATAACAGGGATAGCGACAGCTGCTTCGCAAAGCAAAATTCTAACTCATTGAAACTGCATTAAAATATATTACACGTCAAAAAGCGATTCAAAAAGTTAGAAAATAGAGAATAAATGAAAAGTTTTACTTGATCTATGGTGAGTGCGTAAAACCATAAAGAAGTCAATATGAAAAAGTATACAAATGTTTCGCAATATTAATTTCTATATCTTTATTCTTGTTCAAATTATATTTAACAAATATATTACAGATTAACACCAAAAAATAACGATAAAAAAGAAAAATGTCTAACTTAAATAAAAGGTTGTCATATTACGAAATTAATTAACGTGTTTGAAGTTCGAATAAAGAAAAGGATGCGTGTATTTGAAGCAAGTTACTTACCCCAAGGACAGGACAATTACTACGATGCAAACGGAGCGACGTCCGACGTGCGACTGGCGCTTTGATGCGTCAGTTCTATTGAATCGGGAATTTTCGTGCGTTTTCGGACGTGCCACGCGGCAAATGGCAATCACCTGGCAAATCCTGCCACAAGAATTTAACCGTAACGACTATTCCCGTAACAACAGGTGGTAATAAATTTAAATATGAACCGCCGTAAATACACTTTTCATAAATTTCGTATACTTTCTGACAAGAGGTAACAAAAAATCACTGAATTCTCAGTCAATCACTTATTTACTTTTATTAGAGATGAGGTATATGAATAGATCAAGCATCTTATGGGATTTCATGTCCTATGCTCTGAAATACCGACATACTAAAAAATCGGTGGCATTTTAGCGCACTTTGTGCTTAAACAACGGAATTAACTACATCAAGTAAAATGTACCAGAAATATGATTTTTAAAATCCATTATAGTGTTGTCAAATTTTCAATATTGAAATGTGAAGCTAGTAACTAACTGAAAGAATTCTAGTATACATCAGAATTATATAGAAGAGTTCTAGCCACATTTTACGGTATTACGATGGTTTCATGTAAGTTAATATTAAATTAAAATTCTAAAGTTATTAATAAAATAACCCATTCTCTTTCTTTGAACAAAAATTTACTAATTTAAAGCATGAATTTATGAATAAATACTTCTAGTGTACGTTTACCCCGTCTGTTTTGTGCGCCCTTGCTCGCGCCATGCGCCAACGCCTGTTTTATGCGACCGCGCCCGCGCCTTTCGCCTGCGCTTGCGCCTGTGTTGTGCGCTCGAGCTTACGCCTGCGCCCGAGTTGTGCGTTCGCGCCCGCGCCCAAAGGTACGGGCATAGACGAGATATATGAACAGACCTAGCACCTTACGGGTTTTCGTGGTCGGGGATCTGAAATACCGACATAATAAAAACTCACTGGTTTTTTAGCTCACTCTACGTTTAAGAACGGTAAATTGAGGAATTATATCAAGTTGCAGACGAGATATATGAATAGACCACGTATACAATGTATTTTTTCGGCCCACGATTAGGGGGCTCTTACCATTTTCGTGTCACATCCTGTTGTACCGATTCAGGCAAGTTTTGCACTGCAGTCGCACCGAATAGCGCTGCGGTGCAAAACTTGTCTAAATCGATATGGTAGAATGTGACACGAAAATGGTAAACACAGAAATGCATTGGATGTAACGTCTATTCTGTACCGTGCCTATGTCTATTCCTTCCGAACCTGTTGCATTGAAAGTAACATTCTGTGACAAAGATAGATAACAGACAAGGCAGTATTGTGCAACAAAGACAGCAATAGATTTTTAATTCCATCGTTTCACCGTTACGCGGCGCTAATATTTGAATGTCCGTGAGTTGGTCAAATTTTCATTTGCAAGAAAAACTAATTAAGAGGCTTAATTTATGAACTTTTATAACTGCATATTCAAAATTAGGCCCTCAGCATTCTTCATGTAATCATTTAGAATTTACTATTAAATTATTTTAAGGATTTACTATTAATTTAATCTTACTGTCTAAACTGAAACACTCGTTCGAATAATATTTAATTTCTCCTAAACTACAGTCAAAGTTGAAAAATTTAGAGTTTTGTTTCCTGTTTAGAAAGCGCTCTCGGCTAATGTCAATCTCTCGTTATAAGGTCTGTGAAATAGGGGAAAGAGAGTGGAATCACTTTCATCCTTGACATTTAACGATTTACCAATCGTTCCTCAATTTTTCACTTAACAATAACGTCGTTGTTCGCGAGAGAGGAAACACTCGCACATATCTTTTTTCAGTTTCTTCTTTCACCTTCATGATAATAATTTTGTTAGAAAACATTGAAAAACGCTATATTGCAATCACTGTATTAAAATTTCAATCCTCTTATCTACATGCATATGTATGCGTATCCTGTAGCTATTCTACTCAAATTTATACAATTTGCAACCAAATCTGTGTAGTTGCAACGTCAAGTGAAAAATTAAAGAGAAAACTTACCCGTTTGTTCAGTTTTCGCGATAATAATAACAATTTCATGAGATGAAAAATTTAGAGATTTTTTCCTTGCCTTTGAAGTATATAAGGTCGTGCGATTGTTCTTTGGCTTTCTCTGTCCTCTTTTCAAATGTAATGTAATTTCTATCAAGTTTCATTGGAAGACCGAGTTTCCATTCACTTCCTGGTGCAATGACCTATAGCAGGAAAATTCCTCGTTCGTGGAACGATGCTGAACATTTATCAACGCCGCATCCATGGAGGGTCGTTCCATCGCGTGGGTAAAGGACAATTTGAATAAATGAATTCTCCCCTATTACCGATAATCACCAAAAGATCTTCTAATTGTGCATAATACACTGGTAATTCCCTCGTTACATGATCAGTCAAATTCAACGTGGAAATTCATTTTGTAATTCCACGAATGACGAAGCTTATTATATCTTTACATGCTTCTTCATCTGTTGAATTACAATACCGCGTCATCGAAGTTATGAAAAAAAAAACATAAGAGAGAAATTATCATAGCAATCCGTCCCAAACGTATTGTTAAATTATATTCCAGCGAACATTCTCTTACAGTTATTACCTATCTTATCGCTTTTTTCTTCATTTTCTTGTTTCTTGCTTTGTTTCTTGTCGTTCGATGACACATTGCAGACATTAATATTATTCTCCATAACAAAATTTCCTTCGGAATTACATTGCGCAATGTTCTTTTTTGGTTTCTCCGTTCCCTCTTTTATTTTTGACAGTGAAAACGCGAGATTCGTGAATAATTTGCTGCATTTCTGTAAAAGAGACGTAAAGGAGGATGCTAAAAAAAAAGTGCGTTCTAAGAAAGATAAAAATGGAGATTCCTAAAGACGATGATAATTAAGGCCGTTATCAAGCGCCACACAGATATTTGTCCTTTTTTTTTTTATTCTCTTCTTCTTTCCTTTTTTTCTTTTATAGAGAGTAATATCGCGTTTCCTGCGTGTCAGCGATCCATGCTTGTCCCAGCATAGCAGAATTGCAGGTCACGCGCAGCTATGCGTGCGAAAAAGATAATCGGAGTCAACTGCAAAGAGCAGCGGCGCGACGAATCTCTGGATCTGAATCGCTAAGGAAATTCCTCTTCTAGACATCTTTATGAGCACGCGATAGTGTTCCACAATTCCAAATAGGCTGCTTCATTCTCTCCGGGTATACACGGGCATTTTTCTGAGCAATCTGCATCATTGATCAAATTAGAGTACGTAGCATTCGTTATCATATCAATTTTGTACATACTTTGAGTTGTACTTACATTCTATTCCATTTTATCCAGTCAAAAATGTCTTTTATTTGCTGGTTGATACGTACTCCGTGAAAAGTCCGTAATAACCGTGCTATTTGCATTTGTAGCAACATGCAAGTGAATTAGAATATAAATAGGGTGTGATTCAGCGTAAAAGATTCAGCGTTTTAATCTCCGATGTTTTGATGATGCTAGCGATGATGATGAGCACTCCAATTGATGAACATCTTCTAATACTTAGTATTTTCCAATTAGTCATAACATGACTAGGGGAAAAAAATACGAACGTAGAAAAAACTTGACTTTTCCACTTGTATCGACGTCTTATTTATTATAAGCTTATTATAAGCCTCTTGGCCATATTATCTCCTTCCTCTTATTTTGCACAAGCTCTCACACAGTTCTTTGCAAGCACTCAAGCAAAGATCTCTTTTCACAATTCAAACCGTGAACAAGATACGAAGCGAATCGATTATTTCGGCTGCATGCACATTCTCGTCAAACCGGATCGTTTTTTCGCGAATAGGTATGATGTAATGATCGATCGAAGAAGGAAAAGGATAGTTTGAAAATGATAAAAGACAAGCTGTAACAACTCATTGGTATTCACCTTGGAAGATTGTGTAATTAAAAAGATAAAAAAAGATACGCAAAACAAAAGGGAAACGAGAAAACAGATGACGCAGAAGAAGTATTAATTATGGCGCGAAACAATTCATTGATACGGATGGATGTAACTTGTAATAACGCTGTATAATTATTCGTAACATTTAACTAGGAGTTATATAAAAAATTGTTGACATTTTTTATATAACTACGTCGATTTGTCTATCTATGTAACAACACGTAACGGATAATGTAATCGGTCAACCACTTCAAGTATGTAAATTGACATTAAGGAGTTTCTAATTCCTTCCTTAATTCGAAGGTCGTGCAATATCTAAATTAGGATGGTCGTAGAAAAAACAAATTTTTAAAAATATAATTCAACGTATCTGGTAGGTTGGCAAGATGATCAGAATACAAGGATGTAAACCGATATCACAAATGAACGACTTAACTGGATTGGGGAAAACAATCTTGATAAAATAATTATTATCGTTTTACGAATAACGTTTAATCGCCTTAGATCTGTCGAATATAGAACACTATCTCATTTTCCTCGAACGGATTACTTTCGTTACTCCAATTTTTCGTCGTATACGATCGTCATCTGTCTTTTATGAATGATCATCGAGAAAAAAAGGATCTTCGCATGAAAATACTTTCACATAATTCATACCATGTATATAAGGGTGTATATAAGGGTGGTATAAAATAATCCACCACCGACTTTCATCAGCGACCTAACAACATTTCCTCCCTCTCCACCAGTTTCATTTTATCACGGTCGTTAAGTAGATGCATGAACGTACAACAGGCTATTTATGAATATTATGAATGCAACGCATCCCCACACGTGACCGTGATGAATCGACGACCGAACCCGTAGCCCAGGAATCCCCCCAGATCAAGGAGGGACGTCGCATGCACACACGCTAGGGAATCCCGATAGACAGGTATGAAAGTTTCCTCTGCCCCGTCTCTCTGCTTACTCTCTTCCCTGCAATGCTTGCTATTCTTCATTCACTCATCCGACTCAGTGTGCTGCGGTTCGCCGCAACTCTTACAAGTGCCATTTACGACGTCCTCCGGTGGTATTTGAAGTTTCGTTTCCCGTTTACCCGCGAGACACTGTGCTTGTTTAACTACCCGGGATAATATACATATGTACGATAAACACTAGTAAGTTTATATTTATATTATTGTATATCGTAAGGTCCGCTACGAGATACCTTCTAGTGGAGAAATGGGCTTTGTTCCTCTCTGGGATAATTCATTGCTTCCCGATGAAGTTGATGATCCCTCATCTTTCGCTGATCTCGTTCGTGCAAGACAACTTTTATCTCATTTAGAATTGATTCTCAATTCGTTGTCAGTGTAGCTTGTACTCCAACGTCGGTTGTACCCTCCTGTAAAATGTTTGAATTAACAACAGTTCATTTATAATGACGACGAAAGAGATAACAAAATTCTAGTCTAGTGATATGTGAGTACAGAATTTAAAAATTTGTTTCTTCGCCCATATCAACAATTCAATAATCGCCTTTTCTTTCAACTATAATGTCCGTTTTACCACTTTCATTTTCAATAACCCTCTGTGCCCAATTTTATGCGAACAGCGGGTCTCAGATCATTGATCACTAAAAAATTGCCCGTTTGATCAGTCATCTTAATTACTGCGAATTGTATTGTAAGAGATGATGAAACGGTTCAACAAAGCTCAATAACAAAGTAGCGCAATTTTAATTGAGACGCTTGAGACTGATGGTGCGACAAATCTTGTCTAGTTCACTCCAAGAGAGACACAAATAGATCAATACAACTCATGCACTAAGTACTAATAATGTCATAGGACGACGTTGCACAAATAAATTACAACGCACGATATGATTAAAACGTAAATATGATCGTAAACTACGAAACGTTCTTCTAAAACCAGTCGCGGAATAATTGAAATGCGAATCATCTAAATGGATAGTAGTAGGCGGTGTCAATGCTGATGAATCAATTTTTATCCATTCCAGCTATATTTCCTCCTTTATAGTTACAAACACTTATCGCTTCTGAAACTTGCAATGAATAATTGATGGGCTATTGTCGTACAACTGATCATCCGAACGAAGGAAAAAAAAGAAAAAAACACATCCGTGACTGAGTGGAAAAAAAATGGTGAAGTACTTAAGACGAGAAATAATATTTTGGAAATGTTTGTGGAAATACCGATCTTAAAGACGGTTGGCAATTTATCTCGAATGTGTTCGACCTCGGAACGACAATGGTGCCACGAAGAGGGATCGCTATACATATGTACAAACTATAGGGAAAAACGTTGGAGCTCGTTACAGTTCCGTCGGGTTTTTGGATCATTATGTCGGCCAAAACTGGTTTCGCGGATACGTCGTACGCTATGTCGAACGAAAATTCTTGCAATTTCAGTGGAGTCTGTTCGGTGAAATAATATATTTATCTAGATTTTGATGCTGTTGCGATGTTTATCGAATAACTCGTATTCACCGGTCAGTTTATCCAAAAAAAAAAAAATCAAGTCCTGATACATTTGTAAATGACGTTTTCCTTCTAATTTTCCTCTAATCAAATAATCAATTGATCAAATAATCAATTGATTCTTCTTCCTAAATCGAATAACAGAAACGTTTGTTTTATTTTAAACGAACAACAATGACGATGTATATGTTTATAATTGTACACGAAGCAGAAATTAGTTAAATGTATAGACAAACTAACATACATACGTACCTCAATCTACTGATGACATTGATAACATTATAACTTTTCAAACATCTAATTAATTCTTAATAAACCTTAAATACAGATTTTATCGGTTTTATCCATTCTAACGCCAGAGGATCATTTCATATCTAATAATAATAAGGTTAAAATAATAAGATTAAAATAATAATAATAAGATTAAAATAATCGTAAAAGATATTAGAATTCGCTGTACAATAATATTTATTTATATATTATTTGTATAAATAAATATTAATTATGTAAATAATTATTAATCATATAAATCTTATATTTCCTATTGTTGCAACAATTTCCTACGCAACGTAAAACTCATAAAGTAAAGTCTTTACTTTGTAAAGATTTTAGCGAGTTGGTAACAACCAATAAATAACATTGCAATTTTCCTATGTCACCAGAGAATAACGAAGCAAAGAACGTCAAACTTCGGCGAGGATCGTTGAAATACGCGAGAGGAAAAAAAAGGTTACGATCTATCGGTTACAGTGACTTCAGAGATTGTGCAGTTTACCTTGGATGAACGCAAAAGTCATTTCTTCCCTCTTTGTTTTGCCAAAGAAGCACAGCCAACGTACTTGCACTTTCACTGTACTCGTGGCACTACATACCACGTCTGTGTACCCATTCGCTCTGCCCCCAACGTTTAACGATCATTTAAATCGATTGATCCCGAGTCGAAACTATCTCGAGACAACTTTTAATTTCGAAGTTAAACGACTTCGGAATGTTTACGATGTTCCGCAAAACTGATTTCAAGCATTTACAAATAAATTCAGTATATTCTCTTATGATTCACCCTTGCAGGCGTGTTACACATATGCGTGTACGTGCGTGCAAGAAAGCATTTCCGTGAAGAAAGATGAACTTTCAGTTGACTCTTCAATGGCACACTTTTTGGATCATCAAATGACACACTATACTCGCACGGATGAACGTAATTTTTCTTAATTCAAATTTTTCAAGCAATACTTTAGAAATGTAAAACTATACTTAAAATTATACTTAAAATTGTACTTTAAAAATGTACTTAACCTCCTACGCTGCAACTGATTCGCGGACCATAACGAGTGACCGAACCGTATACAATAATTCGTCACTTTCTTTTTCTTTTGAAGTCGTCGGTATGATATCACTGAATAGAAATTATTAAGAAGTAATAAACTTATCATTTGTTTTGCCTGGGTTACAGTATTTAAATATACATAAAACTGAAAAAATGTTGCAATTTAGGACAAAAAGTTGTTGACGTGCCATGCACGTCATTCCAGCGCAAGAGGTTAAAATTGTACTTTATCTATAACTGTTGGAGTCATGAAAGACACCATAGTTATGCCATTGATCAAAACACATTCCGATCAGAACTAATTGTATTGATTCGTGCCATCTATCAACAATTATGTATCATTATCCGCAGAGGTATCAAACAAAATGTGAAAGAAGTGAAAAGTTCATCTATGAAATAATCGCGATCTAAAACGTGTCAAACCGGATGTTTATTGAAAATGTCCAGTTAAATATCTGATATAATAATTCGTTGAAAGATCGTAATCGTTATTTTCACAAGGAGGTCACGCACTCTTTTTACTTTCTAGTTTTTATTCTTTCGAGTAGGTGGACATACGTCTTCAGTTCTAATCTGATTAGGGAACCCTTCATCGCTGTAACACGTACATGTTATCGCGATCCTAGTCGCGAATTGAATGGTTAGAATACAAACTCGTATCGACATCTCTGCTGCGCTTTATCCATATATTTATCTATATATAGATAGATTATCTATGTTGATAAATGTATATATAGATAAAGCGCGGAAGGATATCGATCATATATATATGTATATAAATACCTTCTGTAAAAAAGATAATTAATAATACGTCTACTCTTATGATTATACGAAACACTTGATGAAGTGCTTTCAATTGGATAATAGCTAAGTGAACGAACAGGTGTCGCGGCGTATTAACGTAGCTACGTTCAAGCATCAATGCGAATTTTCGAACGGTGAGTCAACAAAAACTACCACCCTATAAAAATAGAAGTTGTCCCTCGTAATTCTTTATTATTATTTACTGTTATAAATGTTAAGTGAAAAATTCGGAAAATTCACTGTTCATTGAAGAAAATCGTGCGATAACGAGAGGTAACTGCAAACTACTTACGAGGTACACTTTATCTTGACACTGAAGTTCTGTTGATTTTATTTAACCAGTAATTCAATAACTGTCCTTACGAATCCAAATTTTTCATTGCGTCTATGTGCTCTGACTGGAAACAACGAATCGCAAGCAAAGTTACAGAATTTTGTTTCGCATTCTTCTTCTAAAGGACAGTTCCTCTTAGGAAAATTATATTGAGGAAAGACCCTTAATATTCTATTATTCTTAATTCTTAAGAAAATTATATTAAACAAAGGCCCCTTAACAAAAAGAGACATATATTAAGGGATTGTCTTTCTTAAATTTTTAAATAAAAAATTCATCGACATTCGAAATTCGATTTCCCAATGTCGTTACACATCGGACAAAACGTCTTATCTATAGCTCGATTAAGCCTGAAGTATTCCACATTCGATATGGCCACCCCCGATTATGAAATAATCGCGCAAACACAGAGTCCCTAACAGCAATTTCAAGTGGTGCGTAATCGTAACCCGATCCCGATCATTGATACACAATGTCTATGGACTTTCTCAAAATTTTGAGTCAACATTTTGCAACATCGGTTTTCATTTGTTGGCCGAAAACGGAAGTCACTTCTGTTGCAACAGAAGTACTTTCCTTCTTTTTTTTTTTGTTTTTGGAACTATCTTGCTTTGTATGCAAATTTCATTTGTATGCAAATTTCAACGCTTCTAAAATATATAAGTTTTACACCTTTGTTATTTAGAATCGGAAAAAGATAAGGTGCAGTAAGTTTTGTAGGCGATGTGACCTTAATTTCCTCCGGGGTAAAATATTTATAGAGTTCCGGGTTTCAGGATAATCGATGAACAAAGTTTCTGCCATGTTCGTAATCATTTGCAACTTATTTACTGTCGTTGCTGCAACGATGGATAAAAATAAGATCTTACGATGAAGTATCGTGTAAGATTTTGCTCGAGTAAGAAAAACATCAAGGCATAAATAAAAAATATTATATATATATATATATATATAATAGTAATATTATAGTTTTAATAGTCACCGTTTTTAAACTGTTTGAAATGCATTTACGGCTATTTAAGATTTCGCTGTAAATTTCATTAGCATTTTTTGTAGCTTTTTTAATCCTTTGTCAAACAAAAATAACAAAATACACCGCAACTGCACCTTTCTTCGATCTTTGGCCTTGACATTTTCACTACCTGTAAAAATAAAAAAAATGAAATGAAAACAGTAACAGTATGAATAGAGCTTCAAAATAATACCAACAATTAACGTACTTAATCGGCGCAGTTGCACGACAATTGCTGAGAGATAATAAGATCGAAACAAATCCAATTGTATATCTTTTATATATTTTCAAAGACATTCGTTTACTGAAATTTGGCTTGTAAATTAGGTGAACCGTCGGTGAAAGAAGATATGTCGTTAGAAGATGAAACTCCTACGCAAAGTACCGTCCATCCGTTCCACGAAGATCAGGACAACGATCAAGACGTATTGGTCGCGAAAGGCGTGACGATGGTTATCTTATGCACGGTGAGCATCATCATGGGCATCGTGCCGATGCAAGTGGCGAAGCAATTGAAATGGAACACTTCCGGTGTTGAAAATCCCAGGTATCCAGATATGTAACAACCATAATTTTTTATTCAACCTCGCTATTCAACCATCGATAATTTCTTCTAATTTCAATGTTATTTCAAAATATTTGACAAAAATTGAAGTGTTTTTAACTAAACTCGCCCCAAATGTGGGTCACGCTGTGTGCACATTGAAATTAAAACCTCAGACTTCGAGATTTGCACGTTGTATTATCAGTACGACGGTTATGATATATGTACATAGTTATGCGTATTATGATACCTGCGAAAAATAATTGCTGTAACATAATTTTGCCATGTTGCGATAGGTCAATGAGATTGGTAAGCTTGCTTCTGGGATTTGGCGGTGGCGTTCTTTTCTGCACGACGTTTCTTCACCTGCTGCCGGAAGTGAAGGAAGGTTTGGAGCATCTTACGGCCGAGGGGAAACTTCCGGAACTTAGTTTCTCTTTAGCCGAGACGCTCACTTGCGCTGGGTGAATAAAAAAAAAAAAATTAATTTACTCCCTTGTCGTATAAATTTCAATTGCAGAGAATAATTAAGAAAAAAAGAAAGACATTTGGTAACTGCGTTACACACGTTTTTTCTTCTCTCTTCTTTTTAGTTTCTTCATTATGTATTTAGTCGAAGAGTCGGTGCACACGCATTTACGGAAGAAGCAGACACGTAGAGAAGGTTCTAGCAAGGACGTTACCAAGAGCACCAACGAGCTAGTTGAAAATGGACAAACATTGCCAAACTGCGTCAGCGGGCACTCACACTAGTAAGGAAGATGTTATTTATCAGCTAGACGTTGTGGATCTTATGCAAATGAAACGGGATGAACCTATACATATATATATATATATATATATATGTACACGCGTGTTGTAGCAACGGCCACGGTCATTCGCATCACTTGCCTGTCATAATGGACGAGAAAGACGACTTCGTCATAAGTTCACTACGAGGGTTATTAATAGTTCTGGGTTTATCCGTGCATGAATTGTTCGAAGGACTCGCTATCGGGCTAGAAAGCTCAGCTTCATACGTCTGGTACGTTTGCTCGTTGCTAAACAGCAAAACTACTTGATTTAAGTGCATATAAAACAGAACGTAATCGCAATGTATAATAGAAGTAGTCTTGAAAGGCACAAGTTTGGAATGCATTCGCTACTAACTAAGAAACTAAAGCAATTTTTGATATAAATTCATCATTCTGGCTAAGAAATTAAAGAACTTTTTGATAGAAAAAAATTAGTTAGTTGATATAAATTCGTCAAGAGTTCAATTCCAATTCAATGCTTCAATTTCTCAGTCAGCAGCGAATGAATATCACCAGTTGTTGACGAATTGTTTTTTCAGTTGGTAGTAATCGTGAAATTAATTCATACGTAATTTGCCAAACATTGATAAAAATGTTAATGTTTGATCATGTTTCCAGGTACATGTTCGCGGCAGTGGCGGCCCACAAATTCGTGATAGCGTTCTGCATAGGTATGGAGCTAATTGCCTCCAATACCAGGCGATATCTCTCGGTGATTTATGTCTGCACATTCGCGGTTGTCTCTCCTTTAGGGATCGGCATAGGAATGTGTCTGGTTGGAGGCGAAAGCGCTGCTGCCAATGGCATATTTCCCGTGCTGCTGCAGGTACAAACGACATGTTTTTTTTTACGTTCTTTTACAACGTGATCAATTAAATATAATAAAAAAAAAAAAAGGAAAAGAAAACAATGTATAAACATTTACAGGGTTTGGCATCTGGTACTTTGCTGTACGTGGTATTTTTCGAAATCCTCCAAGAGCACAGAACTGGCCTCTATCAATATTTATCCATTCTGCTTGGATTCGCTGTGATGTTTGGATTGCAGATATTGAGTGAGTACAAAATTTGTTTTCAAATGAAACTCTGGGGGGATATCTCGCATACGAACAAGAGCTACGGGATTTAAATGCAGAGAAAGAAAAACAATCGACGTACGGTTAGGTACGTAAAGTGGAAATCACTGTTCTCTTGTCGAAGTTATCACCGCCACGACAAGAAGTGAGAAACGTTTGTGCATTAACGAGCAATAAGTTCAGCGGGTAATAAAATACGACTAATCTTTCAATTAAGGCCTCGTCCAATGATCGAAGTCCTCTCTGCAATTAACTTACGATTACAAGCGTATTTGTTGTAATAAATTAAGCGACTTTGACGCAATTTGATGAAAGCAAATAAACAAAAATTATCATCGCGCGCTTATCGATTGCCAGTGTGGAGAGTAGCCAGTTATCGGCTGGTGAAGCGCACAATTTGAACGTGATAGAACAGAATGCCGACGCGTCGAGGTCAACGTTCGAAATGCCACGATTTGAAAGGGAGAAAACGCCAGAAGAAAAGACCAACTTTCCAAATCGTGTTTGAACCGAGACTGAATCATCAATAATAATAATGGAACTAACAATTACTACACGAACAAGAACAAATCTCTTGGCTTGGCCCTAAATGCCAATCGAATTGTTCTTCAATTAATTTAGATATTATAAAAGTATCAAATTATAGCAAGATCAACTACAAGATTTCAAAAAATATATCAAATATTTCCTTATACGAATAAATATGTTTGACAGTTGGTTCAAAGCTAAATCATACTACATCGTCGTAGCGAAACAGCAGTTTTTTTTTTTTTTTTTCATCCGCGTCAATGATTCAGCTCTGTATCGAAAGGCCATTGCCTTTCACCGCGAAACTGCTTCACCCATTTACGCACTGGCATACCTAACTCACGGTCAACACGGACATTTACGTAGCAAACCTGATCTGAACCTGGTACCGATTTAACTTTCAGTAGCATAAGGTTACTGTCAGAACACATTCCAGCTGAATGATTTAACGAGGAGAAACGTAAGATTCGCGCTGCAAAGACTGTGGAGAAACAAAAATTCTTAAATCTCTAACTAAACCACTTGCGCTGGCAACCGATTGCGGATAACGAGTGACCAAAAGTCGCTCGTCGCTTTCTGTTTGAACTCTGTTTGTCTCTTCATCGTGACATCACTGGATAGAAATTACTGAGAGGTAGTCAATTTATTATCTGCTTTGCCCGTGCTATACTCTAAATATATACTTAAAACTGAGGAAATGTTGCAATTTTTGGGACAAAATGTTCTCCACGCTGAAAACGACGACAGTTCTTTCTTAACAGTTCCTCGAACTCGAACGATCCATTCAACAGAATGACCCGTAACGATCTACTTTCCAAAATCATCGAGCATCACGGTCAGCCGCGCTCGGGTTGATCGATCCATCGATCAATAAAAGAAAGAAAAAAAAAAGAAAAAAAAAGAAGAAAGCCGCACCAAGCACGCGATGCTTGCCAATCATTCATTCTACTCGGCGAATCGTCAATATGTATCCGTGAGCCCGCGCTCGCTATACATATATCAGGTCACCAAACAGTCGCGTCGGGTTCATACGTGCGCGGGGAACACATTTACATACACGTTGGCTGGCGGTGGCACGCAACCATCCAGTGTGTACTGGCAACAGCACACAAACCGTGTACAACACACGGGGCGGAAGAGTGGGAGGAAAGGAGAGAAACGAGAATCAGTAGTCGCTGGTAGGGAAGCGCGACCGATAGAAGGGGAAGGGAGCAGGAAACGGCGCGGCTACGACGTAAGACGCGAGGGGATCGGAGCCGAATGGCCAACCAGTCCTGAAGAGTGTTCAATTCACCGTCGTCGTGCCGCGCGTGGAACGGCCAGGCGTCAATTCGCTCCGAGGCTGAGAGCTCGTTTCTAACCAGTTTCTACCTCGAATCCTCCTCGCGATTCCCAGAAACAATGATCTCTCCGCGAGATTATCGGCCGGCGTTGCAGCATTAGACGCGCATCCGGGTGGGAGTTGGTATCCGAGTGCTAGATGGTCATTTCGCAATCCGCGATCCGTTTCCAAAGGAAAAGTGAAGTTAAGGTTGCGACACGAGGTGGCAACCAGCGTGTGGTTTCACCAGGTAACAATTTGGCTCACAGGTGTGTTGTTTCCCACACGCAGCAACTTGCCCGTGCGTGAACAAATCTCGAATCTCTCCGCCTACGATTACCATTTTGTTTTAAAACATCGATGTCATTTAAAGTTGTAGAAAATGTAAGCGAAAAGTACCATAAGTTTGCCGACACTCCCTGTGAAGAATGGAACCCGAAAACGAGTAGAAGACGACGTAGCGAGAGAGAGTCCTTCAAAGCTTCACGTTTCTGCTAATGTCTAAGGTAACTTTGGTCTTTTCGTTTGTACGTCGTTCGCCAATGGTTCGTGCGCGTGTTAAGTGAAAAAGTGATCGCATCGTTGGCGGATTGACCGTCTGGACAAAGAAGGGAGAGGTGCGATAAAACGCTTGGTGGAAGAATGAAAAACGAGAGATGTTAATTGAAGATTACGTGAGAGAGAAGGACGTGGTGAAGTGGTAATTAGAAGAAAAAAAGAAAAAAAGTAACCATTCACCTTAGAGAGACAAAGAAAATTAAAAGGGAAGCTTCTTTGAATTCAAGTTCACCTGCAAAGTGATTAGGAGAGAAGAAAAAACAAAAGAAGGAAATAAAGATGGAAGAAGCAACAATGTCTACCGTTTTGTTGGTAGCGAAGATAGGAGCAATGGTTGGTCTTGGCTTTGGCTCGTTGCTTCTCGGCATGTTGCCGTTGATCGTCGGACGTTACAGGATGAATCATCGTCAAAAACGACATCGTGGGATCTTCAGTAATTCCAGTACCTGTACCTCCACGTCGGTTTCCAACGCCTCCTCCTCCAGCGTTATTTCCGGATCTGCAACAAACTCGCAAGTACGTTTCGAATCGCGGTTATCGAAATTTCGACGAGAAAATTCCAAAAACGTCGAATTATTTGATCTTCGACTTCGAATAAAATTATCCGGTCCAGCTCACGACAGTTTCGAATCATTCTGCATTTGTATAACACGTGCCTATTTCATTCATTTCGTTATTGTCGTGATCGAATGTCTTGTCAGTCGAGGATTAAGTAATTCCAAGCTGCTTTTTCTTTACAATATCTGTTTCGATTGAAAACAGAATTCGTCTTCGCACAAGCTAGGTTAACAATAACATTGAGCAACAAGACTATAAGACCCGACGATAACAGTTAACCAAGCTTCTCCTCTCAATGATTTAACAAAAAAAAAAAAAAAAAAAAAAAAAGAAAAAATAGAAAGTCGTTTCATTTAAAAGCTACAAGATGACCGGCAAATGTAAGAGACAATGTAACGTGTAATCTCCAGGGCCTGCAGACGTCGTTGCTGCTGTGCTTCGGCGGCGGCGTCCTCCTATTCACCACGTTCTTACATCTAGCCCCGGAGGTCCGTGTGAACGTAGAAAGACATCAAACGAACGGCCAGCTGCCTACGCTGGGCACGCTAAATCTGTCGGAGCTGCTGTTTTGCGCCGGATTCTTTCTCGTCTACTTCGTTGAGGAGGCAGTGCACGCAGCGCTGACGGGGAAACCCGACTCGTCCGAGGCGTTGCTCTACAGGACGGTGTCCGTGCGTAGATGCAACAATCAAACAGGTGGGTCGACAGCGACGAACACCGGCTCGACCACCACCGTGTCCACCATAACCAGATCCACCTGGAAGGAAGGTAACGACGAGTCGAAAGATAGTGAAAACGAGTCGAGCAAACGATCGTCCAGGCTTGAGCATGGCCTGGACGATCAGCGCGATGGCAAACGACAGGACAAGGTGTTACCTGCCATATTTGTCCTGTCTTCTTCCATGGAGTTGTCTTCCGCGCAGCACAGTGCCCAGGACACCGCGAGATACCGCGATACGAATTACCCTGGAACGAAACACCAGCACGAGCACAGTCATGCTGCCATGACGAAGAACTCGTCGGTACAGGGACTGCTGACAGTACTGGCGCTGTCCTTCCACGCAATTTTCGAGGGCCTGGCCGTTGGCCTGGAGCCCTCCATTGGCTCCGTCGTTTACCTAGCTGCTGCCATTGCCACCCACAAGCTGGTGATCTCGTTCTGCGTCGGCATGGAGCTGTACGTCGCTGGTGCTTCCACCAGGACCACTCTTGGATATCTGACGATATTCTCGATGGTGACGCCGATCGGTATTGCCGTCGGATTGGCCCTCGGTCATTTCAAGAACGACAGCGAGAATTTAGGGCCCACGCCGACCATACTGCAGGGAATGGCCGCCGGGACGTTGCTATACGTGGTTTTCTTCGAGGTGTTGGCACGCGAGAGAGCTAACGAGAAAAGTGGCCTCTTACAGTTGACTGCCATAATTGTTGGATTCATGCTGATGTTGGGTCTACAAATCGCCAGTGAGTGTTTTCCGGATAATAAATCCGTAGCTCCTATCTCGAGCGTGTCGCGCGATATTTGCTTGCGAAACTGTCTTGCGTTCTTTTCCGTGAGTATTCAAATTTCTAATCCGCGGCGAAGTTGTTGCCTCTTCGCGGACTTTGTTTTATCTCCCCGTTACTTTTATCCTCCTTCCTTTTTTTATAGATCGGACGTTCGACGACAGTGAGTATGACATATTTCTGGAAATGTAAAAGGGACTAAATTCTAGTTACCTTCTCCAAGAGGAAAAGTAGATTTAAGATGATCTTACTGCACGGTAGCAATTAATATTTTATTGCGTTACTGCCACGCAATAATAATCTGATCTAAACGAGGGATTTATACCGCATTTATCTCGTCTAATACATGCGAGAAAGTTCAACTCTGTTATCGAACTAATTGCTCGCAACGCCGGCCCCTATCTGCCGCCGTTTTGGCAACCTTTCGTTCTCTTCTTTTCTTTTTTTTCTTGAACCCATCAACGTCGGTGCAAACCTATTGCCGGTACGTCCTTGATGCAATCACCACCCACGTGTTCTCGCAACACATCTACCTATCGATTCAGCGAGAAGTTAAACGGCACCGTCTGAAAAGTCACGGCCACGAAGATCGTGAAAAATCGAACTGCACACCGAACTTTATAACACATTGGACATTCCTGAATTTATCTTCCAACTTTGAAACGAAAAGGAACAAGTTCGTCTCGTTAAGAAATTTCATAAAATCTCTTCAATTCTTATCGTGACATTTTGTTTACTGTTTCAACGCTACCCGTGACATTTTGTTTACTGTTCGATAAATTTTCACAGACAGAGATACACATAATTGAAAGTATTTGGTCTTTTATTACAAAAATACTTTTTACATATATCTATATTTACATAACTACATATATATATATATATATGTAGAAAGTATTATAATATAGTATTATATATTTATATTATTTATTTTTAATTATAATATTATTACTGTATTATTAATGCTATAAATAATACTGTTAAACTACTATATACTTTATATAGTATTATTTATATATTTATATTATATATGTAGTATTATTTATATTATATATTATATATATAGTATTATTTATATTATATATTATATATATAGTATTATTTATATTATATATTATATATATATAAGTATTATTTATATTATATTATTTATATATATATATAGTATTCGTTTGCCTAGCTATTATTTGCTTTTATTTTTTTCCGTCAGACGAAACGATACCCCCCAACTATAGCTTTCGATTGCAATTGGGTTAATGACTCTGATAACGACGACGTGCTGAACTCCTGCTTCGAGGCAATGTTGTCTGCCGCGTCAATTTCTCGCGACGAGCAAATCATAGATAAAACTCGGATGTACCTTTATTAACGTATTAACCTATTAATCCACAAAAAGTACGTGATATCATTATACATGTATATTCAAGTAACAAGCACGTGCATCTGTACACGTGTACTTGTCGAGGCGTACACGCGCCTTGCAAGGATCTATCGATTTGAGAATGGATCGTTTTGCAAAGCTGATAAGAAAAGTTATGGAAACTATCGAAGAACAAATCATCACTTTGACAATGCAGTTGATAGGATTAATCTTTAATCTTCAATGAAAATAATATAAATTGAAGAAAGAAAAAAAATGTGCGTATCTTATTCTGATAACTTTTGATACAAATGACGAAAGTTTTTAGAAGTTATCTTTTATTCATACGAGCAAAAATGTTTAATGTTACACTGTTTCTTTTTTTTGCACTCGTTGGGAGTAATTGAAAGTTACCATGATCTCTTTTTTTTGTGTTAGTAGTACATTTTATAAAAAAGTATTTTTACTTTTAAAAAAATTTACTTTAAAAAGTAATTTACCTTTTGTTTCACCATTTGTGAAGAAACGTTAGGATTATGTTTGATGGTACATAATGAAAATTTTCATCTGTCAACCACAAGTGTTTACTAAATATAGCCTTTCCAACTGGTGTATGTATGGAACGTTTATAGCGTTTGTTGTACGAGTTATGTACTTAAAAGGTCTAAGCAATTCGACCGACTTTCGACCATTTTCTCGCGTATGGATCTGTAATTAAAAATTCGTAGCAGACGAAGAAGTTATCAGGCATTTATCAGCCAGTTTTTATGTATAACAGAAGATTTATAGACGTTATACAATATAAGAAGTGGTAAGAAAATATATTATAGTATTGTTTTCTTATAGAAGATGAATGTTATCTTCATGACTGTAGATTGATTTCAAATCACAGATTAGATCTTATCTATTTACTATAGGCTTCACCTTACCTTAGGCTTACAATTAAATACCCATCCATCATTTAGATATAAAAGTGCTTTCCAATCTGTTTTTAATTGCAGATAGCAACTGTATTGCACTTATCGAATTTCTATAACCTATCTGTTTGAAGCAAATGAAATTTCTTAAAATGACAGCTGCTAGCAGATCATATTGCTTAAAGAAAACATGGTTTCTGTTTTATTTTGCAGCCGCACATTCTCATTCCCATTCGCATTCGCACTCGCATTCACACGATGGCCACGCAGACGTGCATAGTCACGAGGTTGACCACCATCAGGAGAGCGATCACAATCACGAGTTGGACTCCCATGAACACATCTACCCAAACGAAATGAGCGAACGAATACTCACCGATAAGATTTACAGAGTAACAGAAAGTATCGCAGAGACTGTCAGCAACGTTCTATCCTCCACGATGAAAACATCAACTGACACTCCGTTCAGAAGCAGTAGTAACGAAACGGCATTGCACACGAATCGAAGCTAAAATTCATTTTTGACGGGGAATCCTTCGACTGATTCTGAGATAGTGAGTAGACAATTTTTCTTTTACTATCCTTTACGGAAATTACTTCCGAGGATACATCAACCATGCAATTCATCGATTATTTCAGGACGATGTAATAAGTTAAACGAGTAAGAGAAATCTTGATGGATGGCAGTATTATGGAACTTGGATTTAAATTTGGAAGAGAAGAACAATATTCTTGCTCTACGCGTATCGTACAAATGTCATCAATTGTACAAAAATGTAAATGATAAATGGTGATGTTTACGGGTGATACGGTAAAAACGTATCCAAAATAAGAAGAAAATGTCAGCATACATTGTCATTTAATGGTCAAATGTGATACGATTCACGGGTATAACCACGTGATCGCGTTACTTACTACTTTTTTTTTTAACGTATGGAATATCCATATGAAACACTATCTTTTATATTATTTAGATTAGGAAAATAGGACTATTTCTTAATTATTTATACGAACATTTAACAACTTGCTCATATCATGTGCATATTGCATAACATTGTAACGAAATGGGGTATATTTTGCTACTGTCGAATATCGATTCTTTACTTTCGAAAGTGATAACTTTAATCATTCTCATGATTTTAAGTGTTTATAACTTTTGTATGTATTAATATTTTTTTTTTCCTACGTGATTATTTACGACACGTGTCATTAGGAATGATAATATATTATCATTGATACAAAGATTTGCAGCATTAAAACAAAAATACTGTATCCTATAAATATTTGGGAACGTCATGTCTTATTCATTTCTTCCACAATTCAGTGTAATGAAACAAGTACACTACTATTTATAAATATATTTTATGTAATATACAAAAATATCACTTTTCTTAAACCAAAGAATCAATTTTTAAACATAAATCATATTTTTCATAATATGTACATGAGGCAATAAATTGAAAAAAACACGCAAAACAAAATATTAGATAATTAATTGTACCTGTCAAAATTCTCCATATGATATTTTAAATTCTAAACAAGACAAGTAGTAATACATAAGTTCTTATAGTACAATTAAGATTGTGACAATGATTATAAAATAGAAGCTATCCGAATTTGTGTATTTTTAATAGCTATTAATAATATTTTTAATAGCTATTGTTGATTTTTATTATTTATTATCATAACTCACATAGTATAGCATAAATGCTAGTGTATGAACATATTTGTACATAAAGTTTTTTTTTGACAAATAAGACCTACACACATTGTCATACAAATCTATTTTGTATATAGCAAAATTTATTAATAAAATAAAAACAACTTTAGCAACAAAAGTACAAAAATTTTCCCTTCTCTAATAAATAAATATATTGACGAATTGTGCCAATTTAGATTTGTAACAGAATTTATTGTACAAGTAATACAATTTTCTGTTATGGTGCACACATGTATATTTTTGCTAATTATACACACTTTGTCGTGGTTTAAAATTAATTCTCAGTAATGTGTCTTTTATTTGTTAATACTTACACTGATTCCAAATATTATATAATTTATTATAACATAAAACCTTTGAATTTTTTTTCTAACATTTATTAAAACTGCTGAAGAAATGTGCACAATTCTACCACTACTGCTAATCAATTACTTGAATGAAGATGATATATGTTTTAAAAAATGTGCTCGTGTTACAAAAACATTTTAAATTGTGACAAAATTCTTCTTTCACTTCTTTTTCTATTTTTTTAATTTTTAAAATATAAATTATATAATTTCATACATTAAAAAATGTAAGATATATTTTGCATTTTATGGAATCAGTTTTTCATCATTTACACATTTCATGCAAAATACGATAACAATATTTAGATTTTTGCTTTATATGTTCTTCTTGTAATTATCAGAACTTGCAAATAATTAACAAACACAAAATAAAAGCAACTTCTGGTTATTCTCAACATAATTTTGCTTGTTATCTTACAACATTTATAGAGCAAAGATCATAGAAAGTATAAAAATTTATAAACTTTCAAGAATTCTTTGCTTAATGTTACATCTTCTATCTTTGTCATCAATTCTATTTTGTTATGTTATTGCAAATTTTTTCTTTAGACGCGTTTAGTACACACTGACATACATCAATTATAAAACTCCGTTTAATCTACTTCTTTGGTATCTGTTCATCAACGAAGTTTAGATAACTGGAACCAACTTTGATGAACGCAAGCCCAGAACTGATGCCAATTACTGTACATAGAGTTGGATTAGGTGGTACAACAGATCGAAGTACTGCCCATACTAAAACTGACCCAAAGCTCAGCAATACAGCTCCAGCAGTACTACAAAACATATAAATGAATTTATTAACATCTTCAACAAAAATTGGAATATATTAAAATAATAATGTCCTACCTGTACAGAACTTTTACACATGTAGGAGCAGTTTTCAAGTGATCACGAGTATATATGTAAGACCCAGTGCCAAGAAGAGCACTTCCCAATAAGAAATTTGTAATATCTTTCTTTGGAAAGACCCTAGAAATGTACCAAAAAAAAGAGGGGCAATAAGTAATTTAATAAATAAAATAATAAAAAGTGATTGCTGCAACTGATTGTGATTTTGTTTATTACAATATTCGCTGGATAAAACAAATTACTATCTAATTAGAATTGCACTCATAAAAAGAATGAAAAACATTAAATTACATGAGCCATTATGTATGCCAAGTACAACTCGCCGATCGAATGAGGTAAAATAGGTCATGACATTTATATTTAAATGACGACTACGTTTGACAGAAAACAACGAGCATTCCAGTCTCAAAGTTTTAAATAAATTGAAAAAAAATGTATCGTACAGCATTTTGTCTCTAAAGATTACGTAACATTCCAAGAATTACGAAACCCTGTAATTCAGTGGAAAGCAGTAGAGGTTAACATTTGAAGGCAGAATGGATTCGCTCTCTTACCTGATGACAAGACTCGGGTTCATTACGTTAATAGACAACGCTGTGTACGAGGCGACACCGAAAGCAGGAGCGTAAAATTTGACGAGGCTACATTTCGTGATCGGTTTCAAGCCAAGTTTCTGCAAAATTGTACCGGCACTCGTGCTTCCTGCAGCGGCCATTGTTCGTCCTCACCCGACTGTTGTCAATGATCTACTGATCCGAATAATCGTGACCGTAACGTAATCTTGCGTAAGGAATGTTTACACGAATTTCAACCAAACGAACGGCCTCGGATAGACAAAATTTTTGATGTAACAAAGATAGAAAAATGGATTCCGGCAGTGTGTTCACAAATGCACATTAATGCAGTGAATCTATCGTGCAATGTGTTCTGAAATAAAATTAATATACTCATTGTAAATAAAATTGACTCTCAGTTATAAATATTTTCTTTTTTTTATTTAATTTCGAACATGGTACCTCAAGTCTGATTATATACCAACTCATTGTTCATATCTCTTATTGTCAAATAATGTAACCTACATATTTCAAATCACAGTTTAGACAAATTGTTTTACAAGTGATTGTAAACTTTGTCTATTCTATCATATTTGTAGTAGCAGAGACGTACATGCGACACGTAAGTTCATCTTCTACAGTAATTACAATTTCTTTACTAAAGATAAGATAATGAGACTGTCCTTTTGTTATAGATACACGTAAAGTTACTGGCCACTATTGAGTAATGAAGAATCGTTACGTATCGGTCAATATATACTGATCAAATCTTTTCCTCATAGTACCATTATATTTCTATAAATAAATATACACATTGTGTATGTACAACTGTAACGATAAACAAAAACATGTTCCGGTGATTTTACTATTTTGCTTGCTGATAACTTCAAAAAATGGAGTTATACTCCAAGAATCTCTTGTATTAACTAGTAACTCTATTAATGGCAGGCATCGCTATAATAAATGAAATTTAATACAGAATTTGCTTAAAAATTTTTATGAGTTAATCTAGGCATTCACAGCTGGACCTAGCCTCGTGTGTGGTAGTGGATTAAATGGAGTAATATTGCGAATTTCTTTCTCTAAGCAATTGCTATAAATATCAGTAGTGAGCTCGTTCAGTGGAATTTCGGTATCTGATTTCGCAGCTTTTACAGCATCGTCTACAACTTTCCGGATTTCGTTCTCTATCGCCTGGACAAAAAGAATCAATTTTAAACAAATACATTCTTAGCACGTAGATTCATCAAGACCAATTTCACACCTTTATTTCTTCTGGAGTAACAAGATTGGCATTCAATACTCGTTCTTTGAAACCAGTTATAGGGTCTCTAGTTTGCCTCACTTCCTGGATTTCTTCTCTCGTACGATAACTTGTCCCAGGATCGGACATACTGTGTCCACTGTATCTGTAAGTTACAGTTTCTAAAACAAGAGGTCCTTTGCCAGATGTACAGTAGTCAATGGCAAATCTGGTAGCTTCTCTAACTGCTAGCACATCCATACCATCCACCTAACAAAATATTTAATCAGTATGATTTTATCAAACAAATGTAAATAAGTTTTATTTTATAAAACAAACCCAAATTCCAGGAACGTAATCTCCTCTTGTATAATATTCTGTACTCGCAGAAGCACGATCGACACTAGTACCCATACCATACCCATTGTTTTCACAAACAAAGATACAAGGAACGTCCCACAACTTGGCCATGTTGTATACCTCAAACACTTGTCCTTGATTGGCCGCACCATCTCCGTATAATGCGACACACACTCCTCCAGTGTTCATATATTTCGCAGCAAAAGCAATACCTACTCCCAATGGTACCTACAAACTTGTTTCATGACAATAATGTATATATAGCTGATTCAATAATTTTAATAACTGATACTCACTTGGGCACCAACAATACCATTTCCACCATAAAAGTTTTTGGAGTACATATGCATAGAACCACCTTTACCTTTTGCATTTCCTCCTTTTCTACCAGTTAATTCAGCTAAAACGCCAAATGGCTCTATTCCCATTAAATAGGTCCACCCGTGGGCTCTGTAAGCTGTAATCACAGAATCTTGCGACCGCAAGGCTGCTTTTATACCAACTGCACAGGCTTCCTATCAGAAAAATAAAAAGATTTTATTAATGAAAACTGTTATCGAATGAACTTTAAGAAATAGAACGTGATTCTTACTTGACCCGAGTACAAATGGCAGAAACCTCTGACAATTTTTTCTTTGTAAAGATTTCCAGCAGCTGTTTCCATACGACGGATTGTATGTAGTTTTTTATAGAGCTCTAACGCTTCATCTCTAGTAACAGAGACTTGGGTGGAGGGTCCGCTGTCCAATTTGTGTAATCGGAAGGGTTTTGTTTCGAATGAAGCTTCTGTGGCATAATTGTTTTTCTTGTTGAAGAAGTACGATACCACCTATAAGCACAGTAAAAATCAATATACAATATCTGCATTCATTGTAACTCGTTGTAACAAGAATATGCAAAAGGAATAAAATAACAGCTCAAAAAGGGATGTAACATAAAGTTAGTTTTCACTTCTGAATTTAAAAAAAAAAACTCTGTCCGTAAAACTGCATAAAATAGAGAAAGTGCACGACTCCGTTGTAAATTATTTACGTTCTAATTACCACGTATTTATAAAAAAAGAAAAAGAACAAACGAAAGAAAGCAGAAAAAATCAAAAACGAAGTGGTGTAAAAAGAAAGAGAGAGAAAGAACTGTGATTTATTGGTGATAATAAACACATGAATAAAGTCTATGTGAATAATTACCTCGTTCCAGCTGCCGAACTGGCAAGACACCAGGAGGAGATATAAAAAAAGAAAAGAACGAGCGTTCAATTGCAAGACTCTCGAGCAGAGTTCGTACGATTAGAAATTATAACAAGACCCTGGCATGGAACGTGTTGGCAAGTATCTAGTTTAGAGGTCATTTGTCGTTCGATCGTATACTTACATTTCTCTTCGACGTTTGAGCACCTATATTTCTTATACAGTTCGGTATCATTCTCAGATGATTTTTGTTAACTGGTCGTTCAGTCAAATTCGAGTTCAATGAGAACACGGGACTAATACACAATGTAAATTGAACAGGGACGAGTCATTCGTATGGCGCGGACAGTATCGTAAGAGTTGGTTCGTAAACGTCACAGGTTAATTCGTATCCCCCCTACAATCGTCATTAAAAAATGTTGGACGGTATGACGTAATAAGATGTTTACACAGAGGCGAAACTGTGTTAAGAAACGAGTACGCACGTGCGTAGTGAACGTGCATATGTAAAAATGACATGATCATTTGAATAGCAAAAACTAAGAAAAAATGAAAAACGAAAATGAATATAATTTGATATTGTTGAATGCTCAGTCATGTTGATGGATATGTAAGTTGAGGTGTTAAAGTCGAATTACGACAATGATAAACGTATTAAACGATTTATTCTAAAAATAATATTTCAATATAGAAATTTATTTGTAGATGTAAAGTTGATAAGGTTGTTTGTAGAAAGTGCGTGCAGGTGATCAAAAAAACAACTTTTCAACGTAATCTTCGTATTTAAAAATAGTTGCTGATTTTTACGACGTTATTTAAAAATTATTATCAGCTGATTTTTATGACGTTTATCCGGAAGCACATGTATGTTGCATAATGGGTCTATACATTTCATCTTCATGAAATAGGAATTGAAATATGTAACATGTAAATATCAAAATTACAGAATACGCACAATATTAAATATATGTGTTATATATTTATTTGTATATATGTATAAATTGTTTAAATTTAAAACTGTACGTGCTTGTTGCAGCACGAATTTTTACTAACACGATGCTACCATTCCGCGGTCGCATCTTGAACTAGAAAACCCGCCAAAAAGAAATTCAAATTGATCATCGATGAAAAGACATGAAAAGAAAAGTAAAAGAACAAAAACTTGTTATGCATATTTCCATGTTAGAAATTCAGAAAGATGTTTTAAACAGTGCAGATAATTGTTTACATATTAATATTAATTGACAAAATGTTTTGGGATGCTATCAAGACGTCAATCAAAAAAAAAAAATTTGGGAAATTTGTATGCAACTTTTTGTCATTTGTTAATATCTTATTTTACACAGGATTTTGTGCTATCTTCGTAACGTTCGCGATACACGGGGGCGTAAATTGTACGTAACGTATAGTATTTTTAATATTGATATACGTCGAGGATATGGTAAAAACAATGCCAAAAATTACGATCAAATAACCGAGCCAATCGCCCCATTTTTGACAATTGCAACAAATCGCTCGTCTCGATTCTTTAGGAGCTTCGATTCTTTTGTAGATACCATAAGGTTCACTGGCGTCCACGAACACCGGATCGCTATCACGAATCCGTTTCGTCATCAAAAATTCTTCGGTGGCTTCTCTAGAAGGTATGTCATCATTTTCATAATCCGTAATTTCGTCGAACTCATCGTCGTAATAAACGTATGAATATCGATGATATTCAGGCGTAGGTACGCTCAGAACACCGTAGTAAATCGACCTCGAATGAATCCTCGGGTCGGTGGACATGCCGCCGCTACTGCGACGTCTCTCAGTGCCCGAATATACTTCAGGAGTTAAGGGCCGCATGGATCTTGCTTTCAAGGTGACTGCTTTCGAATATATCAAAGGTGGCAATACGAAGACCAACGGACCGGTCAACGATCCTCCAATCAATGCCATCACAATGTCGAATCTTGGTACAGATTCTCCTACAGCTACTCCGAGAAAAACAATAGCTGATCTTATGGCGCATCTTTTCCATCCAAAATCTGTTATACGAAGTATGTGTCTCGTGTAAACTCGGTTCCCCAGACCATTATTTCCTAAATTCTTATCACAGTAAGATTTCTTACTTCTTTTAATGTTGCACTGGTCTTCTAGATCTTGGAACAGAGCTGAGTGACCGAGGGCGCTAGAAAGACATAGTTGAAGAGCTGCAGAAAGAACAGCAACACTCACTGTGAAACCCTCTGGGATTATTTGCAGGACATTGGCTGTTGTACTACCTCCATACTTCCAAACAGCCAGGATTGCAGTAATAAAAAATAACGAACCACTGACTGTAATAAATAATCAATATATAATTATTATAAGATGTAGAGCAATGATTCCATTATATTAATAATTAATTGATAATTTACCTAAAAAGGAAATTACAATTGCCTTACTGATGTCTTGGGGGCGACGCATATCCACTTGTACAGTCATCAATGTTGGATGTATATCAAATTGAAAGGCTAACATTCCATAGCTGAAAGATTATATAATAATATATACACGTAAGTAAACAGTTAATAAGTGAACTTGCCCGGAAATAAACTTGTCCCAGGTGGGAGATGTGGGTACTAGTGCAACATCAAGTTCTCGGTTATCAGTAATTATACACCACCATATTAACAACGCCGTCAGTACAACTGTTGCGCAGGAAAATGTAGCCAATATTCTATAAGTATATGATAGCATTTAAATCGTATTTCAGTTTTATGAAGTATCGCGATTTAAGTTATACATTACTTCATATCACGAGGACTACCAAGCCACATAATTGGACATAAAAGAATGCCCACAACTAGGAGCCAATAGCAGAAAGACAGGTCAAATCGTTGCCCCGAAATTTTTAGTCCAAAAATTTGCAAATTCTGAGAGGCTGAAATCATGAAAAAGAAATGAGAAACATAGATCAATTTTTTTTTATTTAAAATTTATGGACTTACCAACCAGCAAGTTAGGTATACTGCAACCGAAAACTGTAAGGTCCATGATTATAGTGACTATGGTCCTCGCACGAGGACCCATGGTCAATTCTGTTACGGCCGCAAGAGGATTTCTGTCAAAGCAAATCAAATCAAAGCCATCAACGTAATTAAAATAAAAATATTAAGTCTTACCGATTTTTTCTTGAAATTTGCGGATCTAGAGTGGTTGCGATAATCCATGTTTTACCAAGCAGAACAGCCGTATAGATTTCCAAAGATAATACGACAAGTACCAAAGGAATTCCATACAATCCTAAAAAGGAATCGCCCTTAATAATTTATAGTTAAAAAAATCTATAAAAATTACGTAAACACGCGATTACAACGACATAAAACATGGTAACAAGAATTGTTGACAGATCAGAATAGGTTGAATAACAAAGGCTTAACAAGTTAAACAACTTTATTTTCGACCAACTTTCTCACAAGATAGTTTGCACTCAATGCTTACAATGATAGTCATTGAACGATGAATATAATAAATCAATTATATAAATCGCTCCAATTTAAATAAAATATTCTATGAAACAAATATTAAAGTCATGTGATATACACAATCGTATTATATTTGTATATATATGTCTACATATATATATATATATATTAATACATATATATATATATGTACATGTACATATATATATATTAATATTATTATATATATTTTACAGAATGTGTAAATGATAAAAGGAAAGAATTACTTGCTACGATACAACTTTGTAAAATACAAACTTAAAAGTAAAAAGAAAATTATACTATTCACACAGAGACGTCTTAAAAAGAAAAATCACATTCTCCAGACAATCCTTGCTCTAGTGTTCTCCTAATTACATTGTGAAATTAAAAAAAGGAACGGAAACTAAAGACCCGTTGGAAGAAACAAAGATAGACAAGCTTACCACATTGGACGATCGAGCGTGGTAAGGCAATGATCGGGAAAACGCCGAAAATATCGATAACGCATAGTGTGGCAAACAAAAGCGACAAATCTGAATTAGTATCTTTGAAAAGTAGCGGCAGTCTTTCGCGGCGATTCATGACGAGGAATGATTCATACTGTTCGACATCAGTGTAGCATACACATCGCGAACCGGTTTTCTGTTTCGCGGTAGCGAGTACCACGCCAGAACATGTAACATGATACTCTATCGAACGCAAATGGCTTACCTAGCCACGGCTATAGAAACGAAGGAAGACCCACAACGCGTCTTTTTCTTCCTTCGAAACTATATACAGCCATGCAATGCTAGAGTATAATATAAATTACCGGGATCCATGTTAGATATGAAATTCAATTATAAATATATAACACACTCGACACGATATATGTGCTATATGTAATAGAAAAAATATCTCTCGAGCAACGTTGATAAATTTCACGTACTCGTGATGGAAATGATATACACAGTGAAATCGTAAATTACAGTTTTAGAGAGACATAGTAATTGATCTAGTTGTAGCTGGAAACCGTATTGAACTGTAATGAATTAACGTTTAGAACCTTTTCTCGCAACTTCTCATTAGTAAAAATAAAAAATTTACAACAGCAAAGAATGTACTACATATATATACATTCCAGTTAACATTTTTACAAGGCCTGAATATTTCCAAACTTTTCAAATTTTTGTTTCGACGTTCGAAATCTGCATACTTTTCAAGTTGAATAGTTTACGACCTCGCTATATCTTCCATCATAAGTACGTGTACGAAACAAATTCGTTGATTTGTCCTATCGAGTGTACGACATATTCACTCGGTATCTCCTCGCTATTGCTCAAACATCGTAACACGTTGACCTCTTCGTCCACTATTTCATACTCATTCAGGCGTAACTTGATGCAAAAGCCTGTTCTCTAAGAAGAAACAAAAACATTTTTCCGGCCTATGATCGTATAGATATTCACGTTAAAATTTAAAAAATTGTGAATGAATTTATACAATATACGAAGTTAGAAAAATTGAGGATTGACAAATGGTAATTATAACTTATCGTATTTATACCTAACTTATAGTACATGTTTAATGACAGAAAGTCATACAGATAAGTGTAATACTTCTTAATCGTCTGTTTCGTAGGCTGGTGACGCCGGAGAATATGTAGGACTTGTCGGCGAATAACCGGGTACCGGTGGAGAATATGTTGGACTCGTTGGTGAGTAACTCGGGCTGGTTGGTGTATACGTTGGACTGGTAGGCGAGTATTTGGTACTCGACGGTGAATATTGAGGACTCGTAGGCGAATACGTCGGACTAGTAGGGGAATAATTTGGACTACTGGGTGAATATCTGGTACTTCCGGACGCTGTGTGTTGTGGTGAACTGGGCGAGTACGATGGGCTGGTCGGCGAATAAGTTGGACTCGTTGGAGAGTACGTCGGACTTGCTGGCGTATACTGTGGCGAAGTTCCAGCGAACGACGGCGATGTAGGCGAATATGACGGACTTGTTGGTGAATATTTTGGACTACTCGGCGAGTAACTTGGACTAGCTGGTGAATATTGTGGAGAGCTTGGCGAGTAACTTGGACTCGTTGGAGAATAAGACGGTGAGGCTGGTGTATAATTCGGTGAGCTCGGCGAGTAACTTGGACTCGTTGGTGAGTAACTTGGACTTGTTGGCGAATAACTCGGTGACGTTGGCGAGTACGATGGACTCGTCGGTGAGTAGCTTGGCGACGTTGGTGAATAGCTCGGACTTGTTGGAGAGTAACTTGGACTCGTTGGTGAGTAGCTCGGACTTGTTGGCGAATAACTCGGACTCGTTGGTGAATAGCTCGGACTAGTTGGTGAATAACTTGGACTCGTTGGCGAATAACTTGGTGATGTAGGTGAGTAGCTTGGACTTGTTGGTGAATAACTTGGTGACGTTGGTGAATAGCTCGGACTCGTTGGTGAATAACTTGGACTCGTCGGCGAGTAGTTTGGACTAGTAGGTGAATAAGTGGGACTGGTAGGCGAATAATTAGGACTCGATGGTGTTATACTCGGCGATGTTGGTAAGTAGGTGGGTGACGTAGGTGAATAACTTGGTGAAGCGCCACCCGCTGGTGACATTGGGTACGGACTCATGCTAGGTCCTGGGCTTCCTGGACTTCCAGGTTGTGGTGAATATGCAGAGTACGCAGGAGAAAGTCCTGAGGCATCTGATGCTCCTGATGGAGAGAAGCATGCTCCTCCTGGCGTCATACCACTGCCCAATGCTGTAAAAAAAAAAAAGTTATTCATGAACAAATAATGATAATAAATTTTAAAATTATAATATAAATAATCTTACCGGGTGACATACTCGAAGCACCATAACCAGGTGTTGCGCCTATCCAAGGTGTCATTTGAGGACTCATACTTGGTGTAGCAACACTACCAAAGAACATTCCAGCAGTTCCCATTACACCGGCACCCACTGCCATTGGTATTTCAATACCAGCTTTACATTTCTCAGCGTCTAATAGTAAATCGAAACATCCTGAAACAATAAACGTTAACTTAATAACTTCAGATTTATTGAAATTATCAATTGAAAACAATACCTGTCCCTATGCGCGGAAGTTGTCCCATGATGATGTTTTCAGACACTCCTCTCATGGGATCCACTTCTGCGTGAGAAGCTGCATCCAACAAAACGTCTACTGTTTCTTCGAAGGAACATCTACAATAAAATACAAATGTGTTAAATTTTTAGTTAATAAATTGGTAATTTTATTTTATTTTTTTTTTTTTTAGTTTCTTATAACTTACCTCATAAGAGCACCTGTATCCTGTCTGTTGATTCCATGACGTGTTATAGCCATCAAGTGACCTTTTGCAGTCATTACGTCACAAAGTAAAGCCAGATGACGATAGTTTACATAAAGGCCGTAGAATTGCAGAACAGCGTTCATTTCTTTCTCTACCGATTTTCTTACAGCCTCTATACCCAATACTTCGAATATCTCGCAAATATCGTTACTAAATGTTCTAACCGGATCGACGTCTCTTTCGCTTAATACTTTCATCAAACTTGTACCATCCGTTTCTAATAACCATTCTGCTATTGCTTTAAATTCACCAGTTTCCGTGATAACTATACGTTTCTTAGCATCGGTTTGAGGCAAATGCATATACACTTTTCCTATGGCTTCAATACCCTATATAGGAAAGTAATAAAAGTAAGTAGATATTTACAATTAAAATTAAAATATTTATTATTTAATAATAAAATTGGAAAACGTACCTGTAATGTCATATCACTGAGCATATTTGCTTCGATGCATCGAAGAAACATATCATCTTCCATTTTATCTACAGTCTCTTCCTCGCTGTCTTGGAACTTGTTATCGTCGCTATTCATTATCCTAATTCGTAAAACTAATTTCTCGGCGTTATCATCATTAAAGATACAATTCAAATCGTCACCGAAACCAGCATTAATTTTTTCCGCAATTTGTTCCATGGTTAATTTCTTATCAGTCATCCTCTTGCGATCTAGTTCAATTCGAAGTAACCATGGTGATATTTTAGTCGGATCAAAATCAGGCATTTCATAATATACATTTACAAATTCTTGATCTTCTGCTATTACAGTATTTTGTGGATCTGGATCATAGTAGATCGCAGTGTTTGCCGTAACTTTTCTCAGTGTGGTATGTTCCAACCGGCATAGCACATTCTTTGCTTTCTCGGCATCTCTTGCTGCAGCTCCCGTCAAAAATACAGTCAAGGACGGAGCCTTCGGTTTCTTACTAATGTTTATAATTTCCTTCAATCTCGGTACACCAAGGGTTACGTTCTTTGACGATACACCAGCAAAATGGAAAGTATTCAGTGTCATTTGAGTTGCAGGTTCACCAAGCGATTGTGCAGCCAGAGCACCTACCATTTCTCCCGGTGATACCTAAATAAAAAAAATTGAGTTTAGACTGAAATTTGAATTTTTTAATCAAAATTTAAGTATTATTATATAATCTATTTTCTACAGACCTGTGCTTGTTGGAATCTAGTTTCAATTTCTCCAATAAGCCATTCAAAGGCTTCACTAGATAATCGAAATTCCTCAGAAACACATTTTGTACATAAAGTGGACCTCACTAAACACTGGAATAATAATGTGGCATTCTCATTAGCCTGTTTGCTAAGTCTATCTTCACCAGCTACAATGATACACTTATCCAAAAGATCCTTTACACCTACAAAGAGATATTTTAAAATTAATATTGCCACTAGTACGTGTAGTAAATGACAATATTAACTATCGAATTATTTACCCTGTATGACTCTCATAGGGCTAAGATCAGTAGGTGCACGCTTATTTATATGGAAAATCTTTTGTACATTCCAAATCATTCTTTGCAAGTTACAAGGCAGTACAACTTTCGATTCTCCGCTAGGAAAAATCTCTCTGAGTACAGCACGATCTTTGTTCAATTGTTCCCATTCTCTTTCTAGCTCGGATATGACTTCACCAGATCCCATCATTTCTCGAACGATATCTTCGTTAAAGATACGACGAAGATATCGTTCGTTGGTTGGATCAAACTTGAACTTCTTCTCAAATGCTTTATTACTTAATTTAATGGTAGGCAAATTCTGAAATTCGACGGTTTCACCGCATAGACCGTCCTCGCCATAACGCAATTGGATAAGCTGTCCCACAGAGTTTCTAACTGTTCCGTCGTAATGCACCATTACAGACTCCATAGCCTTTATCAAACGACGCTGGATGTACCCAGTTTCTGCAGTTTTTACAGCAGTATCGATAAGACCCTCACGACCTCCCATAGCGTGAAAATAAAACTCGGATGGCGTTAAACCAGCAAGGTACGAGTTCTCAACGAATCCTCTCGATTCAGGACCATAATCATCCTTGATGAAATGTGGCAACGTTCTTTTGCGAAAACCGAACGGAATACGTTTACCTTCTACGTTCTGCTGACCGACACAAGCAATAACCTGAGAGATATTGATGTTAGATCCCTTTGATCCTGATACTACCATGGCCTTTAGATTGTTGTACTCGGTCAAAGATTTCTTAGCAGAGCCACCAGTCTTATCACGAGCGTCGTTTAGAATTCTGTTTACTTGATTTTCGAACGTCTGCCTCAAAGTGTTACCAGGAGTTGGCTCCAATTCCATGTTATGAGCTTTCTGAATTACCTCTATCACGTCCTCTTTGGCTTTCCTAATGGCTTTCTGAATTTCTAAATAAGTCTGTGGATCGGCAATGGTATCTCCAATACCAATTGAGTGACCTTCCAGCAGTAACCAATTGTTAATTACAGTTTGAATGTTTCCGTAAAATCGTCCGCAAACTTCGTGTCCTAGTTCTAACATACAAATGTGAAGCAGAGATCCAGCAGACGTACCCAAAGTCTTTTTACAAAGGATACCCATAACCAGTTCTCCGTGCTCTACCATGACCTTCGTATCACCAGGTGAAATCCACTTGTACGGGCCATCATCTTCTTCGTCCGGATGTGTACTGTGAGTTCTTATCATATTCACATTGCCTGGTATAATCAAAGAAAAGATTTGTTTACCAGTCCATAAAGGCTTTGGTTTTAATATGCATGGCTGAGGCATTTTGCCATCCCAGCTGGGTAAGAACATAAGGATGTTCATCATTTGTTCCTTTTCTATGAAAACGTCCCTCTTCGTCATCTTTCTCACAGCAGTAAGTGTATCCTGTACAATACCCATGACTGGTTTATTAGCTTGTGGCGTAATGATTTGACGGGGTGTCACATGAATATTTTCTACTTCCGCTCGGGTTTCCATTGACTGTGGGACGTGTAGATTCATTTCGTCACCATCGAAATCGGCGTTATAAGGAGACGTACAACTGAGATTCATACGGAATGTACTCCATGGTAACACTTTTACTCTATGGCCCATCATACTCATTTTATGAAGCGTTGGCTGCCGATTGAAAATTACTAGGTCACCATCGCGAATATGACGTTCCACTCTGTAGCCACACTGTAGATGTAAATCAGATGGTTTCGGATGGAACCTTAAATCAATTCTTTCACCATTATCTCTGACGATATACTTGGCGCCTGGGTATTGCGAATTTCCTCGTCTAACAAGTTCTTGCATTTTATCGATATTGAAAGGCGTTACAATTTCCGGGAATGTTAAATTCTGTGCAATACTACGAGGTACACCAACCTGATCGATCCGTAAATTAGGATCGGGAGTAATAACAGTACGAGCAGAGAAGTCAACACGTTTGCCCATTAAATTTCCTCTTATTCTGCCTTCCTTTCCTTTCAACCTCGCTTTTATAGCTTTTAATGGTTTGCCCGATTTTTGCATAGCTCGTGGCATGCCAGGCATATCGTTATCAACTAACGTTGCTACGTGAAACTGTAACATCTTTATATTTTCCGATATGACGTGTGCTGCTGCTCCAGCTTGTTCGTTTCTGATTAATTCGTTATTTGCTTTTATAATATCAGCAAGCTTGTGTGTTAAATCGTCTTGATTCTTGGCAGAACCGTACATAATTACTGCCGGTCTGACAGACAAAGGTGGAACAGGCAAAACAGTTACTACCATCCAATCGGGTCGTGCGAATTTTGGGTCCATACCAAGAATAAATGATTCTTCATCTGTAATGTGCTTTAAAATTTCCCAAGCTCTCTCTGCCGTAAGGGCCATCTTTTTTTCTTGCGAATCTTCATTTACATGCGTCCATTCTGCGGTCACATCTAATCCAGATCTCCGGAGATTCGGTTGATATCTACCACATCCACCATGTCCTGGTTTTCTGTCTGTAGTTTGTTGTTCTTGATTTTCTTTGTTAATGTCCATCTCATCTCCACCCTCGCATATATTTTTACTTTTACACAAATCATAAACAAATGTGAGACGTTTTCGTGGTTGACCTTTAGTTTTCATAACAATTTCTTTAATTTTCGGATTGTGCTATAATTAGGAAATAATCCGAGATTAAATAATAATAAACATATGAAAAGAATTATGATTGTTAATGATCTGTACTTACTGGACTGACAAGAAGCTTTGAACAATAAAAACACACGCATCTCAAAATTTTTATCGTTTTTGTTATAAAACCAACATGAAAAATTGGTTTTGCCAAATCTATGTGACCAAAGTGTCCTGGACATTCTGTCATGTTACCAGCGCACGTTTGACACCGAGAATTTCTATCAATGACACCTTGTCTTGGGTCCATAAGTCCACCAAGCTTTGGACGGCCACCTTCCATAGTTTCTGGAAAGCGAATGCCTCCATCTGTGACGGACATTCGACGCTGTATAAAACATGTATATAATTAGACACTATTGACGAATTTGCTATATACAATAAAACTTTAATAGATATTATTCAATGATCATCTTAGGAAAATAAAGAAAGTACATACGGGATATATTTTTCAAAAATGATATATCTTAAATTTATTTTTTTGCATTATGTTTATACACATTATAAAAAACATATTTATATTACATATTGTTTAATTATTACATATTAATTGCATATTGTTTAATTATATTCAAAGTTTATGTTTATTGTATGATGAAAATGTATAATTATAAGAATATAGTGAAACGGCAAAAATAAACAAGAAATACAACAATCATAATTTTTAAACACCAATAATTAATCAATAATTTCTACTTATTATAAAAATTATATTTCACAAATTCATCATGAACTTGAGTATTTTCAGCACCAGCGTTGAAAACAGGAATTTAAAATAAAAACCATAATTTTTTAATAAATCTTTTAATAAAAAAAAAAGGAAAAATTTATAATTTATACGTTGTGAATAAAATTTATGTGGAACTATAACAATTGCGTAATAAATCACTTTCACTGCACTTATTTTATAATTTCGAGTCCTGCTTTTTTGCATATACAATTGAAAAAAAATTAAACGTGCGGCTGTTTGGAAGTACATTGAATTCTCTGTATGATAATGTTTCATTGTCATAAATAATGCCAATTCGTGAAGAGACATTTCCGTATACCGTGAAAGAAAAAATATATTCCACGAGATTTATTTGTGTAAAATTAACAAACTTACTATCTCATCTGGCGAAATAATACCAAACTGGACTCTTTTTACAGTACGCAGAGGCGCTTTAGAATCGGATGTGGCCATTTTGCAACGAGTAGATGCAACTTCCACGGCTCTCTGCGTCACAGCCAGCAGTATCTAACTGTTTTTTTCCGTTTAGAACGTCCCCCTCTCCTGCAGTGTTACCAACAGCAGGGAGAAAATGAATCAGCATTTTAAATGCTGATTTTCATGTAAATAATAATATTAAATTAAATAATTAATACATATTGTTGATATACTAAATATAACTAAATATATAAAAACATTAATATAATAATTATAATTAATATAGTAATTGTTAATTAATGGAAAAGATTTTACGAAAAAATAATTGTGCAATTTTTTGATGTGTATTGATTTTATAGAAATCGGAATCAAAATTTATATTGCATAAAATATTCAAAATTGGGCTGCAAAATTCAGCATAATTTTTTACGTTATACACACATTGTGTTTCCGCTCTATTGGTTATGTTTCATAGGGACTTATTGGCTGAAAAGGGAGTAGTAGAGAAAGTTTGGGTTAGGAAAGAGAAAGAAAAGATTAACTGAAATCTTGTTTGAAACAAAGTGAAGTGTATGTGATGTAATAAATACATAGACATTGTATCATTTAATTACAAAATATAAGTGGAAGCTCTTTCTTATAAAACCAAGCTTAGTGAGGATAATGCATTGTCATCTTGTCCTCCATTAACTCTACTAAAGTTGCAAGCTTTGTTACTAGTAACGATACTAAAGACAGAGTATTCAGTCGTTCAGTAAAGTTGAAGTGAGTTTGTCTTGTTTTCTGTTTGTGCAATTAAACATTCGTAGTATTCATCAAGATTTATAAATTAAACAACCAGAAAAATGGCCACTTCAAAAACGACGAATATGTATAATAGACAAAATTGGGAAGACGCTGTAAGTAGAATCAAGGTTATAATATATATAATCGACATGATATAATTGAATTTTATATAAAATTAAATAATTTTATACTGAAATATTTGCTTATATCCCCTTTTTTTTTTAGGAATTCCCAATATTGTGTCAAACTTGTTTGGGCGATAATCCTTACATTCGTATGGTGAGTAATTTCGTTAAAATATTATTAAAATTCCTATTTTTAAGTTAAAGAAGTATTTATCTGTAACATAATTTTTTTTTTTTAATTTGCAGACAAAAGAAAGATATGGGAAAGAATGCAAAATATGCATGCGTCCGTTCACAGTATTCAGATGGTGTCCTGGCGCGAGAATGCGATTTAAGAAGACAGAAGTGTGTCAGACATGCAGTCGTTTAAAAAATGTTTGTCAAACATGCTTACTTGACTTGGAATATGGTTTGCCGATTCAAGTACGTGATGCAGCACTGAAAATCAAAGATGATTTGCCCAGATCTGATGTGAACAAGGAGTACTATGTTCAAAATATAGATAGTGAAATTGGAAAAATAGATCCCACATCGCCAGCAGGTGCTGTTGGTAAATCTGCAGCTGCTAGCGATTTGTTAATGAAGCTAGCAAGGACTAGTCCCTATTACAAGAGAAACAGGCCACACATTTGCTCCTTTTGGGTTAAAGGAGAATGTAAACGAGGAGAAGAATGTCCATATCGTCATGAGAAACCCACTGATCCTGATGATCCATTAGCTGATCAGAACATCAAAGATCGTTACTATGGTGTTAACGATCCTGTTGCTGACAAATTAATGCGCCGTGCAGCAGCCATGCCTAAGTTAGATCCGCCAGAGGATAAGTCCATTACGACGCTCTACGTTGGTAACCTGGGTGACGTTTTAACAGAGAAGCAGTTACGCGATCATTTCTATCAATATGGAGAAATACGTTCCGTGACTATGGTTCCTCGTCAACAGTGTGCCTTCATTCAGTACACACAAAGGAGTGCTGCCGAAGCAGCGGCAGAAAGAACATTCAACAAATTGATATTAGGAGGACGAAGATTAACGATTAAATGGGGACGTTCTCAGGGAAGACAGACAGTATCTGCAGCAGAAGCGACTAGAGAGATCTTAGAACCTGTACCAGGTTTACCTGGTGCTCTACCACCTCCACCAGAGAGCATGGGAAATAATTTTTTCAACCTGCAAACCACTCCTGGCATGATGCCACCAATGATGATACCACCCCCGCCAGTTGCTCCCCAATTCATGTTTCCACCTCAAATGGCAACTGCTACAGCAACACCTATTTTTCCACCTGGAACAACTCCAATACACTATCCAAGTCAAGATCCGTCAAGAATGGGTGCATCTCAAGGCATAGGGAAACCTTGGCCAGAGGAATAATAAGAACATTGTTTAAATTTTTATTGTAAATATAAATTATGTATATAAAAAATAAATATATATCTTTAATTTTGTCTAATTTTTTGCTACAACAATTTATATCCTTGCAAATATATACTTAATATAATTAATTAAACATTAAAGTATTTGCATTACTTGTAATAGAGTTTAATTTTTAATATGTTTTTCTTTTTTTTAATCTTTCAATTCGCATGACTGCTTGGAACAGCCTTTATGATACAATGAACAGTAGCCCATTTCAACGAGCACTGGGTAGAAGTGTAGTAATTATGATGATAATTTAAATTAATATCACAATACTACAAATAAATAATAACTCTGTAATTAATTTTAGTAGTTTATATAAAAATATCAATATAACAAAATATATAATTACTAATAATAAATATCAAACAACGAATGAATAATTAACATGATTGCAGTATATATAAGTTTCCGTAAATATTTCCATGGTGATAATAAAATTACTAACAATTTTTAAATATTCTATTGTTTATATTAAATACACATTTCGACGGAACGATTTAATGAACATAGATGTCGTTGATCTAAATTCTTCAAAGTAGAGGTCGCTACAGAAGTAATAATAGAGACGCCATCTACTGTGATAATGGACAAACATTCTTAACAGCTAGCGCGTATTAGCGGCCGCTCCGAGTGTCATCATCGCATTTTAATACGTGTCCATTGATAACTGTTCGTCCGGTGTTTCTGCTTCGTAATTTTTCTTCTGTAAATCTATGGAGTGTTTTCATTGTCAGATATCTTTGAATTTCTGTCTGTGTTAGCATAAGGCGCCTAGTGCGCCTTCCCGTCACGGATGGACATGTGTCGGGCCCGATTGTTATTTCACTTTCTGGCGCTTAGCCTACTCCCCTTTGCCCGTCCTGACGAGCACACTCATGTCGTAAGTATTCAGAATTGACATGCTTTTAGAATGTCAAAGTGGCAAATTCATCTTATACATATGTGTCTTTGTTGATTTTACAACATACGCATCTTATAATCTTTTATCACAATCTATTTTTTCGTTATCTTACCATAAAGACTCAACTTATAATACATTGTAAATTTGCATTTAAATTACTTTTCAAGATAAACTATTTTCATTTTTTTTCTTTGCTTTCGGAAGATTACACTACAAGTGGTATAACTTAATAGCTAATTTATTAAAAATTGATTTGTTTTACTACATATCTTTGTTAATTATACTCCGTTACATGAAACAAAAATGTGTATTAACAAATATACTTTCTTTCATTAGTACGAAGATAATGAGGAAGTTGTACTATGGATGAGTACAGTTGGACCATATCACAATCGTCAAGAAACTTATTCATATTATTCATTACCTTTTTGCATGGGTACAAAAGATGTTATTGATCATTATCATGAAACTTTTTCTGAAGCATTACAAGGCATTGAACTTAAATTTAGTGGCTTGGAGATTGAATTTAAGGGTATTTTGAAGTTTTGTTACTTAATAATAAGCATTATTACATAAATATTTATGTACATAATATATATATATATATATATATATTTTTTTTCTGATAGCTGATGTTGCAAAGATGGATTATTGTCAAATAAAATTAATAGAAGAAAGTGAGAAAGCTTTTATATATGCAGTGAAGAATCAATATTGGTATAAAATGTATATGGATGATCTGCCAATATGGGGTAAGTTTTTTCTTTTAGTAAAACTTAAATCTATTACTGTTACATCAATTGATTATTATGCAATATTTAGGTGTCGTAGGAGAGCCAGAAGAAAACAATGGAGTTGTATCTTATTATATTTGGACACATAAAAAGTTTGATATAGGATATAATGGAAAGCAAATAGTTGATGTAAATTTAACCAGTGAAAATAAGGTAAAATTGGTACAAGATGCAGCTATCTCTTTTAGTTATGAGGTTAACTGGAAAAAGAGCAATGTTAAATTTGAAGACAGATTTGACAAATATTTGGATCCTAATTTCTTCCAGCATAGAGTATGTATTACAGTATTAAATATTTGCTTAAATTCCAATAAAATCATTTAGCTTAAATTCAAACTTAATGTACTATAAATCCATTGATGAAAATAGTAAATAGATATGATGAGAGTAAGTGAGAAATACTTTCTTGTCATTAAATTTGATCCGATTTATTGAAGGTTAAACAAACGTTACTAATGATCAAAATATTTTAAGTAAAAAATCATACATTTCAAAACGGAAAACAATGGTTCTTTATCTTTTCTAGATTCATTGGTTCAGTATTTTTAATAGTTTTATGATGGTAATCTTTCTTGTTGGACTTGTTTCTATGATTTTAATGCGTACATTGAGGAAAGATTATGCTAGATATAGTAGAGATGAAGAAATGGATGATATGGAACGAGATTTAGGAGATGAATATGGTTGGAAACAAGTTCATGGAGATGTATTTAGACCAGCTAGTCATGCAATGCTTTTCTCCGCTCTTATAGGCGCAGGCTATCAAGTAATTACTATAATATAATTACTTATATATTATTTTAGATAATTATAACATAATTACAAATATTTTCGAAGTAACTAAAAACGTGTGATAAGCTATTTTATTTTACTTTAGGTCACTGTAGTAGTACTTAGTGTTATTATTTTTTCTATCGTTGGAGAATTGTACACAGAAAGAGGATCGATGTTGTCGATAGCAATTTTTGTATATGCTGCTGCATCACCTATAAATGGTTATGCCGGAGGAGGTTTATACGCACGTATGGGAGGTCGTATCTGGATCAAACAAATGATTCTCAGTGCCTTCATGTTACCTCTTATAGTCTGTGGCACTGCATTTTTCATTAACTTCATTGCAATGTATTATCATGCCAGCCGTGCTATACCATTCGGTTCTATGGAAAGTATTATTTATATGGTATACATTTCATTTGTATGTACATTTCAGTGTGTATTAACAAGAATATTCTATTTATAGGTAGCAGTAACATGCATCTGTATATTTGTTATATTACCATTAACATTAGTTGGAACAATCTTGGGCCGCAACTTAGCTGGAACACCGGACGCACCATGCAGAGTTAATGCAGTACCCCGACCTATCCCTGAAAAAAAGTGGTTTATGGAACCACTTGTTATCATAATGCTTGGTGGTATTTTGCCCTTTGGATCGATATTTATTGAAATGTAAGCTCTATCATTTATTACCATATTTTACCATAAAATTAATGTATGTTAATTATGTTCTTTTTCATTCTTTTTCTAGGTACTTCATTTTTACCTCATTTTGGGCATATAAAATTTATTATGTTTATGGATTTATGTTACTAGTATTCGTTATTCTAATGATAGTAACCGTATGTGTTACAATCGTATGTACATATTTCTTGCTAAACGCTGAAGATTATCGATGGTAAGCATTACTTTACTGATTAATTAATTTTAATAATTAATATTGTTTGATTTATGTACACTATTTTATTTCATAGGCAGTGGACAAGTTTCTTAGCGGCCGCTTCAACCGCCGGTTATGTCTATATATATTCCTTCTATTATTTCTTCTTTAAAACTAAGTAAGTTTATATATTTGATTACATTGCATATCAGTTGACCAAAAAAGAAAACTATATTTCAAATTTTCTTTTTCTTCAGAATGTATGGTCTCTTCCAAACAGCTTTTTACTTCGGTTACATGGCATTGTTTAGTCTCGCCTTGGGTATAATGTGCGGTACAGTCGGTTACGTTGGTACTAATGCATTTGTACGGAAGATTTATTCTACTGTTAAAATAGACTAAAGCACAATGCTAGTGTGACGATGCCTACGACGAATAAAAATACAAAAAAACACAGTGAAATCTGCCGGTCTTTATAAAGTAGGACTTTTTTTAATAATTTAAGTTATTCATTGTGACGCGCAAATGTAACTCGTGGAAAAGATTATGATACCGGCTAAAATAATATAATGTCAATGAAATGTAGCATGAATATTTAAAAAAAAGTTTGATACATCGTTATGTTTTTTCTAAATATTCAATGAATGTTTTATCACTTTACATCTATTGCTGTAATATTATAATGTTTTCATTTAAGAAAGAGAATGATTAATTTATTTGTTGTAATTTAGTTGTGAAGATGGGTCCTACAGTACAGAACAGTACCTACACATCTATGAGACGAATAATTTGCAAATTATTCAAACAATCACATGTAATATTCATCTCGTAAATCATATTTCGATCTTATACAAAATGCAGACTCTGATAATTATTTAGAATTAAAACAATCATATTTTTTAACATTGCTCAATATTGCTGGATTTATTGAAAACTTGCTGATTATTGTTTTTTTTTTTAAGATTTATAGAAAGTTGTATAAATTTTAAAAATGTTTAAAGAATTTCAATGTCTCTTTCAAAAAGATATATCAACAAATACAGATATTTTAATTCTTCAAAAATAATAACATTTCAAAACGCCAGCGATAATTACAAATACAAAAATGTAAGAAGTTGAAACTGAAAGAAATGAAAGAAAAAGATACAGATTATTAGATATAAATTGTACAGTATAAAATTTTCGATACAATTTATTCACGATGTAAAGGATATACTTTAATTAGCATTATTAGAGACAGTACTACAATTGTGCGACTCTGAATTAAAATTTTAGTTATATATATATATAACGCTTGATTACCGATAATTTGAGTAACGTTAATTTATAGATAAGCTAGAGAATAGACTTAAAGGAAAAATATAAATAATAAAAAATTTTTTACCATTGGCTGCGTACTGTTGTCTTTTCTTCTTTTTTTATGTGCATAGTTTTTATTATAAACTGTGAGTGCATTGGTAAAATGTAAAGTATTGTGAGACTATAACCAGTGGTAAAATGATTTTTTTACTCTTCATGCGGTTAAATATCTAAATACACATTTAAACACTGCTGGAAAAAGAAATAAATAAAACTGTGGAAATTATGGAATTTGAGAATTGCGGTAAATGTTTATCCTAACGTGATACATTAAGCGGCAAATATCAGTGAGAATATGTGAATAAACATACGATTTGTTATTAGACATAGCAGTTTTAAGAAATATAAAATTTCTACATACAACAAAAATACAATCTACTTTTATTCATACACCTTTTTGTCTTAATTATATTATGTTATAATCTTTCTACGCTGACTGAAATTTTGTCTTGTTAAGTGGCCAGAGATTGAAACTATTGGGCCACTTAACAAAGGAGGATTTATGTTTATACAAAAGATGCCTTTAGATAAATAGATAGAAAGATAATTAATATATAGCAAGGTTTTATAAAAGGAAATAAATATTAGAATTTAAAAACGAGAGCAAATGAAATAAAAGAAATAAATACAATATTGAACTTTCAAGAAATGGTAGCCAATGTATTCATATTTGAAAGAAATACCACGTTGTTCAAAAGTATTTCATGTAAAATATTTATATAATGTCGCAATATATTTACTATTACTGACTAAATAAGCAATAATATGTCAATTTAATAATTTTCGCATTTGCAATTAAATGAATCAAAGCATTGCGAAAAATACAATTGTTGAATCGACTCTGATGGTGCCAGTGTGGCACTAAATGCTGCTCTGTCGTACACTTCAAAGTATTCACGTGTCAAAGCACACTCATCGACGAAGGAGTACGTGTGTGTACACACCTGTTTGCCGCTGAAAGAATAATACGTGTTGTTGTAAGTGTACACTGACAGAAATAATAAAAATAAAATTTAAATTGTCTTCTCCTCTACTTCAAGTTACGCCAAAATATCTTCCAGTAAATAAAAAACAACAAAAATGGCACCAAAACAAAGAATGCGTATCGCTAACGAAAGAGCCACAAAAAACATCACATTACGTGGAAATGTCCCGAAATCATCGGTATGTTATTTTCTATTATTGAATAAATTTTATTCAAATGAATATGTGTAATTTAAGACAATTGAAGTCTGTTATTTATGTGAAAATAAAAAATTTCTAATTTTGAGGTTAAGAGCTGTGATAAAGTTGACAAGTTGATTGCACGTATAATGACATTTGTAATCGTTCCTATTACTAATTGTTCTATTACTATCGTCTGTTATTATCTTCGTTTATTGTCAGAGTTAAATCTTTGATGAAATATTTCTGATTTTGAATTTTTTAACAGTAACAAAATTGTAAATTAATGGATTGACAATTGTACCATATGTGACATGAATTTATACAACAACGTTGAAATCAATTATTTAAATAATTTGTACATGTTTTATTAAAGTAAATTTGAGCTGTAAAACATCATATAAATTTTATTTTATTTACTTCTACAATCATATTAAATTACTAATTATATTTAGAAATAATATTTCAGATCACAATGATGCATAATAATAATTATATTATAGAAACCACAGGATGAAGGATCTCCAGTTGGACCTTGTCTGTTAGCACTTTTTCTCTTTGTTGTGTGTGGCTCTGGTAAGTTTCATATTATAATTTGAATACAAATTTCGTAATGAACATGAACTACATGAAACAAAATTTTTATACTATGTACAATTTAATTTTTCTAATTTTCAGCTGTATTCCAAATAATTCAGAGTATTAGAATGGCTTAAGAAAATTAAAAACATGAGGTTGAAAATATGTTGCTGTTGATGTTAATATGAGAGAAAAAAAGCTGTCTACATCTTACTGATATATGCGAGATCAACAGACTGTTTTACTGCATATTGTAAAAACATGTAGACACTATTTACGATATTGACATGAAACTGAACACAAATTTCCACTAAGTAATATTTTTCTTTTTTTGCTACAACTCAAAAAAATTATTTATAAAAAGAATTTAGCATTTATAAACATTTTACTTAATTGTATATATATCAGTGAAAGAATATTGCATTTAATGTATTTTTTCTTTTGTAGATATCAAACAAAATTGTCACATGTTGAACATGAGCTATCTTTATTCTATAGCTTTTTTTATTCCGAGTCTTGTGAAAAGCTTAAATTCTTTCATTGATACTTATATACAGTAAATAATTGTATATACATATGATCAATTTATTATATCAATTTATTAATCAAAGCATTCCACTGTAAACAGTTGGTAGCTTTTGGTTGTCTATATATTTTAGAGGCCTTAAGACATAAGTCATTATACATGTAAAAAAATATATTATATATTGTCAGTGTAATTTATCCTAATGAAATATTTGCTACGGACAATTCTTTATCTCTTTTAATAAATTATATTATGAATAAATATGTTTTGTGTAAGTTTTATTGATCTGCACAAACGAAAGATAATAAAAATATTTTATTTTGAATTTATCATAATTAAATATGAAATAAATAAACTTATATAAATACGTATGATAGTAATAAAACAGTATTTTATCTTTTATTTTATTTCTCGACGTCTAATTTATCTTTATCTAAAAAATTTTTAGTAACTTAAGAATTCAGTGTGACCAATTTTCTCTAGTTTCCTTAGAATATAAAATAAATAAATTTGTCAGAAATATACACAGATATATGTAATAAAACGGTGTTTACATATTTTTTTATATCTTAAAGAATATTACATATTTTATTTTATTCCCCAATTTTATTTTATATCTAAAAAAAAAATTTAATATTCCCTAGTTTTCTCAGAAACTGTTATTCAAATTAAACGAGAAGTTTATAAGAAAAAACTAAGACGGATTTTTCAAAGGCAAACTTAGATACATTTCACATTCAGAATATTTTTTTTTGCCATTTTAAGTTTATTTTTTTATATACATTTTTATAAATGGCTAATATATTTAATTTGTTTGGTGAAACATCAGAACTTCACAAAGGTAAGAGAAAAAATATATAAGAGGATTAACATTTATATTTATTGTGTTCCGTAAACATAATTTTAAATTAATGGTTTAATCCTTTAATGTACATATATATTACTAATGAAATTGTTATCGAACCAGTTACGAAACCTTTGGCTAGATCAAAAAGCTCTCTCGATATAAGCGGTACTTCCTTAAAGAATGTTAGTCGATCAAAACCAAAAGGGTTATCAATTAGGTCTAATTCTGACTTGAATGTATCCGTCACCCCGCAAAATATTCCAAATAAACAACAGGAATTACTGAAGCCAACACAGGTAGACAATAACGGTCAAGTAATATCACCTAGAAAAGCTGCTTTATCAAAGGTATAAATTATTACAAAATTCTATAAGTAAAAAATTTAATATGTTCTAAATTTTTTTTTTTAGAAATCATTTGGATGTTGTGATAAATTGAAAGATATATCTCCAAAAAAAAGATTTAACACAAAAAATATAAAATTACCAGTATCACACGATGAAAGTATTTTTAAAAGACCATTACCATTAAAAAATAATAAGAAATTATACCCAGAGCCAGAAAGTCTAGCACCATACTGTGACATGCAATTTAAATTTGGTATAATATTTGATTAATTTATTAAATTATAATTTATAAAAAAATAATTCATGAACAAATATTTTTTACAGATGATGTTTATACCAAAGGTATAGAAAATGAATTCGAAGGATTACTTGAAAAGGAAAAAAATGAAGATGAAGGATTTGAATCAGGTATTAAAGATTACTTATGAATCTTTCATATATCACACACACACATATGATATATATATTTTTTCAAATTTTTTATTTAGGTTCAGAGCTAATTGATTTTGAAATGCCAGAATTACGTATACCATTTGAATTATTTGATGAAAGAGAGATACAATATAAAATTCCTGATTTACCAGAAATATCAAATGATGACAAAATATAAAAATGTAATAGTTATTTAACTTGGCATCGATTTTAAGCTTTTTAATAAAATAATTTAAAAATGTAATATTATGTTAGAGCAAACAGATTATGAAGTATATTTAAATATATATGATTGAAAATATAAGTTAAAAGAAAATAATTTAATAAATTGTAATTTTAACACATTGTGTTTTCTTATGTATAAATAAATTATTTTTTTGTAAGAATTGTACACATTTTATTAGTAGATTTTTATAAAAATTTTTACAGAAATAGCGATTAAACGCTTTTCAATTGTCAGTGGTACAAAATGACAACAGACAGATGTTTGATTGTAATAGCTGGTATTTTAGAAGATTGTACTTTTAATCATATTTGTTTTGTCGCTAAAAATTTAGCTGCAATATTACCAAATTTTCATTACAGAAGTATTAGTAAAAGTTCCGCGAAATGGGATGTAAGTTGACATCATTTTATATACATAAACGAAATTCATTAGGTGCTTGTTTTCTAGTGCTGGTTGAAAGAAACTTGTGATCTTTATAAATGGACTCACACGAAATCTCCTTTAATATGGAGGGAAATTGGACTTAGTCGAACTCACATAAATTATATTGGAGGCAGTTTTCAGTTTTGGGAATTGTTGCATAAGTATTATAACATTAGTTTGTATTTAAATAAAGAAGAACTTGATGCATTACAAGCAGACTTATTACTTGTATGATAATGTTTTGGAAAATTTCTATGGCACATAAAATTCTACAATTTAATTTTTCTAAGTTAAATTTGTTTAATAAAGGCCCGCAACATAGAGAGTCAAAGAAGTAAGCCTTTACAGATACAAGAAAAATATCGTCTAATAATGATAATAGGATCAGGGAGATCAATGTGCCTCGATCTTGTTCCTCAATTGTTAATGACAAAAGAACTCTGGTTAACTCAGGGAATTGTTATTAACTTGTATGACGAACCAGGATGTTTCTTTAAACTTAAAAGAATTTTTAAAGACGCAAGAACAACAGGCGCTGGTTTAAATACAGTAAATATTGTAGAAAATATCGCCGATGGATTAAAAAACTGTGACATATTAATTTACCTTGATAGTTTAGTACGGTAAGTTTAATGATACTGTTTGTATTTATTATTGTATCTATTAATGTCTGTATATGCGTTTTGCAGAGAAGAATATGAAGGGACAGATAATTGGTTACAACGTAATTATAAAACTATAGCAAATTTATGTACACAAATAAATGAATATGCACCCTCGCATATGAAAGTAATTTTCTGTTCAAGGTGTCTTCCATGTTTTTATGCCAATATTATGTTGGAACTTGTTACAAAATTATCAAGCACAAACATTGTAGTTGCTAGTGCCCATTATGGTTTAGAACTTATATATACATTTGTAAGTTCGTTTGGCCTTACCCAACAAAATTTTGGCTGTCCACCTGTTTGGGGTTTTTTGGGTTAGTTTAAATATTAAAGTAGAAAACCATATTTTCAATTATATATATATATATATATATATATATATATATATATATATATATATATATATATATATAATTGAAAATATATAATATATATACTATATATATATATTAAAGAATTAAATTTGATTACAGGAATCAGTCACTTTGTAGATGTTCATCATATGATTCAAAAGTGTGATGTATATTATCCAAATAAGAGAGCTCTAAATTTAAATGAGAATATGATACTACCACTTGGAATTCAACATTCCGAATTAAGGTGGTTTTTTTACATGGCACATGATAAATATCCTTATAAAAACTACTTTACACACAAGGTACATACTTTATTGCTTTTTTTTTTTAAATAACATGAAATAGCAAGATTTTCTTTAGGCTCTTCTTCGGTATCAAATGGGCAGATCAGAAGATTTTCCAAAATGTAGAGCAATTTGTGATCTTCTAAAATTATGGTACAGTAAGAAAGAAAGCATTGGGGATGAAATTATATCATTGGGAATTGCGTCTGATGGTAATATAAAAATATATGTAAAATTGTAAACAGAAAATGAAAACTAATTTAAATTTTTTAGGTTCATTTGGTATCCCAAAAGGATTAGTATTTTCACAACCAGTTTATCTAAAAGAATGTGATGATGGTTTGCGAATATGGGTTCCTTTCAAAGATTTTCCAATGCCAAACATGTCACTTTCTATATTCCAAAGCCTTATAGACACTGCTATTTATATTAAGAAGAAAATAACTGAATTCAAAAACAGTTTTGATGCAACAAATTTTCAACTTATATAAATATGATTTTAGTGCTTTATATTCACTAAACAAGTCTATATTTATTTTTAATCACAAAATCATAATTTTATTGTATCAATTAACATACATAAATAGCAGTAAATTATACAAATTTAATGTATAGAATCAAATTAATTGTTATAATATACATTTATAATCAATAAAATTGCACATTTTTTTTACAATTAATGCTTGACATTAGATTAATTTAAATAAAAAATATTTGTGTTCATATGACTTGAAATAAACAATAGGATATTAAAATTAAACTTAATAAATATAAATATTTTTACAGTGTTATTAATGAATTATAAGAGTAATAAAGTTTCTTAAGATAGATTTATTACCTAGTAAATACAGTTGAATAAATTAGCTAAGAAAAGTAGCCATTGATCGCTTAAAAAAGATCTCTGCATTTTATTACGACACTTCTCATGAAAAGATAATTTTAGGAATAATACTTTTCGCCATGCGTAGTAATATACTTAAATTTAATGTTACAATTTTCTTGTATACAGAAAATGATATAACAAACTGTTATAACTTAAATCTATCGTTAACAACTGGTAATCTATACCATTTTATACCTAATCGACAGTTTTTTATACAGGATGCTGTATGTCACAATGGTAGACAAATGGATAATTTAATTTGTATTATCGTGTGTCTGTTTTGTCTTTGCTATTTAAATTATGTGTACAATTCAATTATAATATGCCTTTTCGAAAATATTGAACACGCATCGCTCATTACGAAAGAAATGAAAATGCGTAAAAAAAAAAATAAAATTCTATTATATAATTTCATATATGCATTTTAGTAGGAAACGATATATCAAAGATTTCGAAACCAAGAAATAAAAATATTAAAAAGAGCCAGGGAACTTGAAGAAAATATGTTCAGAAACAATTCTTTGTTATAATTTCTTTTTGTCTGTTGCGAGTTGATAAAAAGTATTGTGCTGTAAATTTTACAATTGTTTGTTTTTTACACCGACGATCCTCAATTCTCATAAGTAAAAAATGAGTGTTCAGATTGCACACCATTATAATAGATATAGTAAAAATTGCATTCTGACACAAAAAATCTCTGATAATTTCAAAATTATGCTACAAAATTGATGAACATGACGTATGATAAATTTTTTTAGGCAGTTTTTGCTCGAATAGCAGCACGCTTTCCTGTGACAGCCTAAAATGAATAATCAGTCGTTAAAATACATATTAAAAGAATTAATATTAAGATAATTATTAATATCAAAAATAAAAGTAATTACCTGGAAACCAGATTTTATACTAGCTACAGAACATCTTGAGCCACAAGTTTCACACTGTAAGAAAAATAGTCGAGTATCTTTTTGAAGAATAGTGTCCGGAGAACGACAAGTGTGGCAGGTGACATATTCTTTAATGTATCTCCTAAGAACATTTTCTATTTGTTTCTGTTGGAAACGACCCTTAATTATAAGTTGACTATTTCCATCAACAGAACCGCTAGTTCCTAATTCAGCAAGTAAAAAGTCGAGTAAATGTTTTGGTTGCCTATGAAGTGTTTTGCATATCTACAATTAAAAAGTCATAACATAAGTAATAGTGAAAGGATTTGCAGTTTGATAAATGAAATAAACAAATAATATTATAAAACTGACTTCTGTGAAATTAGCAAACGATGTCTTTTTGGTGCCTATGCGCACTACTTGAGGAGGACGCATGACGAACTTCTGCTTTTTACCAGCAACCATATCAGGATTCTTTTCTCTCATAATATTAAATACTCTTACCAGCAATTCGTCATATGTATAATCCCTATCGGATCCAACCCAACTTGTCTCTTCTATTAATAAATACAGTTGTTATATAGTATTCGTTTAATATGTGATTGTGAATATTATGGTAAATAAATTTATGTCTAACCTCATTGATTATATACTATGTATTTTCTTGTAAATTAAATTTATTTCAATTTATGTTTATTTATTTCATTGACTGTTAATGAAATTAGACATATGCATGTAAAAAGTATGGAACTATTAAATAGTTGAACAGCAGCAGTTGCATTCAGTATTTAAAGGAAGAAAAAATGTTATTTTAAACATAATCAACTTTGACATTTAGAAAAATGATGTTCTCATAACTGAATGAAACTACCAAAATATTAGTTCGAGAGAAAACAAGTTGCAGACACGATTCCTTGGGCACTTTGTTTCCTGTTATTTGCAATGTTTATGGAAATATTCTTATTCAATATTTAATATACAATAAAATATTCAATGTACATTAAATTTATAATTACCAATATTCAATAAAAATGTCACTGCTAAATTAACTGTCAATCAACTTTTAGAGAATATAAACAAAAATCATATTTTCGTTAGAATGAGATTTAAAGTGCGAATATGATGTATGTACTTGTGATTATTATATGTAATATATATAAGAAAACAGCAAACATATCCCTTACCGTACTCTGCACTTCGCTCAGATTCAGTGCAGCATGTTAACAAATAATGAGTAACATGAACAACTAGTTACCCAAAGCTATAATATTCTTATAATATGTAATATTTACCATTTTCTTTATCTTCGATTTCTTTACGCTCTTCTTCAGCCACTAATTCATCAAGATCTTTTTTTTTCTTTTTTTTCTTTTTAGTTTTTGAGAAGTCCATATCTAAGTCAAAGGTATCATCCACAACAATTTCCTCTGTTTGTTGCTCAACAACATCCTTTTGAAATTATAACGGAATATAAATAATTATACTACACGTGCAATGATAATTGAAATAAATAGGCGACCATAGAAACTTAGCCACCTCTTTCTTTGTATCAGGTAGTGCTGCATCAAGTTCATCTAAATTAAATGCTTTTTTCTTCTTCTTCTTTTTTCTTCCAAAATTTTCTAAATCTAACGCTTCATCATCCTCGGCAGGCGCAGGAGGCTCCGGTTCTTGGTTTTCTTTGTCACCACTAGTTTCCATCGCGTCTCCTATACTACCACCTTCGTTAAACGCAGCATCAAGATCAAAAGTGGTTTTCTTTTTCTTTTTTTTCTTCTTTAAGGTAGGATCAAATACCTACATATTTTAAAATTATTGAATTACATCTACAATTATTTCTATTTATGTATCTTACGTATTTTGTAAAACATTACAGTTTTATTAATGCTTAGTTATTCTAAATAAAAATGCATTTCCATTTAAAAAATAATAGAATCCACTTGGATATATCAAATGTACTTTGATGTATTTTTATTAAATGTATTACAATAATTTAGAAACATACGATCGTCAAATATTGTATTGTATTGCATCATAAACATGAAATATATTATCGTGACAAAGCTAACGAATTATCTGTCGAAGGATATTACATTGACGATAAATATACATTCTTTGTAGTGATAACCACATGGTTTTGAGGTTGGAATCTAGAAAGTAGCATTATTTTTGCTTTACGCAAGTTTCGTGGTAAAATCTGTACGCACAATGGAAGTAAATTTCAATTTCATGTTCATAGGTATTAACGCATTATCGAAAAACGAGAAAGTATGTCAAGATATTCTTGCTCCCATGCTTTCCCCGACACGACACCGATTCATTCCCAGCGATATTTTTTTTCCAAGTGTGATTACATACCGAATCTTCCTCCGTCATTTTGAAAATTATTCTATATATTTTGACGTTGTCGACAAAAACTTCTCAATTTCCCTGGCTCTTAAACACAGAACATCATGTTAATCGCGCGGGCCTAAATCCTTCCCTACTACTTGCATACAGTGCATTCACGTCTTGCTAACGAATATTGCATCAGAAACTCGACGTTTGAGCCTAAAGTGTGATTTACACGGTCGGGTAAAGATCCGTTCGAACTGCCAATTCATCGTGTTTCTTGACGAGCTTTTCCATTGGTCGACTTCATAGCGCTGACCAATGAAAAAGAACAATCGAAGATTGTCTTGTAATTTTCCAGTCACTCGTTATTCTGTAGGAAAATGAAAATGATTTCACTTCCTTGAAATTCTTTATCGTTAATTTGTAATAATAATGACTTTCCATTGCAGGATAATACTCGCAGGAAACAAATTTTAGTATAATCTGTTTTATGAACACGGTTAGATAATAGATAAAAATTAATGTTTCTACTCGCGACGATAATATTATATTCGCTGAGAGTCTATAAATTTTGTATATGTATAAAAAGCCTACATACATATATACTATCGGTAGTTTGTACTAGTATCGAACTGAGGATACGTACATATATATATACACACGTACATATATATATATATATATATATACATTGAATGTCTCATTATTTAATCCCACAATGTTGAAGGGAACGTTTCGTTGCAACGACAAGTCAAGGAAATATCATTCTTGTATAAACAAAATATCATATCGAGTCTCGATTGTCAACACATTCAAGGGAAATTAATATGATCGACATCAAAAGCGGAAAGAGCAAAGTTCAACGTGAAAGGTTGCCCGTGCCTAAAACAATTTTTTTCCATTCAATAGAAATAGTGATGCGAAAAGTTTCGTATCAGCGATAAAACAGTGATGTTTAGTGATGCTGTAGTGGAAAATGTGTTTCACATTGTAACTTGCATGTCAATCGCCTAATAATCAGAAGTACGTATTACATCGTAATCTTAATGCCTGTCAGTAATTTTTGTTACTATTGAATTTGTTTTTATAGTGTTGTTTATGTATTTTACATACATCACGTATTATATGTTTACATGTGTCGTGTTACTTGTACATTCCAAAATATGTACATATTGATGAATGATATTGGTGGTTCGCAAGATAATACTGCAATGCGAATTTTCTTATAGAAATATAAATCAGCTGTAGGTTGCCTTAAAACCATAGATAAGAAGAAAACTATATAGATAAGCGTATGACTTCATTATTCACTATATAGTTAAGCGTATGACTTCATTATGTTCTTCTGTGACTTTGTTAGAAATTTTTAATAATTCTCTTTCACCTTTTTCAACAATTTTACGCGAATTATTGTCCCGCAATAATATCAACACAGTGAAGCAATGGTACTTGCAATTACCGAAAATAATAATTTTTTTAGTTTGGATCTAATATTAGTAAATGATAATAACAGTAAAATATTCAGTTGCATTCGTCTGACTTTCTTGATCCTTTTTAGAAAAGATTTTTCTGGGGTAAGATTTCATCTACAATCACCAGCGTGATTTTTTTTGATTTAACAGCCTTGGGGCTTAATGTCAATGAATTAAGTTGATATTATTTTAAATTTTAAAGCATCAGTAAGGCTTTGAAATTGTTCAAAAATTTGAAAATTTTCTAGGATCATAGTTCATCTGAATTATTCCGTAAAACTTCTCTTCTATCGATCGTATTTGCATGTAAAATATTAACAAAAATATAAATAGAATATTTGTAAAATTATAATTTATACATTTAATAGGCTTCTACGTTACAGAAGTATGCATGTTCCTTTATGCGTTTGTTTTTCAACATGCATTAATACAAGCACGGATATACAGAATCGATAATTCACGCGCAATAACTAGTATTTTGAAAATACTTTGCATTTTGTGTGCATACAGGGCGTCCTTATATTAAATGACCAACCTGCAAAGGCTTAATCTTAATCCAAAAGAAGAAAAAAAATATTCTTTAGAATATTCTTTTCTTCTTTTTACGTATAGATTAAGCTCTTGCCGTTTGGCCGTTTAAGTTCGGGACACCTTGTATACGAAGATTGCGCTGTTATAATCTTCTATGATATCTTTCTATTGTAATCCTTGTGAAAAAAGGCAAAACAGATTAGATAGAACAATAATCTGAAATTATTTGTGCCGGTGTCGTTTTTTTTAATTCAACTTGTCAAGGATAAATTTTTCACGAAAATATTTCAATCGGCAAAGGGGGCGTACGTACGTACATTGAGAATTGTTCAGGCAATTATTTGCAGCGAATGTAAATTCGTAAACTCATATTTTGACGAGAAACACTCGAAGATGGCAGTGTTACGATTTTTTCGAACAACCCAATGTTTCTAATAAGGATATTATATTCAGATGCGTTATACCATTAAAAGTGTAACTTACAGAATCGCTTAAGTATCATCGCTGTGAAATTGCAATGATGAATGTGTACAATGTTTTATAATCTTCACGCGTGTGTCGTCATTGCATGCGTGACGACAGATGATCGTGAATGTTTATCTGTTTCTATATAACTCTTAAGAACAGTAAAGATATTTAGTCGGCTTGTTCTCCCGTTCGAAATACATACACAGATATTTGAATTGTGTCCGTGGTTTTGATTGATTTGAAAAATCGTAGAACTTCGTACGTACAATTAGTTAGCGTTATTTAATTAATTTAATCAAACAAACTGAGAAGAGGCATAGTTTTTTTTACCAAAACAATTCTCATTGTACGGTAGAATCAAGAAGAAAGTAACAAAATACACATCAATGCGCGATTCGTTTATACTTCTGTTTTATGACGTAAGTGCTCTATTTAAATATTCTAATCTACGATACATGTAAATTTTATGATTTTCATGAACTGTGCCGTTTTTATTATAATTATTAACAAAAGCCTGCAAAACAATGATAATTCGAATTCAGCGCTCGTATTCGATTACACAGCATTTAAATCTTATTTTCACTGTGCAGCAATAATGCATACTATTGTTGCTCGATTATTATATTAATAACGTTTATTGTTGCAATAAAAAAAAAAAAAGAGCGACGTATTAACATCAATGGATCCAGGTTCAAATCTCGAACTCGTGAATGAACTTCGATCGCAAGATTTCGAATCGTTTTTCTTTCTTTGTGAATTATTTGTAAAATTACATAAGTGTAACTAACTAGAGATATTCTTTCGTAAAAAAAAAAAAAAAAGAAAAAAGAAACTCTCTCTAGAACTTTTTAAACTTTTTCTAGAAAAATGACCACGCACAAAGGGATTTCAATGTCGTGTGAGGATGGTCTCGATGTCTCCGGTAATGAGAAAAAAGTGGGCGGCAATGAAGAAGAGGAGTTAACAATGAAAAGGCCGAAGTGTAAACTCGACGCGAACGGTCGGCTAAATTTGAAAGACATTTTACTGTCTTTCAACGGGCCGGTTAATCAAGAGCAAGCATGGGCTTTGTGCTATCAAACCGCCAAGAGTTTGTCACGTTTATCAGAGAACAATTTCTACGAAATCACGGAGTTATCGCAGATCGTCCTTCACAAGGATGGCGATGTTTGGCTTGGCGATCTAATCGGTAAGTTGAGTCAATCTCTCCCTCTCCTCACCTCCCTGTGTTTTTTTTTTTCAAAGACTCATTTATTCTTTTATCGTAGAATATCTTATCGATGTATTGTGCCGTAGTAAATAAAATAAAAGATATCAAAGATTATTAAAAGATATCAAACAAAGATTACATGGAATACATTATATAGTAGTCGTGCAATATTTTAATATATATTTATACAGTTTAACATATAGTACATACGTATGTCAGGTATAATATTATAGTTTTAGTATTTTATAATAATGTAATTTATAATAATTATGTTTCTGTGGTTATTATTTTGGCACTACGCGGGACAGAGGTGCACCAAGGTTTACTGTATCATTAAATATAGTTGTCGCATTGTATGCCTATGTATATCAATTCATGGTATCTAATATGTATATAGTGTGGTATGTAACATAATTTTTTGTTATATATAGTAATTTTCTATAGTAACGTAATATATTTAAGTAATGTAATTATAGATGAAATATCTTAGTATACATATATTATGGTATGTTAGAAATTTATGAAAGGTAAGTAATTGTACAGTGAAGTATATGTATAGTATACGTTTGTAGTTCGACATAATCTTTGTGAAGTTCAGCATTTGCAAAAGATTCGGTATACTTGTCCCGTTAGGTTTGCACGATTGATTAACAGTAAGAAGTTTTTCGATAGGGTTATTAATATACATGATCGCACAAGAAAATAATCAGAAGTTACTGAATTTCGCGTGAAAACTGGTCATCATTTCTGATTATACGTATCAAGTGTGTTAATTTTAAACTGAGTTTCTTGATGTTTTTGTTACAGAATCTGGAAAACCCCGCGTCTCCGAGAAAAAGGTGAACACTTAATTTTCAATTAGATTTTTTATGAGAAAATATTAATAGTGTCGTACATTATTTTATAAGTAAACATATATTTCTTATTTGTGCAGGCAATATTCTCGTTAGGCTTGATGATATTCAAAGCGCTTGATTTCGGCCTAGATGAACAGGAAGAAAGGCCTGTATCACCAGATTTGGAGAACCTTATAACATTAATGACACGTGCAGATCAAGGTACAATCGATTCGCAAAAACCGAAGTTCCTGGAAATAAATGCAGAAGTCACTCATTATATTTTATTTACCGCGTAGAAATTGAAGGAGAAACGGAAGAACGTCCGCAAGAGACGGATGATGAAGGCATCGAGCGGGACTCTAGCGATGCCGACGTCGATGAATTTTTATCGCAGAAAAGTAACGATACGTATGACGAAAGACCGTCGCTGTATTCATTAAAAAACGTAATGCAAGTAAGTGAAGTGAAACAAAAATTTAAAGTGAATTTTTTTTATGATGAATTCTGTGAAAAAATACAAAAAAAAAAAGAAAAACATAAAAATTATTCGTATTAAATTTCTTGTCACTATATGTATAACTCTTATAAAAATTTTCTTTTTTAAATATCGATATCTTTCTGTATCATTTACCTATATTTTTTTATTCACAAGTTAACATTCATTTGTATGTATAGTTGTGTATCAGGCATATGCAAGCTTCTGTGGAGTCTGCTGAAATTCATTATAAGGCTGTGATACGGGCATTCGTAGCTGAGGCTCTGGAACTGTCATATTTTTTGGATACAGTAGCGGCTAATAAATTGCACGCTAGTCGAAGGGAATCTGTTACTGATAGCAACAAGCATACCTCGATGTCTGTTCAGAACCTTGATACGTTAGATTTTATTGATTGGGTAAGATTTTTACAATGCATCTGCGAGAAATACATATACCATGTTGACTTATATTATAGGCTTATATAAATAAGAATATTCTAAGAAATTATGACATAGACTGTTTCAGGATCACACATTCGCGAATTATATATATTGGAAATTAATATATTTACTGTGTTGTAAAGTAGAAATATCTTGCGCATGACATATATACATATATGTATCAAATTGTTATAGTCACATTTAAATTGTGCACAATTCGCGTAAAATAGAACCATTGATACTATTGTGTTGTATAATATTCTGTGCATAAAGTTATTTATTACTTTGCAAAGATAAGATATTTGAGACTTATTGACTTGACTCTCTATTGTTGTAGACTGACATTAGGATTTGGAGGGCTATACAAGTACGTGATTGATAATAATATTTGCGCACGTAAAAATAATATGTTAGAGCTTAGACGAGATTATTAAGCACGCAGCATGATTAGTTTCACGCAGTCAGCGTTGTCTTCTACAGAATTATAAAAATATCACCCATCAGTATATATTCTACATGCATGCGTTAATTCGATTTCAATTTTAATTTGTTCATTCCAGAAATTAGCCACTTTTAATGTTTGTAACTCGTTGTACGAAAAAGTTAAATACGAAGTGACTCTTCGAATATTCTATGTTGCACACATATAGTACTGATAATATTAAATATATTTATAAGTGGAAAAAAAAAAATTAAAGAAAGACCTTCCGTTTAAGATTTTTCTCTTCTTTTTTGAAACTTTAATTACACTTGTAAGATTAGAAAAATTAAAGGAACTGTTTTAATAGGCAAGATTTTGGGTTCAAGTTATCCAAGAATTGAGGAAAGGTGTGAAACTGAAAAAGGTCGAAGCTAATTTGAGTTCGAAGAATCCTACTCGTGGACGCGGAAAGGGAGTTGAATTTGAACTAACGCCGTACGAAATTTTAATGGACGACATTCGGAAAAGAAGGTATCATCTGAGAAAGACACCATCGCCGAAGCCGCATTTACGGAAAGACGCGCATGCTGTTATTCTTGAATTTATTCGGAGTAGGCCACCCCTGAAAAAGGTAACGTCGTACTATATTAAAAATATTTTATTCTGTGTTCTCATTAGTGACACTTCGATATATGAAGTTACAAATTTTTTAAAAGTTTCAATAGACTTTTAGAGAGATATAATTTTATACAGGCATCTGAAAGACAGTTGCCACCTCTCCAAAAGGAATGGACTGTTCGGGAATTGCTCATGGAAAGTATAAAGAAGCCGCCAAATTTAAGACCTTCGCGCAATCGATACGTTCCAAAGAGCGAAAGAATATCTCCTCAGTGCGGTGAGTTATTATTTCACATTTACATACTCAACGACAATCTCTTGCATGTTATATTGTTTTGCGAAATATACCGTCTTTGTTTGTGTACGACTTTGTTTGTGTATTTAATAAATTCATGAAAATCAACACATTAAGTTCATATCTTGTATACCAACAATTGCGATGTTACATCAATGCATCAATCATATTGGTTACTGGTTCATGTGTGGTACCTCAATAAATCTCTCTTCGCCGAGCTCATAAGGTAAATAAATCAGAATTTTTTAAGTGTGCGGTGATACATCTTTTTCTTCTTCTTTTTTTTTTTTTTTTTTTTTTTTTTTTTTTAGAATGATGATTGAGAGAGTAAGAATCATAATATACGATATCACACGCCTTATTTCACTCTGTCTTCTATCAATTTCAAATGGATTCACGGTGAATGAATAACAGTAAGTGATTCTCTCGAAGCAACTAACTTTCATACTCCTGCAAAAGCAGTGAACTGTGCTTTCATATCGATTCATCAAGCAGAAACATCTTAACCGAGTTGGTTCATCCGTAACATCAATATGGTCGCGTCCGTATGCTTAGAACTTTATGGACCAATGGTGTTGCATACACAAACCACGCGTTGCACACGTGCGGCAGCGTTTTTACAAAAATATATTTAACCGAGAGTACACATGCGCGAGGAGGAGAGCGCGAGCGCAGTGCCTGTACGGGGTCGTATATCTTTCACCCGTAACATATTCTTGCGGGGTAGAACTTGGTAATTGCAGCGTAGTGCGGCCAGGAGAGTGGTATTCGTGCCGTCATTTTCCCATTTCTTTCTTTTCAACAACACAACAATTCACATTTACAATACAAGTCGTAATATGACAATTGTCTAACGTTCGTATCCCAATTCTCGAGAGTAGAATTTGGCAATTGCAACGCAGTCCGGCCAGAATAGTGGTATCTGTGTTTCTTTCTAATAATAATAATAATAATAATAATAATGATAATTATCCAACGCTCGTAATTCCGACTATACATTTCATTGTTAAATATCCTCCTGTATTAACCACATTGGCTAATGAGACTAGTTCAAAATTCCTCCTCCAAGTGTGATCGTTCGAGTCGAATCAAGAGACGTTCGAGAGAGAATTAATTTCCGTGTTTAGTCATCGCCCCGTTGGGGGGTGAATATGGGTCGTGACTAATTTTTTTTTTTTCATGGAGGAGGAGGAGGAGGAGGAGGGGGGTCGATCCGTATGAATCATGATACACGGACGGTAGGCCGACTTGAAGCATTTCAAGACCCCCAGACCCGTTCGCGATCAATAACCGAAAGCGCAGAAAAGGGCGAGAGAGAGCGAGCTGACGTCGCCCGAAACGTCATCCGTGCAACGCGCCCGCTTGAATCTCTCCTCGATTCCTCGCGTGGTCGTCACACGTTCGCCCGTTCACGTCGGTTTGCCATCGTGCTCGTTCGCTTTTCTCTCGTTCAATCGGAATTTCTTTATCGTCTTCCGTGTTTCGTCGAGCATTTCGCGCGCGCGCGCTTGCTTGCTTGCTTGCTTGCTCGCATTTCCGGGCGAAAAGTAATGTAATGGATGGTGCGACTTGAGCGTGAAATTCGATCGCGTTACGTGTAAAAAAAACCGTGTAAAGCGAGTAAATCAAGTGTACCGAGAAACGGGGATAGGCACACTAATCGAGAGCACGTGTGCTTGATGTACAGTCCCTGCCAGTGGATCGGCGAGTATCGGTGGGCCACGGAAGACCCGACACGATGGAAAAAACGAACAGATGAACGAGGAGATCAGCTTGGATGCTGGTAATCGAATTTTTTTTCCCCCCCCGACTTTATCGTTCGTCGAACGAAGAGAGAAAGAAACGGATGCTTGCTGGAAATCGTTTCGATATTGACGAGCGCATCTTCATTCGCAGGCAGTGAGATCGTCGAGTCGAGCGAACAGATTGTAGAAGAATCGGCAGAACTAGTGGCTTCCGGTTGGACGTCGTGGTCGTTGCAAGTAGAGCCATTGTAATGAATTATATCGACGCGCAGTATGTTCGGTTTAAAATATTCTTCAACGTCGTTCATAATTAGTAGTGAACACTTCATCTGTGAGAATAGAGTTTGAATAGAGAGGTGAAAACTGTAACATCCAGTTTGAACAAACTTGGACTCGCTGCCGAGTAATCTTGGCCTTTGACAGTACAAACAACGAGAAAGAAATTACCTTCTAGAAACAAAAACGAGTGAATAATCCAGCATTCTGTTCTAAGTGTTTTAATACTAGAATCTTATGTCAAAATCTAATATTAAAGTCTGTTTGAAACAGTATCTTTTCAAAACACAATGAGATAGTCAAGGAGCTGTTTATGCCGTATGCACGTCAAACAGACGAGAACCAAGGAGGATTAAAACCGGACATACTGTCTATATTGTAGCAGAGGGAAAGAGCAAGTGTCGAAAGGAAGGAATAATATTGCCGATCGTAGGCGGTGAGTCCCGCATGATAGTCCTGGGTGAAGTTCCACCGTCGCAACCGGAGCAGGAACAGGAACCCGCGCAGGATGTGGCGGCACAGTGGCTGCAGACCGAGAATCAAGCGAATGCCGCGGTCACGGCCACAGTTGGCACGGTTACGGCCAACAACGTGCCGGCGACCGCGAGCCGAAACCGAACGAACGTACCACCGGTGCCGCAGCCGAGACAGAGAATCGGCAAGCCAGAAATTAGGGTTCCGGGAAACAGGAATCGTAAGTCGCGTAGAAGGCGCATTATGGTTACAGGTAATCATACCATTCATCTATTTTTCAACACACACGGGTAACATACGATGGACGATGAAACTCATTTTTTGCTACTGATGCAATGATAATTCAACATGCGATTATATTTCGCATGATAAATATACTTGATGACAGAGCGACGAAATGTTGATTTCAGATTTTTGACTGATTCAATTGTATTTCACTTATGACACTATGAAAAGAAGTTCTTCCCCCCGCCCCCCCCCTTTTTTTTTCTTGAATGTTTCTGTGTAATGTTAATGATGATGTCTGTAATCTTACTTGGGTTCGCGCAGGAAGCACTTGTGTATGTACTTAGGATTTACTGAGGTACCACAATTTTGTGAATATTTCACCCTCTTCTTCTTTTTTTCTCTCTTTTTCTTTTTCTTTTTTTTTTTTTCCACTAAAGCTTCACGTGTCGTGTTATTCATTAGTCATCTCAACGTACACGCTCTTCTTTCTCCGACAGCTCTGATTCGACACACGTGTCTCGAGTCTGTTTCTATGAACGACGTTCTTTTTTTAGATCATATCCAAAGTGCTATCGATGTGAAGGGCAGCGAGTCACCTTCAATGCCGATGAAACCTCCTCGAAGGGATCTGGACAGTTCGAATTCTGCGACCAGTAGAAGGAAAGTAATACCTGTGGATTTTGATTTGAAGGTAGATCGTGGTTTTCATTCTTCTTCTTCTTTTTTAATTCGCACGCTTAATGCGTACTTTAACAAACAGCTTGACGCGGAAGACGAAGATGACGACGAAGATTACAATGATGAATTGGCAGTAACAAGATTTGAAGAAGACGATGAAGGATCGAATTATTGGCAATTGAAAGAGGATTATACGTATGGTGATAGGGATAGCGCTCGCGGTAGGCATAAAGATCAAAGGGATGACGACGAGGCTGATTCTGCAAACCCTTGGCGAAGAACTGGTGGTTTACGTTTAACCAGGAACGAGTATCATCGATTTTGTGACACCCAGCTTGAATGTAATTATCGTAATCGATGAGAACTTAGAAGAACGCTAGAAAATACGTGGTTTTAAATTTCATTGCTTTCAGCGTACGATCTTGCGACGCAGTGTCCATCTAGAAGAGCGTCGGCACGGAAACATGCAAGACGCAGTATAGCACTCACAGCGTTGACTGGTACCACGTCTCTTCCTCATTCGAGGCCACAGAGCCGTCAGCACATAGGCGCAACAGAGTCGTCGTTAAGTCAAGGTCCGAGTCCTAATATCAGCGTGAATCCTAGTCCGAGTTTGAGCCCCCAGCCGAGAGCAAGGCAACCGCGACGATCGCAAACTATTGCCGAAGGTACAAAGGACAGTGAAGATCAGAACGAAGACTGGCAAGATGATAAGGGACAGGTACAACTTGCAAAAATCAATCTGTCATTGGAGCAGTATGTTTCAAAAATAAAAAAAAAATAAAAAAAAAAAAGAAACTTCAGAAGAAGCTTCATTTGCAAATTTTGTTGGAAATAGATTGTCTGGTAACAAGAAAATATTCTTTCTTATAGAAGCCTACGTTAGGCGACATGTTCCTGGATGAAAGGCTTTCTTTAACTCTGGAAGAGATTGTGCATATTCGTAGTGTACTAACCAAAGCAGAATTGGAATCTTTGCCCGTAGAGGGTCGAGTAAAGGAGGATGTAGAGAAACGACGCGTTTGTTTCCTTTGCTTAAAAACTAGATTCGGATTGTTAGGACCGTGGGGGCAACGTTGTCGTTTGTGCGAAAGGACAGTATGTGTGAAGTGTTACTCCAAAGTAAGCCTTTGAAATTCTTTTGTTCAGTCAGTTTGAATTTAACACGTTTTCAATTGTAAAACGAGTAACTCGCTGTGTTGTAGATGCGAATACCAACAGAACATTTCGCCCACGTCCCGGTAGTTTTATTATCTCCTGGTCTTCTTCTTTCCCCATCATCTTCAGAGCCAGACACTAGTAAGAGTTCTTGGTTAAGAGGTACCGGAGCAGCTGGATCTGCACCGGCATCACCAGCCTCCAGACGCAAGAATTCGTCGTTGAAAAGCGTGACACCTTCATCCACGCCTACTACTACACCTGTTTTGATACTCACACCGACCTCCACACCGCCTTCTCATGCTCGTCGCGAAACAGAGACTCAGGACAAAAGGTTGACTTTCCACTTGCTAGTTTCTGTCTCAAAAACTTTTTGCTTTTTTACCCTTTTATATAAGAAATTCTGTTTACAAGTGGGTATTCTCCGTAACAAAATTTGTTTGTACAGGAGTTGCAAAAGTACTGGCAGCCCAGCCAATGTACCATCACCGAAGGCATTCTCCAGTTTTACTAGTCAAAGCTCGGAACAACGATTAGTCGCAGAAAGATTGAGAGGCGTCTCTATGGTAGTCTGCCATGACTGCCGTATTATGGTGATACAGATAATTAAGAGTTCGAGAACAACACGGGCTACGATACGGAATAACGTTATCTCGCGACTTACTTTGAATCTTTCGCCAGCCTACGTTTGAATTCTCTCCGATAAAGCGAAGCTCTATGCACGAGATTTCTGTTGGATAAAATGGTGCATCTCGTTTTCGATTCAGCTAATGAGTAACATGCTATTTATGCCAATAAGTGAGGCACGTAGATTAGATTTCTCCCTCTTGTACCGGGTGTGCTCCGGATTCTTGTGCTCCTTACGCCACAATATCTCCTACAAATAGTCGTGGCTACGTTTGAAAAAAAAAAAAAAAAAAAAAAACAGGCACAACAAGTGCTACATATCGCGAATATATCGCACGTTTGTTTCTTAAAAATTTAACATTTAACGTTACTTTTTTGTGGAACTTTGTTTTAAGAAACGAAGTTCTTTCTTTGAGTAAGTTCGTTCAATTTTTTGTCTGTGCAAAAGAACTGTCACAAGATCAAAAATTTCGTTCGATTAAGTTCGAAGCGTTGAATATATTTTAACACAAATAAAGATTCAACGGAAGAATCTAATATAAAAATCGGCACACAGTGGCATTTAATATAGTCTACGTACCTACATCAGGCTTACATCTAAGTAGATCGTTAATGCATGCAAATTTGAAAACGATACGATTAGAATCGAGTATTTAATTACGATAGCTAAGGTTCCATTTGGTTTTCTCAACAACAATGAGCTGTTTTTCGCTTTCCATTTCAATAATCACTACTAATAATTATATCGATTGAAAAAAAAAAAAAGACAAGCTAGTATGTGGTTGCATTGCGCGCTGTGTGTGTTCTCAGTTTATAAAAGCTGAGAGTTTGCGTTTAACCCGATCAGTTATCTCGGGATTTTGAGAATGTGTATATATATATGTGTGTGTATATATATACACATTATATATATATATATATGTTCCTTTCGCTCCCACATTGTTGTGAATATTCAATCTAAAAAAATGATATCGCATTTATCGTAAAATTTAGTTGAGAGAAGAAAAAAAAAAAATTATCATAAGCAAAAAAATCAGCGAAGAAGAAATAAAAAAACGTTGAAATACTTAAATGTAATCTACGTATATGTGCCAGAACGTTCACGCAATAGCGATCGAATTATAATTAATTCTGACCAATAGTTTCAATTATGCGATTACCAATTCGAGTCATTAAGAAACTTTAGTTTTCTTCATTATCCAATTTGCTAATATATTCATATAACGTGTAGTTGTTGAACAATTTTAAACATCGATAATTATGTTCTTGAACTTTATATATCGATAATAACTGTGTTCGAAATTTAGATCTACTTACGTTTGTCAGTAAATTTTGTTAATAATCTACTTAAAAGTGAGAGGTACGAATACATAAGCACACGCATAATAAACTAGCGAGAGAATCAAATACTCTGACCCCAAAGGAAAAGAATGCTATTTTTTGCGTCCGCGTGATGTCAGTTTATTTCAAGAGAATATATTTAATTTGTAGAAACGAGTCAAAGTCGGGTGCACAATTGTATTATAAGAATTTATTAATTTAAAAATCTTTTTGTATGGCATTTGTGATATTAATTTATTATTTTCTACGTCTGTTATTTATTATATTTATTTAATTAGTTAACAAACGTTTCTTTATAATTGTACATATAATTATACACCTATATGTCATATATTTCATATGGATATGTTGTGCAATTTTTCGTATTTTGTTGCATATTATTATTCGTTGAAATATTGTTTCTATTTACATTGTTATTAACGCCAAATTTTTCGTTTTGTGTTGTGAAAGAAATTAATAAGCGGAGAAGTGGAAATGAATTTAAAAAAATAAACGGAGAGAATAGTGGCTCTTGTTACAGTCACGTTTATAGAAAATTAGTACAATTAAGTGGCTGTTCGCTTGCACTGATTGAAGGTGTGCTATTAAAGTGGAAATGTACAAATGTAGACCTACGATGGTTCAGAGTACAAACAAAGAATGCGAATTGCACTATAATAATTAAAATGCTGGTATTGTATCTGGCACTGGATTATATATACATAAGAACAGCGTGGTAAATTTATCGATACGTGTAAAGTGCATTGGTGTATTTTACAAACGGGTGAATCAGTTTGATTAAAGATGAAGTTTATTTATTTTTTTAGTCACATAAGTAGATTTCCCAATAATTTCCAAGCAAAAATCAAAATAAATATATGTACTTTGTATGGTACTTCAAGAAAAAAAGCATTGTACAATAAACAGATTTTTTCGAACAAGACAATGTAAGAAAGCACCACGACACTTTATGAAGAATATAGAAACATGAAGTTCTATTTGTAGAAAGTTATTACAATAAAAATAAGCTGAGAAAAACTGCTAAATAACAGAGTCACAATGGGATGATATTATAAGATATATAAGGATTTACACGATGGCAATTGAAAAAGATGATTTATTGTATTAATTTATTGTTTTTTTTTTTAATGTACGATGTATGTATACCTATAAATAATTAGAAACTTTGTTTTTACGATAAAAGTGACCAAAATACATTCTATTCCGATTCATTACTTAAACAGTTGTTTCTTTAAACAAATATTTTTCTTATTTTCTACTTTTATACTAAGAGATTCTTATTTCCATAAATTATATCTTACTGCAGTATTTTACATAACGACACGTTGAAAAATATAATTTTCTCTAAAATATTTTTTATTTGTATTATATATTAACTAATACTAAAATGTAAAACTATTGAATTATAATGACATTGACAAAAAAAGTAATGGCAATTAATGTATAAATGTTAGTTTATATAATATATATTAATTTTTAGAATCAATTCCTCAAATGATTGCATGCAAAAATTTTCATTTGAAAGCAAAAGAAATAAAAAAGAACTTATTAATAATGAAATTATTAATAAAAAAATATCTAAAATATAGATAAATCTAGACGTTAATAAATAATTCTATTTAGGTTTCTATCATCTTTACAATAAACTTTCACTAAATTTTTCAATGTGTATCTTCTTTATACATTAATTAATGTAATATATATTAAAGCTTGTACATATGATACATGAGAAACAAGGTAGTATATACAAGTAATACTGATCAATTACAAAGTTTACAATGAATTTATTTAAAAGACTGAAATCCGCGTTAAAGGATGAAATACAATATCAGTATGACGAAAGTTCTAGAAAAAAAAAAAAAAAAAAACAACAAAAGAAACATCATCACAGCCGTTGATTTCTATTTACTGCTAAAAATGTAAAATCGTGCAATCACAAAATATTGAAACATTTATTTCAAACAGAAAATAAAATGTAAATGTGTAAAAACCGGATATTCCATGCCAATAATATGTATATTGAAAAATAATACATACAAATATATTTTGGTATCCGTGTCAAATGAAAATAACAAAGTTTCCTTTTTTTTTTTTTCATTTTCAGTGTTGTGTTATCTATAACTTCCGTGATGGACTCAAAAAAGAAATGATAAAAATAATCTCATGGTTCGAAAGAAATACTCTCTTGTCTGACTTAATACTACTTTTTTAATTTCAGCATTCTTAAATATAGAATACCTTTTGTACATACATGTTAAGTAGCTATTGCTGTTTCCGACAGGTAATGCGTTATCATCATGCGTAAAGTACGAATTCAGCGCACGTTGCATTGTGACGAAGTATGCATTGCAGATACTCGATGATGGTTCTGGAACCTCGCGACCGCGTCAGAAATTTAAAATTGCTCTGCTCCACCATACAGCTTTGGTGTTGTTTCCCCACAACGCTCACGATCGCCAAATCCGCACTTTAGTCATCACGTACACTGCGCATATTAAACGAATTTATACATTAAACGAACGTGATTTTATTTACATTTGAGCGACAAATACACAATGGTCGTTCTATCGAATCGCAATAATGCTACATATTATTTTATCCGTAATTCCAAAGAAACAGTATCAGTATGAAAATTGATCTTTGAATATACGGTAAATACAACTTGTACGTTCAATCCAAGTTGACGACAGATACTTTTTTTTTCTTTTTTTTTTTTTTTATAGCGAAACATGAGCCATGTTATTACGCTTATGCATAGACGTAAAGATCGTGATTCAGTATTTCGTTACAATTGCATAAGAAAATAATATGATAGCTCTCAATTTTTCGACGATCTGTTTCATGGTAAAAGAAGAGTCGTATTTCTCGTAAAGATTCGAAAACATATATAAAAAACTTGAATATGTGAATTATATACAGAATGCGAGAAATGTTGATTTTGGAACTATAATTTTTATTTCTAACCCATTTTCTTTTTTTTTTTTTTTTTCTTTTCATACCTCGTTCGTGGTATTTAATTTTCACGCAAGTAAATAATATACTCGATATTTATTCTAGAAAATTGTTTACAACGAAGTAAAGAGGTAAAAGCTAAAATATTCATCTAATAAGATTTCAACATTCATCTAATAAGATTTCACCACTGTAATAGATTAATAATATCAATCATCAATAGTTCGTTTTTAAGCAACATTCCTGTACAAGATGTTCCGTTGTAGTAACTGTTCCTACGATGAATGAAAACTTCGTTCTCGTACTTAAAAAGCTATGTTAAGAAAAATGATTGCGACAGAGCATATAAGAATAAGTCTCTGACTTTCTTTAGTAAAAGTTGAGATCAACATGTACAGGAATATCTTCTAGTAAGAATAAACTTAAATTTCTGTTAATAAATAAATAGTATAGACGCATGTTGAAAAATGTGATGCTTACTGGAAGACGGTATTAAAGTCAGACTATAAGAGATTTATATTTTTGTTATTCTCTTTGATGAGAATTGCAAGGAATACAGTTGCAATACTTTAATAATTTAAATCATCAATTAACATTGTATAAAATCATCAATTAACATTGTATAAAATCATCAATTAAAATCAATGTAAAAATCAGTAAAAAACAAAAATTATTTTACAAAAGAAAAAATTATTCTACTAAAATTTTGACGAAAATTGTCCATTGTCGTAAAGGATACAACGTCAAAAATACAAGGAATAATAATAAGAACGTTTTGAATGCGTGCAACCATGAATTAATACTGAAAAAAATAATCACAGAGGAGTCCAAAATTAAATATGTTTGCAACTGTACTCATTAGTTCTCTCCATGAACCACCACTCACATTAAAGTGCTGAACAACAAATTCGGTTGCCCGTGCGAAGTCTTCCAGTTTTATTTTTAAATTCATGCAATATATAATTTTTTATAGACTCCATTCAAAATAACATGCTTATTCGTGATTTGATACTCAGCACTCTGGTAGCGCGGTCTTCTTTTTTCCTTTTTCTTTTTAATTTATACAGAAATAATCGTTAAACAATGATTAACGTATCAGACACGTAGCACAAATACGTTGTGGCCCGATACAGTCATCGTGACAAAACGCGCCACACTGCCGGCATATTACCATAGCACCTCGCATATTACACTCGCAGGGAGGTGGTGGATCTCCACCCATGATCATACCAGGTGCTCCGGGTTCAGCGCCACCTCCTCCTCTACCATCCGTGCCCCTTCCTTTCAACGTTACGGCCTGGTGCGAACCTTCTCCTGCACTGGCTGGTCTACCACGTACTAGATGTACTCCAACACCCATCCCGGCAATTTGAGGAGGCAAAGGTGGAGCAGAAGATGCTCGCGGTGCACTGTCGCCGACACCCGTTCTCTGCACCAGTATATATTGACCCAATCCGCCTGTTGTCGTTGATCCTAACTGCGCTACGGTATTGCTTTCTGGAACCTAAAAATATTGTTTAATGATTAAGCAATTTTTAAAATTTTAAGGTAATAATTTAAATTTATAATATTTTCCTTCCGTAGAAGCTATAATTGCAAATTGGTCGGTCATAATAAGAAATATATTTTCATTTTCTTTTACACCCTGGTTTTACCTATTTTTAAATTCTGTGATAGAATCACTCTGTAAAATAGATCATTTTAGAATTTCTGTTGGTTGTTGCTTATTTTGAGAGTATCACGATTGTTTCTCCACTACTTTTAGAAACTTGATTCTAGTAAAGTAGATTTATTTGTTTAGGTACCTGTATGATACAGTGATCATCACAAGCCACCAGCAAGATTAGCACTGTACACAGAGAAAAATATGAAATAATACATGATACAAAGCTTGAGCTTCTACTTGGTATGCGATTGTTCCAGATATAGGTTGTAAGATTAAATAAACAGAAATAAATTGTCCATGAATGTTGAAACATATTCTAGTTCGTTTTTTTTAATTTGTGAGCAACAACAAATCAATTACAAATAAAACTAAATTGTACAAACAATGAACCCTTCCTTTTTCAAAATAAAATAAGAAAAAATGTATGTATAAACTACCATTGCACAATTTTTGCAAGAAATATACCATACCTCTGTTGAAGCAGCTTGACGCGCTGTCGCAAACACATGTCTGAACATAACTGCTTGCGTTTTATTTTGAGTTTGTTTATTTTGTATCGTTTGCGATGGTTTCTGAGTTTTGACAGTCGTAATTGTACGACCACCAGATTTATTCGTCGTGAATGCACCATCACCTCTGGCAAGTAAACTAGGCGGAGGTTTCAAATGAGCCTTCAGTTGATCTCTATTTGGCGAACTTTGTATGACCTAAGTGACACACATTTTCATTTTATAAAATAAAAATTAAATTCGAACTTCTTAAACGAAATTTGGATCTGTTAAAATTACCGCTTGACATATCTGATAGCTGCGTTCCAAGTTAACTGCACCAGGTGGTTCTTTCGTAGTACTGCGTGATCTACCTCCTCCTTGTTCCTTGTTACTATTCCTGGAACCTCTCTGACTACCCTGATTATTAGAACGCGAAGATTTTGAAGACACTGCAACCGTCGCTCCAGGATACTGATGTTGTTGTATGGTCGCTACGACTTGTCGTGGTTGTGTAGGCGCTGAGGCTTGGTGTTGAATAACGATAGTATTTTGTGCACGATTTGGAGGTTGTATGCCGATCGCGGCTGTCACGGTATTTGGGACTTGATTTTGATTCACGTTATTTCTAATATTCCGTGCATTGTTATTTTGTGTACTTAGTTGTACCACTTCTTCTTGCGTTCTCATTATATTTACTTGCGAGGTTGTATTCTGTTGATTCTGGATTTGAGCAGTAATTGGGGACGTGTTGTTCAAAGTCGATGCAGCGTTTTGATCGGAATGAAAGCTAGTTTGTACAAATCTGATGGACTGCAGTTGCGGAAAGGCAATAATAGGCGAGCTTTGAGACTGGAAATTTTTCATTATGCAACTCGTTCCTGGTGTACCAATTGCAAGACCCTCTGACTGAAACGGAGTTCCCTGAACAACTGGCAATTGTATACAGTTGACCGATTCGACATTGGAATCGGCATTAATAAATTGTTGCGGTGGATTAGTCGAATCAGTGGAAGTAGGTGTCTCGTTGCATTCGTCCTGAGTGGTCACCGTAATGTTAGTGGCTACAGATCCATCAAGAGCTGCAGCTACTAGTGGCCATGGTACTTGAAGCTCTTCCTGAGTCTTCATGAAATAAAATTAACTTGTCTCAATATAAAAATATATGAACGAATATATATACAACATAGAAATATACGATATGAATATATTAGAAGTGTCTATCGCTTACCCTATTATTATTGTTTATGTTATTAACCGTGGGGTCTACAGACCAGCTACATTCTAACATTTCAGAACAAACGTAGTTGTTTGCTTCTCGAAGGGCTTCGTCTTCATTCCCACTATTTACATCTTGCTGCTCTCTGGTAGTCTCCGCCTGTCCCGAGACTACCTGTGTTTCAGTTTCTTCCGTATTATTTGTTCCCATTTCCATACCGTCAAGAATAGGATATATTATTTCTTCGGAGCATCTTGAAATCTCTTCGTACGCTTCGCGCATTTCTCCCCTTACCTAAAAGAGGTGTATCGCATTTGTTTTTTAATGAAACTTGCTAATTTCAGGCTGTGAATCTTTACAAACGATATAAATTATCACCTCCAACTCATGAATACGTTGTAACGTTTCACTGTCGATTTCCATTCCTTCAGGAATTTGTGATTCACCGTCTGTTGCATTTTCGTGAGAAACCTGTGTTGTCTCATTTTGATTACTATTCATTAGCGTAGAATCATCCATAACAATTTCAGTTGGTCTAACTTGCTCGTGCGACGGCGATGTTTCGAGCATAGTTGTAGTCTCACAATCAGACATTGGATAAATTTGTTCTTCCAACATTTGGGATATTTGCTCCTTTGAAATTTGAGGTACCTGATCTACTGAAGTTTGAGATGTACATTCTGTTGACAATTGGGACGATGTTTCCCTAGATGTACGAGACATTTGTTCTGTTTGTTCACTGGACCCTGGTGAAGTACTTTCTTCCGGCAAGAGTACAGTATCTTCTTCGGATACTTCGAGGATATGATTCTCCATTGATTCAAGATTCTTTTCATCTTGAGGTATATGAATTTCTTCGTCGTATGCGTTTGAAATACTTTCTTGGCAGACCTGACTTACTACTTCATTCTCTTCAATCATGTCTTGTTTTTCTGCAAGATTAATAACTTTCTCATCTTCCTCAAATTTGTCCTGATGCATTTCAGTATCACCTATCGTTTCTATAGAGTTTATGTTTACAGATTCTATATGTTTTTCATCGATTAATGTATGCGTTGTTTCGTTATATTCTGTTGGTAATAACTCTTGTATCTCTGTTGTTTCATTCAAATCGTCTGAATTACTTATACTAGTTTCAATTTTACAATTATGCTCTTCGATTTTATCCTCGGACATGATAGGACAGGGAGTGTCCGATATAGGTGTATCTACATTGGATTCTAAACGAAGTCTTAAACTCGAACGCGTTACAGCTCCGCCAGATCTTGATTCCGCAATACAATGAAGACCTGACCTAAGTTTAGGTTCACGCTTCTCACCCCATATAGGCTCAAAATGTTTAACTTTCCATGGATCCAATTTATTCTTGTCTCTCTCTGCCTCCATTTTCAATCTTTGTTGATTCTCCGGAGTGAACTCCCCCTCTGCCAAGCGTTTACGCCATTCTAAGCAAGCTCGCGCAAAGAATTCGTTATTTAATCCAGATGTAGCAGCATCCTGACAGCAACAAATAAAAGTAATTTTATAGAAAATAACTTTAAATTTGTTTATTTACGAAAATAAACAAATAGAAAATAACTTTAAATATTTCCGAAAAAAACAAATATGAATATCATGCTGTTAAAATTACCTGTCTATCTACAGCAGGCAGAAGTTGTGCAAGTTTCCTTTGATACAAAGGTGGCAAACCTTGAAAAGTATGCCTATTCAAAAGAGCACGTAAACTTGTGCTTGCTAAAATACTCGCTGGGGATTCAAGATCTACAAGACCAGCCTCCAGTTGTGCAGTCGCAGATAATCGTTTTGTTGATCGTCTACGTCCAGATTTCAAACTAAACCCTGGCAAACTTGCTAGGACTTCTCTCATTGTGGCAGCAGGCTCTTCAGTTGCTACATTATATTAAAATACATAACAACAAATTAGTGAATTAATGCAACTCTGTTATATTATTTGCTTGCATTTGGTATTAAGTATATTTGGTAGATGTATTATTTTGGCTTACTAGCATTGATGTGCTGTACATTATTAACAGGGGAAGGTGGATCATTCGGTGGTGGTGGAGGTAGTGGTTTAACGACAATCCTTGGAAGTGTACGAGAATTGCCAGCCGCGATTGTTGTATTTTTCCTACGCCTCTTGGCCTGCTGTCGTAGTGCATGTTTGATGACTTTTTTACTGTGCACCATGCTAGAATAGCCAGAGCAGCCTGGACTAGTTTCACACCCTTCACCTTTGGCAAGCTCTACATCTGTGTCCATGACAGTACCTATACTGTGTACATTGTTGATCGAAATACCGGCTAATCGAACATAAACCCACTACAGCACTGTATCCGGGTTCTCCGCGTTTTACTTCATATTGTGCAGGAAATGTTCAGCAAAACGCTTTGTCTCTGAAGAGAATAAACATTCCTCAATAACAGCACCTTACTGACATTTCGATGCGAACGAAACTTGAACGATTCGGAAAATATTGCTCAATCCATGTCGTTCAAGAAATTTCCGTGCGCGAAAGGTTCAGTCGAATTTGCAAACCCTACTGTTTCTCAATCCATTGGCAAAATGCCACTCGGAAAAACTCGCAGAGTTCCGCTTCTGTCAGCCATATTGTATTTACATATTTATACCATGAAAGCGCCATCGACATAGAGAGCGCTTTGTGTTTCTGTTAATATTGTAATTCTGCCCCGAATTTAACGCCGTGCATTTTTCTTCACTGACGAGTTTTCGTGTTGCGTCGATCAGCAGACTCTGAAAATACGAGATAACAAAACTGAAATTCAAAGAGCGAAGTTATCATAAAACTTATGTTCAATAATTCTTATATTAACTTGAAATTTATGTTTTACGGTTTGTAATTAACAAAGAGGAACAAATATTCTTAACGGTGCAACAAAGAATGCAAACGGAAACAAATAATTCGAAGAAATGCAAATAAACAGAGATATGCACACACTCAACCCACACACACACACACACACACACACACACATCATCGTGGAAGACCAATGAGAAGACAATATTTCAAATCGGGATAGGAGAGATTTGGACTTTTGATTGGACGGTACAAAATATTGTAACAAAAATTGCGTAGATTCTACGGTCGAATGATTCAGCATGCGAAACGATATTAGTCATTTTATTAATCGCATGCGAGGCGACATTTTTGTAAATAACAAACTACGTGAAATCTTTTAAAATCAGGGAGATCTCGCCAGAGGATTTTGCCGCCCATTTTGGCTCCATTGTCGCGTAGATCTGTAATAGCATTTAACGCTCGGTGGATAGAAATTTTGTTCGTTCTTTCCGCAATTCGAGAAATTTCACATAAAATATATTGTCTCAAGTCAATAAATTAGCCGCAGAACATACGAAACCCCCGTGCAAGATCGACCTAAGGATTTTTTTCTTGTAATTGCCATTCTACATTTCCCGCCAACATGGCAAATATGGCGGAGCTCGTGTCGTTTCCCGCCAAGCCCTTGCGGATGTCTTCGTATGGCGCATCTCGTTCTTATACCAGTGTAAACTAAACGCGTTTTTTCGGTGTTTTTCCTTGAGCTTTTCGACGAAAATGGGTCAATCGGACGACCTGGAGGATTCTACTTACAGTAGACACCAGGATTTGTGTCAGAAATTGAATATGGATGCAACTTCTGCGTCTGAAGCTTGGAAATCCTACGAAACCATTCGTCAAAATTACACTCTTGAGGTAATTTTTCGAATTGCCTGTCATCTCGGTCATTTTGCGTTTTGTTAATTGTTTCAGATTAAGAAGCGCGGCTCCTCTGTCCTCTCTTCATAGATCGAAAATGTATTCCTATATGACAGTTTATCTATAATGTACAAACTGTCTTCGAGTCTTTTGTTCAATGTTTAATATTGTTGAATTCGCGGCTTGCTTTACTTAACCGATTAAAGCGCACCAATTTAAAATAATCAGCTTCGTTGCTTGTACTGGCTGATATGAAAAGCACTTTTATCTGAACACACAGTGATCAATTTATGGAAGTGTCTGATTCATAACTACCACAATTTGATCTTATACTGTTTATATATTGACATGAATTTTATGTATCATTGCATTTATCAATGTCTTGCAAATATACCTTACTTTTATTTGTTATTATTTATGATATATATTTTGAGATTTTAATAAGATTTTTAAGATATACATTTGGAAGTATCATTGTGTGTATGAAAATTCTGTTCATTTTTTTGTTTAGGGTGACCAGTTACATTGGATAGGATGCGCGTTATATGTAGCTTGCCGTAAATCTTCCATACCAACTGTTGGGAGGACTGGCACTAATGTGGAAGGCAATTGCGTTTCACTAACACGTTTGTTGCAATTGTGTAATCTGCCATTGATACAGTTTTTTACAAAAAGTAAATCATGGGCTGACATGGCCAATATGTCACAAGATTTCCGCTCGAAGATTGAAAAACTCGAAGGGAATTTTGCAGTGTCAATGGTTATATTCAAAAAGTATCAGCCAATTTTCACTGATATATTCAAAGATCCTGTAGATGATATCTCAAGGCCACCAAGATCTAGAAGACACAAAGCAATGCCTTGCACACCTGCAAGAGTTTTTGAATTTTGTTGGACATTGTTTATTTGTATAAAAGGAGCATTTCCAGATATCTCTGATGACTTGGTCAATTCTTATCATCTTCTCCTAGTGTGTTGTGATCTTATATATAGTAATGCTCTATTGGCTAATAGAAAGGATCTTTTAAATCCAAATTTTCCTGGTAAATATATGCTGATGATACATGTAAGTTCAAATAGGAACAACTGATTTTTATTTGCATTATTTGTTTGCAGGTTTACCATCAAACTTTAACGATGAAAATTATATTCCACCACAAACAGCAAATTGCATAGTTAGTTTGTTATGCGAACGTCACGAAGCTATTATTGTTGAAGCTAAAGTAATTAAGGAATATCATTTGAAAAATCATATTAATAAATTATTCAATGAAAGAGTTCTCCGTGGTGATCAGGCAAATTTTTCTGGTATTTTAGAAGCTTTATATTTCGATGGCAATAGCAAAGCTATTAATAGAGTTTATGAGCAACATGTATTAAGCGTTGGAGACTTTGATGAAAGGATTTTCTTAGGTAATTTCTTACTCTGATTAATTTTTTTTTATAGATCAACTAGCTTGTAAACTTGCTTATTACTAAGGCAACAATGCTTGTAAATAAGATGGTGCTTTTAGCTGTATGCCTGTTTGCTTTATATATTTTTACTTTCATAAATATAGATTATTTGTAAATTGTAGATTTGAGAAAATAATTTCATAGAACTTATATTTCAATATTTAATTAATATTTAATATCTAATATTTGACATCGATTTATAATGACATTTTATTATTTTTATTTACGCTTAAAATGTTTGTAAATGGCAAAATTTTATGTTTGTATATACATGTCTCAAGTACAAATGCGTTTTCTTATATATTGAGCAGGATAGAAAATAGAAGAGAGTAAAAGGAAGAATTAGCTATGTGGTTCTTTATCATTAAGGAATGATTCATTATTTTAATTCATTTTTCTAATTAGAATGATTGCAGATGTAATATAAATTTTTGGGATAAATGATAGTTAGTAGATGAAAAGGCAATTACAGAAAAATTCTCAGAAAGAACAATTTTAAAAATATTTACATTTTGTTTGGCCTTATTTTAATCAGAATGAATCAGAATGAACAATGTGTGTATAGTAATAAAATAAAAACTTTCATCGCGTACAGCCGGTTTCGAAGGCTCCGTTAGATTGTAAAGAATTTTCGGCATTAAAAAAATTTTTTAAGAAATTTACTGTGATTATCTGTACAAAATTGGCAAGGTTACTTCATAGATTTGCTTATGTTTTTTTTGATTTGCATTTTTTAATAAAAGACAGAATATTTGGTAATCTTTATTTTGTCTTTTTGGATAATTTTCATTTCTTACTGTTAATCAATTTGTGTTTGCTTTATCTTGATTGTGGTATAGCTGATTGGAGGAGAGTGAGATTAAATGGGATATCAAGCTTGGAAATTGTTGGAGGAGATATAGCTTATCATGCTAAATTATCTAAACATATTTTCATGAAAGGTAGGTTTACAGTATATAGAAAGCTGCACTAAAAAAGCAAGAAGCTTCATAGTAAATAGCATTATGCTTTGGCATGAATGCATTTAAATTGATTAACAAAAATAGTTGTATATAATTTATTCTAAAAATTCAGAAGGCAGAATACAAAGTGAAATACTATAAATATTGCATATGATTTTGCATTTCAGGTCATGATGCCAGTAATAATATTGGTTCTCCTACACAGATGATGAATGTTGGTGATCTTCATGAACAATTTCAAACGAAAAAAGAACAATATAGTGGAGTAAGTATTTAAATAATTATATATATACATTTATCGTTTTTTATAAGTCTTGTGATTTTAAAAAAATGTATGTTTACAGCAGATACAACATTTAGGTCCACCCACTCCATTAACTGGACGTAGTTACCTTAGACCAAAAGATATTACCAATGTGACACCAGTATCCACTGCAACGCAAAGTGTAATTCGGCTTCAAGCTATGTTGGCAGGTCAAACATCGCCGAGCGAAAATTTATTACAAATTTTAAATAGTTGTTCTCAAGATGTAAAGACGCTCGTCGAGACAAAGGTCAAAAAGCTTGGAGAACAATTTTGTGCCAACTATAACAAAAGTATAAACGCGAATGAAGCTACGTCAGATTTTGGAAAAAAGAGACTCTATTTAGGACAAACTCTTTTCTATAGGCTTTTAGAAATGATTTTGAATGACGAGAAACGCAAGAAACCAAATTACGATGTTACGGTATGTTGATTAATCGTTTAAAAAGTAAATAAAGTTAATCAGTAGATGAATAATATCTTGATATGTTGATATGTTATAGAATCTTCTGATGAAAGAAATCTTTATTCAGTGCTTATTTGCTTGTTGCCTAGAGATAGTAATTTACTCGTACAAAAGTAACGATAAGATCTTCCCTTGGATTTTGAATGCTTTGAATTTAGATGCCTATTATTTCTATAAAGTGATAGAAATTATAGTTAGAGCGGAAGAACAGTTATCTCGCGATGTTGTAAAGCATTTAAATCAAATAGAGGAAAAAATTCTGGAATCACTTGCTTGGCAAAGTAATAGTCCTTTGTGGGGTGCCATTCAATCTACGTCAGAAGGTGTACCAAGTTGCGAAGAAGTTTCTTTACCCGGTATGTTGGAAACTGTTGACCCGAATATTCCGGGACAGCCAGTATTAAGAAGAATCGCTTTAGACCGTGGTACTCATCACGATGTGCAACAAAGCCCTATTTCTTCTGCCTCAGAAAGATTTCAATCTCCAGTTGCAGCATCTGGTGTAGCTAAAAAACGTTTGTTCCCTGATGCTAGAATTAGTGGACAAAGCGTTTTACGTGTAACAGGTCAAAGCGTTTTACCATCGAAAGTTTTAACCATCGATAGCAATTCGAGAATACTTCTTTTACCTGAAGTTCCAAGATCAACTAGTGCACAGTCTACAACTACTTCGATGACAGTTAACAGAGAGTCAACAAAACCAAAACGAACTGGTTCCGTCGCTCTGTTTTTCCGAAAGTTCTATAATTTAGCTAGCGTACGCATGCTAGATTTATGTGGCTCGTTAGAAATAATGGACACCGATTTAAAGAAAAAGATATGGACAATCTTTGAATACTCCATCAAAGAACGAACAGAATTGATGAAGGATCGTCACTTGGATCAAATTTTAATGTGTGCAATTTACGTGATATGTAAATTGGCAAAAATGGAAAAGAATTCGTTCACTGAAATCATGCGATGTTATCGGTTACAACCGCAAGCAGAGTCTCATATATATAGATCAGTACTTATAGTTAAGACACCGTCTGGTGAATCGCAGAAAAATAACGAAGAAATCGGAGAGAAAAATTTATCCGACAAAGAAGCTAATGTGGCACCGCCTACGCCTTCAAATATGGCTGGAACTTCGCAAAATTTTGGCGAAGAAACGCGCGGTGATTTAATTAAATTCTACAATACAGTATACGTACCACAGGTGAAAGAAGTGCCGAATAAATTGGGATTAACACGCGGCAGCGTAGTGAATTTATCATTAAGTCCGCTGCCGAAAGGGAAACCTCCCACAAGTTCACCGGTGAGACGTGTCACGAGTAGCATTATGACACGTACATTAGATCCAAAAGCTATTTCAGCTTCTCCAGCACCACAACTTAGTTATTGTTTTAGTCGTAGTCCTGCTAAGGTAAATCAAAGTTATTACACATCTCTAAATATGTAATAAATTAAAATTTTATTATCAAATTCGAAATTATCGAATAGTTACATTTATAACTATGTCTTTGTTTTGTAGGATTTGGAGGCTATTAATAAAATGATGATTTCTGTTGATCCGAAGAGATCTGTCGGCAAACGACTTTTATCTGATGAAACCGACGTGGAGATGTCAGAAGGAACATCTCCGATCAAAAAGACAACTGCATTTGTTGCGCGTAAATTAGAAAACATAATTGGCGAACGACGTACGCAAAATCAATAAGTGAATATAACATTAACTTATTGGAAAATGTGGATAACGAAAGGAAAAGTTTAAAAGTTTAAAAAGTTAAATTTTTAAATGTTTTCGTTTCCATTGAATAAAAAAAAAGAATTGATTAATCAAACGAATATCGAAACCGAAGTCGAATTTTTGTTTCGTGGCTGTGTGGTTTAAATGAAACGTTCTCAGGTATGATTATGAACAGAAAGGCCGTATAATACCTGATCGTACGTAAGAATACGACAATCTTATATTAAATAAAGCCAGAGTTATATTTCCAGTGATACTTTTTTTTATTATTATTTCAATAAATTCAATTTAAAACAAACATGTTTTAAACGTTGTTTTAAAGGAAACAATTCCGCGATGTAAAAAGGATTAATTGGGCAAAGGATAATTTGGGCATTTTCTTAGCTCTTTTTAATTTTAGTTCAATTTTAAATATTCTATAATATATTTTCGTTAAGTAAGTATTCTATTATTACAATATCACTGTTAATAGAGAAAATATGGAAAATATATTGTCTGTCTGATTATGAATGAATTGTTCGATTTTCGTATTACACTGGAAATGATTCTGACTTTTCTGGATATCACTGATCAGTGATATTTTAATAAAGTTACATAGTATCTTTAAAATTATATACAGAGTAAACCAATAATTATGTTCATCTCAAATGTCTCTGCTGCTTTTAGGTGTATGAAAATTTTTATTCAGTAAGAACAAAGGTTATAGCAGTAATGATTTTCTGTTGTAAGTGAAGGGGTTTCGAAGATATCAAGATCATTTTCAATTTTTTAAATGGATATATTTTTTTTTGATTCATTGATCGATGCAATTCGACATTCTCTATAAAAGTCTATTAATCTATGTATGTCGAAAAATTATTAATTTATTTAATAATTAGGTACTTCAACTTTAGTTTTGTAAAATGCTTGAAAGACTGTATGAATAGTATTGTACTAACTATACTGTACTAATTTATGGTACTAATTTCTATTAACAAAATTTTTTCATATCTCCAAAATAACATTTGAGATATCGCGAAGTTATTGCTTTATTTTGTATATTAATTTATGTATAATATATGATGAATTTGTAAGAGTTACGGCCATAGACGTTAAAGAAATTTTATTTTACCAGTAGATATAAGCATGCTACAAAGGCAGTCGAATGCTCAAAGTATGCAAATACGATTTGAATAATATTTAATTAAATTTAAATAAAATACGATTATCCGATATATATGCATCGTATACATCGTATATATATATATGTATACACGGAGAATGAATGTATGAATATATATTTTGATTATAGTAAGTTATTCGCGTTTTTCGAGATATGATTCGTTCCCCGAATTGAAATTTTTTCAATTTCTGGTCACACATAAAAAGGTGTGTAAGAGTAGGATGTAAGAGTTCTTTTTGATTTGAATTTGATCTCATTAAATTTGTTTTTTTTATTATCCAACAATATATGTTAAATTACAGTAATAACATTACTATTATTAAGATTAGAATGATATTTAAATGATTTAGGATTTAAAAAAGGAAAAACTCGTCTGTTCAAGAAATCTGTAACAAAATTGTAAGTGAAACAAAACGGTCAATTTTTCGGAAGTCGTAATGTAATTATAATAATAATATTTTCAGTATCATTATTACATATGACACAAATGATGTATTTGCAATCTTTTCGAGCTAGGATGATATAATTTTATAAAGAAGAGATTTTGTTTCTCATTATACATTTATGGCAGTTCCTCTAACGATTTCTTTTAGATAAAAAAAGATATTGTAAAGAGTTTTATTGGCATATAAGAATTATTAAATAGTTTATGTGTATATAGTATTCAAAAATAAATTAAAAAAATAAAAGTCAGAAATTTTATACGTTACAACGGTGTATTTTCGATATTTTACATATTCTTATGTATTATCTACATTCTGCATAATTTTCAAATTTTAGATTTCTAACGAATATATATATATATGTGTATATATATATATATATATATACATAATCTAATTATTCATAGTTTCATGTACTAAGGATATTAAAAAAAAGAAAGTTTTAATAATTGTTGCAATTTTTTTTTATTTATACAATTTTAATCTAATGTCATGAACATAAATGATAGACATAATTTCATATGTAAAAAAATTCATAGGTTAGAAAACTTGGAGATAATTATGCAATTTCTCTTTAATAATAGTTATATGTTCTTATTTAATTTATAAAATTAAAAACTTGTGTTATTTAAACAGTAAAGACACTAATTTATTTTTAGTAAATTAGTTAGCTAGTAAATTATATTTGAAAGATATACTACTAAAATACATAACCTCAAAAAATTTACAAGATTCATCAACAAGCATCAGTTTATTGTAAATCTAATAATCTCCTTTCCATAGAAAAGAAATCTTCGTTTCATAATTATGTATATGAAATAATACATAAATTAATGTTTTCAATAAATATTGTGTTATATTAAAGTAAATACATTTTTGTCAGAATGCAAAATATGGGAATAAAACAAATATTTCGATGTATTTGTACTAATAGCATAAAATATAACATATCAAAGCAAAGCAAAATAATAAATAAATTTATAGAAAAAAACAAAAGGAACAGGTAATGTCAATTTTACATTTTCTAAGTAGACTTTATTTGTTATTTCTTAATTTTTTTGAATGTAAAAGATAATTTCTTAATTAAGTCTTATTTCTAAATAGGGAATCAATCGAAAATATATATCCTCATTCATTAAAGAATAAACTTTCTGTATATACAATACGGAGGATGAATGTCCTAAATAAAGTTTTTATGGAACATATTACAGATTTGATGTCAACTGGAGAAATAAGTACCGAAATTCTAGATAGAAATATAGAAATTATTCACGTTAGAATAACTGCAGATTTTAAGTTCATTAATGTGTATTGGGCAGATAATGATACAGAGAAATCTAATACAGAAGAATTACTGAAACAATGTGCTTTTAGCTTGAGGCATAAACTGTCTCAACTTCAGGTCATAGGCATGGTTCCACCTGTTCAATTTGTAAAATGTAAAGGCATAAGTGTTTTAAGGGAAGTAGAAGAGAAATTGAAAACTTTGGAATTTGACAAAGATCATGTGTCTAGCCCATATCCAGATGCCATACACCATACTGTTAGTGCTTCCAAAATCTGTGAGAACAAAGAAGATGTACAGAATGGTGAAGATGATAACTTTAAAGTTACTGTACCAGTAATGAAACATGATGTATTTGGATTAGATCATTTCCAGATTATGTCAAAGGTATATATATGTATTATATACATTTATACATATAATAGCTATTAGAATTAACAACGTAATATTTAAGAATTTTCCTTTTGCGCAGATAAAATCTTCGTTAAATAAATTTAAAAAATCAGAGAAACAAACATTAAGTATACCAACCTTGAATACATTTTCTACATTAGATCTAAAAGATAAATTCAATTTTTTAACTAATAAGGAACAGCAAGAAGAATTCAAGCAATTTCTAAATCAAAGACGAAAAGAACAAAGAAAAAAAATGAAAAAACGTTTTAATGTAGATGACATTGTTGATGATGATAATGATGACGAAGAACAAAATGATGATAATAATTTTGGAAAAAATAATGAGTTTACGGAAGATGATTGTAATGATTTTTATAATTGCAATGATGATATTGACGAAGAATTTAACAAAAAATAGTAACAGGAAATTAAGAGTATTTAGCATATTTACTTTACATGAACATTAAAAAATTAATATTATTTCAACATGGTTAATTTTATTTTATATTACATTTGTACACAATGTACAATTCAACTTCCCTCTGATAAATTCATGACATGATTTATTACAATATTCATCCAAGTGATTGATCCTATTGATTTAATTTAATTTTGATTACATATATTTAATTTGTGATTAATTGCAAGCATTTAAAAAAATGATTCCGTACGTTGTATTATTATTTTTTCTTAAAGTGTTTATTAAAGTATACATATAATCATCTGAGAAAATTGAAATTTATGAAAAAATTCGACACTTCAACATTTAATGTTCGAAAACGTGGGCTAATAACTGAGTACTGTTATTTCTAAAACAACTTTACAAATTATAACATAAATTAAATGGTAATATTAATATTTGTTGGTATATAATGGTACAATGATATTAATTATTGTTTGGTATATCGCAGTACATGTACACCTAATCTAAATCACATAAGTCATACAGTTTGGCCAACTGTATTTTAAAATCAAAGAAATACGATATAATAATAAAATTTTAACTAGATCGTGTTTGCGACGTATTTAATTCCTGTTCTTGCACGGCCTTAGAATCAACTTCCTCGTTTGCTAAGATAAGTGAAATTTGTTGCTCATTTATGGTCTTAATGTTTGAACGAATATCTGATACTGTTAAATGTCTCGAATCACTTAGATTACATGCTTCTAATACATATTTATTAAAAATTTCACTTTTATCGGCATAAACATGATGTCCTGCTCCTGTGATTGCCTGCAGTCAATAAAAATATACCATGGAAATAAATTTGTTATTAAAATTTTAACATTTTTACTTTTTTCTTTATGTTCTTACCTGAACATTGATGTATGACGATGATCTAGCTTGCTTAAGTGTTTCCCAAGAGGAGTTGTCGACCCAAGATCGACTACCATACAAAAGAGTTATAGGAATTTCTGGACTTAATTTATCCATTCTTCTGACAATAGGATTTTTGGCCCAACCAAAATGTTGCATCATTGCATGAAACGCACTTTCACCGCTTTTTATTGAAAATGTGAAAAATTAATTTTTATACTTTATATTTATAAATTCGTATATGAAAATGATTTTTATTGAAATTTAAGATCAGCGCAAAGATCTTTGTTTTATGTTTCAAATTTTTAATACTTACGATGGTGTTTGAGCATTACACTGATGCAAATACTGCGAAATTACAGCAGTATCATCTTTTAATACAGGTGAAAATTTTTTTACTATATCTGGCCTCGTTTTTTCAATTAACCACTGTCCTAATAAAGTAACATTTTATATATTACATTTTTATATAATAATATATGTACACCTTATGTAAAAAAATGTATATGTTATATAATTATGTATAAAAAATAATTATGTATAAAAATCTTATATCCTAAAAATTGAAATATAAAGATATATTAAAATAAAAACTAACCAAATGGACCAGCTACTCTAACTGGCCATAATGGATTTAATGGTTCCATTATATATGCTATAACTTTTACCCACATGGGAGCTCTGGAAATTCGTTCTACAGGTCTTTCAGGAAATCCCCAAGGATCAGCAAGAATCAGATGTTTAATTCTTTCAGGATATTGCATACTATATGAAGCTGCAAGAAAACCACCCATTGAATGGCCCAACAACACAAATTTTTCCAATTGCATTTCCCTTCTCCATTCCTCAATAGAACGAACCAATTGACTTTCAGCTTCTTGTGCTTCATTACTAAAAGCAGGACGACTACTTCTTCCAAAACCTGGATAACAAGAATTAATTTTTATATAAAATGTAAAGCAGATAAAAATACAATTGCACATTATAATGTCCAAAATAAATTTAAGAGTAATTCATAATTACATGACTAAATATAAATAAAATAAATGTAATGATAGTGAATTGTCAATGTTTGAAAAATATGCAATATCACTTATTTCATAAATTGTACATAATTCCAAAGTTCAATCTTAGTCATCTATGAGTCATATGTACTGTACTCAAGATCTAAAATTATATCTCTGGACAATTTTTGATTTCTTGTTTTAAAATATAATTGGATGTAATATAAATGAAAAATAAGGGCTTATACGTTACAAGATTTTTAATAAAATTATAATTCTTTCTATTTTTTACCTAATATATCAATTGCATACACTGGCCTATGAGAAGCCAATGCATCAAGATTTAAACACCATAATGCTACACCAGCTCCTAAACCATGCAACAAAACAATTGGTGTCTTTGGTGATTCTTCATTTAAGGAAATGGTCCATATTTTATCTGATGTTCCTACAACTGGTCCTATGTCTACATACCATCCTCGATATGCAGTTCTCAAACCTACATCATTAAAATACACAATTTGTTAAATTATATGATCAATGTTTCAATTGAAATGGAATTTATGAAATGCAATTCAAACAAAATATTACTAAAACCCACAATTCACTGAGTGAATAAGGTTTATTCCTTATGTGAATATAAAATAACTTACAAGAAAGAATTTTCTTCTCCGCAGCACGTAACATAGTTGAAGATGAGCCAGACCAGTTAAACCATTCCCAAAACCAGCTAGCAAATAAAAAATATTTTTTATGAATAAAAGAGCTATTTTCTATAAATAAATGAAAAATTTCTAAATTTTACATAAACTTTACATTATGTTATTATATATTTTTAAAATTACATTTTTATAGCAGTATTATTTACGTAAAATTAATATTAATTATTAAAAAATTAATTACAAAAAGAATTTTAATTTTATTACATAATTCATTGATCACATATCATTGTACTGTATGTTTTTCTTCTTTTCAATACTGTTGAAATGCAATTTGACAAACGTAAGATGATTTGAATGACAGTGAACTTGAAAAATTGCCTCATATTACACAATACGTGATATTGACAAGTGCGATAAACATGAAATTCGCGCGGTATCAATTTTAAAAACTTTTAATGCGTAAATTAAGAAAAGAATTACCTGCGTCTTTGCACGCTATTACGTGTTTGCACGCAAAATACAATTTGAAATCGGATCAACTATTTATTTTTTTGGTTATGATTCTTCTTGTTAAAATTGTTTGCAACGTGGCCTTGAAATGCAATCCAACATAACACAGTTAATTCCTCAAGTTCCATAATTATTTTTCTTCTTACGCATTTACGCCACGTGTCAAAATACTTCTATATACGCGGTATTTATAAATATAAATCTATCGATAATTTCTACCGTAAACGTTAAAACGCGTGTCGAGACTTTTTAATTTAAATCTTAAAAACAGAGAGATGGTGCAATCGTGAATGACGTATCGTATGTGACGAAATTATGATAAATACGTGGGTGACGTGTTTCGACGTCGTCGAAACGCACAGGAATATTAATGAAAAGTTTGAATTAAAAAAGACAAAAGCACAATTGTCAGTTACGAATGTGAAATTGTTTGGAGTCGTACCTTTTCGATCTGACAATTTCATGATTTGCCATTAGCTTTCACGATGTTGTCGTTGCTCGTGCACGATGACTTCTTTGTTGACAATGCTGGAAAAAACAGTACGACGTAGCCAATTCTATTATCTAGTGACTAGAGTCTAGTCGGTGTGATTCGAGTACACTGTTTGTTGAAAAATGAGAGAGTGGGAGAATCAGCTGATGTACATATGTGCTGGAGAACTCGTGCGATTCCTCCTTTTTGTGAAATGCAGAATAGGAGTTACTTTTATTGTTATACGCACATATTTTCTTTCTAGATACGCAGTAATTGCTTTGTTATCAACGCGTTATCTTTTGTATGATACATTGTAATGATAAACAAGTGTTAGTGAAAGTAACATAACCTAAAATCTAGATAACCAATATTTAGATACATGTTGCGTATCTTTCTTTTATTTAAAGGGACACAATAAACACTTGTTAATTAACATTCGTAACATTCGTTTGCTAATGTACGTATATATGTAACATTAACATTCGGTATAGTAGATATTATTTGTTATCTCATAAAATAAAGAAATTCATGACAATCTAATTGATGATTCAATATTTTAAGGATTCTTTCATAAAATACATGTTGTATTTATAATTTTTTTTTAAATATATTATCCTATTCTATACATTCTAAAATACAAATTAATGTGAAATTAATGTGAAGAAAATGTAAAAAGAATAGAGAATAATATATATTTATTTCCCCCTCTCTCATATATATATATATATATATGAGAGAGAGAGAGAGAGAGAGAAAATAAGATAAAATACATCCATCTTACGTGAGACAAGAATTAAAGATAAAAAAAAACCTGTTGCTCATTGTTATCAAAAGAGATATACAATTATAGCGTTCCTATATAGATTAATAAGAAAAAAAAACAAGTTGACGTCAATTACATAAATATGCAATTGAAAACGTATGAAAGTATAATGTAGTTAATTTGATATATTTTAAATTTCCGAGTAATTAAATTACTCGTACGCTAAGATCTTGATAGTCTTACGAAGTAAATAGAACTAACACTTCATCTTTGTAACATGCTTGCAAAGTGCAAGCAGGGTACAATGAAGAATACCAGACAAGGCATTTTATAATGATCAGAGAGTCTCTATACACAAGCTCTGGGTGCTTTTGGCTCTCCCGACAATATGAGCTATTCATTCCAATCAGCACATCCTCATTGCACTCATGGATGATTCTCATTACTCGGTCCTATTGTTTCGGGAATTTAAACTTACGATAGTTGACACTTTGCACTATAATTTTGCACTTACGCTTCCGTTAGACGTGCATAAAAATATGGCAGAAGTGGATCAATAAAACTAAGTGATAAAAAATAATAATTTAAAAAAAATACATTTGTCATCTTTGGTAAGTAAAAAAGAAACTACATAATTTTGTGAGAATCAGAAGGAAATAAATGATAATAAAGAAAATAAAATATGTTCGATACTACCTAAACGATTAAAGATCTATAATATTGTTAATTTAACTATAGTTCACTTTTCTTAATTGACATTTACACAGCATTCAAAATGTAATTTCGCTTTAAAAATCGTGTCAGTTTTTCGATTATACCTGAAAAAAAATTGGATAGCGAGGGATATAATCAATTCGGAATGGTATCTTCGCCCAATTAAAAATATCTTTACTTTATTTATACATATGTTAAAAAAAACAGGTAAAAGGTACGAGAAAGGACATTTCAATGTACATATTTAAAGAAAAATAACGTGTGTGCACCCGTGTATATCGATGTGATGCGTGCGTCGCGTAAGGATACAATTCGGGCGTCGTCTGCTGGCACTACTTTCTTGTCTGCCAGTCGGAGAGGAATCTCTCGAATAAAACGGATAATTTCTATACCTAAAATATATTGCATGTTGTATGGAATTGCCATTTCATTAATTATCAATATTATATAATATTGAATAAATTATTAATTATCTTCTATAATAAATTCCTATACTTGTTTGAGTAGACTAAATGCAAGTTTTGTTTAGTTTGTTTCATATTAATTCTAACCTATTGCAATGGCAATTCAAACAGAAAATTCAATATTAATTTTTGTATTTCTGATATGAAACGAATTTGTTTGCTTCATTTTCACTTGAATAATGGCACATACTTAATCGATAATTCATGAATACAGTTCGAAGCTTGTTTTACATATATATATATATATGTATCGGTCATTCTTTATTGTTCTTTGACGAAGCAATTAACTATCAATGCGAAAGAAACCATTTTTCTTTGATGTATCTACGTTAGTGACTCACGATACAAAGGCATATCCCTCAAACTTCATATCCTTTTATCGTATCGAATTAATTTCCACGCGCAACTCTCTTTCATTTCAATTATACTTTCCATTTGAGAAGTGTTCATTTAATCCGGAATCCATTTAACGGAATAATTAATTGAAATCGCGCGATTCTATGTTCAACGATATATTCAAATTATTTGTGTAATTGATTGTATATCATTTAATTTTATTAATTTTAATTATCTTCGTATTTACATTTATGTGATTATTGACATTAATTATTTCGTGCGGAACAAGTTGTTCCTACTTGAATATTACAAAATAATGCGATTATTTATAGAAAATGATAGATATAATAATCAGACGCAATACTACATTTCTTTATCATTGTTGATACCATGACTAATAAAAATTGAAAAAGTTTGCATTTTTTGTTTTTATTTGCATGCGACATTACAATGGTATAATTATAATCGTCTACACGAATGATCGTCAAAGTAGAATGAATTATACCATTCTACGTACGAGATCCATAAATTAATACGAAATCGAAGAGCTTATCTAATAAAATAAAATTCAATTAACAATCTGATCAACTGAAGATCGTTTCTCTAAACACAGTTCAATCTGGTCAACTTGCTACCCTTTTTTTTCGTGATTTTCTACGGAGAACGGGGTGTTCACCTTGCAGACGACGTGTTGTTAAAAAGGATGCGTGACAAGCGTCGAATCGATCGATTCGAAAATCGTAGTCGAAGATGCGTGGGTTAATGCAAATTTACCAGGGGAGGGGAACTATTTTTTAACCGCGAACACACCAATGTTCCACGACTCACGGCACCTGTCGTACTATGCGCGACGTAGTTCAACGCAGCGGCGAACGGTGGGACGCGAAGCGGCTCTCGCGATTGGTTGATGGCGAGGGGCGCGCGGTTGCTAAGCAACGGCAACACCGCGCGCGTCACCGGCCGGCGTAGCCGGTACCAAACGCTTCCCTGCCACTGTGGCGGAAAATTACGCAGAACAACGCAGGCTCTCGTCGGGTGTAAACGTGCTTGGCGGTCTTGAACAACGCGATAAAGATAGAAGACCACTTGTCGAAGCTTCTTTCAATTCTTTCTTGTTCCTGTCTCTTTTATCATTGTTGCTAATCGCCGATACAGGGAGAGACTCAAGAACCCTTCTCGTGGTCTCGTTCTATTCGAAAGTTACGCGCTTGCAGCGAGAGCGAGAACAAAGGACGAAGCGTATTTATCGGAGCGACAAAGTTTTCTACGTTTGAAGTAAATAAAGGGGAAGATGGCAGAGGACAAGAACGAGACCAGCCCGAGCGCCGAGGGTGAAAAGCCGCCGCAGGAAGCGACGCCGTCAAAGCAGGAAAAAGAGGAGCCGAAGGAAAGCAAGGAAGAGGAGAAGAAAGTCGAGGAGAATGGCGATGGTGAGAAACCGAAAGAGAACGGCGAGGAGAAACCCACGCCAGAGCCGAAGGACATGCGGGCCATAGTACTGAATGGTTTCGGCGGACTAAAAAGTGTCAAGGCTCTGAAGAAGCCTGAGCCCACCCTCGCCGAAGGAGAGGTCCTTATCCGCGTCAAAGCATGGTAAGTTCCATTCTGATTTGTATGCACGTACCTTCCTATCGTCCGTTACGTTATTTGTTAGCGATTGATCGAATAGTTTAACAGACGATTGAACAGCTTAACGACTCAACGCCCAACGTGAATCTCTGTACAGTAACATTCTGCTAATTGGCACTTTATCTGGCTGCTCGTCGTTCAAATCCGGAATATTTTTTTTATTTAACTGTAATTATAATGATACCTGATACATTTGTTTGTTTTACACACGTAATGTCTTGCCTCAAAGAATCAATTCTGAAAATTGGTGAAGATACTGATGATCAAAACTAACAATATTCTGGTTAGTTGACGCGGCATATAGGATTTGCAATAAAACATTAACTCACTGATCAATACTCGAATTACTAAATTGTCAGAAATAACCAATTTTCAATTTTTATAAAATCAGTGGTGCCTGTTTGAGTATTTGAATGATTTCTTGTAAAGTACATGGCAGAAAAGATTTGATTTTGATTATGCATTTTCTCATACACTTTTGATTTTGATGTGTTTGCCAAAAATCTTATATGTTAATTAGTCAGTGTTAAATCCAATCAAGTTGTATCAGCAATCTTTTCTTTTCTTTACTCTATCAATATCTTTAAACTCATATGAATCAAATGAAAAGGTAGAGGAAGTTTACTAACGAAATCAAACGACATTTTGATAACGTCTCTTACACTGTTTGAATATAAAGCAGTTGAAGACCGTTGAATATGGTTGGTTTTACCAATCGGAGATCCGTATTAATTGTTTTTTCTTCTATTAATAGTCGATACAGTTTCTGAACAAGCCTAAAGTTTATAATTCACGATATATGACGTGCAGATGCAACACACGGTGTGTTTCGATCATTTGTTATTCATTACAAAGATGTGAAATTCTTCCCAGATGGGAAGAAAATAGAAAATGCATTGCTATGGCTCCGATCTCTCAGCGAACAGACCGTTACAATACCACTGCGTCTTTGAAATTTAAGGCGTGGTATCTGCTCCCCGAGACGCCGGTAATTAGAATTTCATTGCTACGCTACGAAGCGGACGAGTAATTTTATAACGGATGCAGAGGAATTCTAACAAAAAACATTGAACGCGTTCACGTTTCATTCGTTCAGCTTGAAATTTTATTCTAAGAATTTCTCGATACGAGATCTGTTTGATGTTACAATCAATTTCCGTTCCTTGCTATCAATACTAGCTAAATTTTATTCAATAGTTTATGCAATATGTTATTTTGCATTTATTAAACACAAATGGAAGATTTGGAGAATTTGAAAAATATGTTAATTCTAGGGGGGAAATTTTTTCCCTTTTCAATTTTTTAATTACAATATATTTTCTGTTATCTTCAGTTTGAAAAAGTAAAACATAAAGAAGCAATGTACATAAGTACATTCATCAAAGCATCGGAAAATGCTTTGCAGTAAAAAAATTATTCGCTGTCGTCGTGATAAAAAGGTATTAGTAGAATTCGTCAAAACGCGATACAATCTGCGCGCTGCTAAACAACCGGCTACATTTATAGAATAGTTATCCGTGTGTTTAATGTCTGCGTATGTGTTCGCAGTACGCAAAACCGAGTTTGATAAGCCGTTTAACTACATCCAACTTTGTTCAGTATCCGTGAGTACAGTTCTGTCTCGTTCATCTATTTTTTACAATTTTGATCGTACAGACGCACACACGCATACATATAGGTATATATATTTCGACATATATTCATATATGTATGAAAGTTAATCGAATAGAGTTAAAATTACGATTATGGCTATATACATATTGCATCGGAAGTAGCCAGGCTTTGGCAAACCGCGCCTGATCCATTAATTCAAACATGATAAAAAAGTTTATTAGATAGACAACCATGTTCTTAATACATGTACTTGCACCATACAATTTTACAACATTTATTTTATGCGTGGCGTTTAAATCTGTTTAATAAGAACAACATTAAAATTCAAAATATTTCAACAATTATTTTGTTTAATTTTTCTGTAATGATCATTTTTCTAACTAATACCGTTCATATAGACGGATTAAAATTATAAAGATCGAAGATAAATTTTAATACTCTGCTATATTTTTATAATAATTTTCACTCTTATTTTTTTTCTTTTTTACATTCTTCGTGTTCACGTCAACGTAGCGTTACAAATGGCGTGCGGATATTACGAATAATTCGCAGACGATTAACTACCGGTATCTCTCGTATCTTATAATGTATGCAGTAAGGTATTTCACTTTCTTTTACTGCTATAAAAAAAAAAGAAAGATATTTTACATCGAGTGTTTTCAAAGAATTCCTTGTATTTTTCTCTTTCTTTCAATTATACAAAGTAAGCAGTGATTTCGTTTGCGGAACTTCGTTTTTAGAAAGCACCGTGAAGTCGTGAAATTCGCACGGCCACTTGCACAGGACTCTCACTAATGATCGCGTGTGGATGTACAGTATATATATTCGACACACATATGCGTAAATTTTTTGATGTTTACGCATAGTAATCTCACTAAGCCATTTATTACTATGTACATATTCTGTTCTTTATTACTATGTGCAAAGCTCTGTTTTTATTAGTTAACCATTTGCGCTGGCAACTGATTGCGGACCATAATGAGTGACCAAACCGTATACAATAATTCGTCGCTTTCTTTTTGAACTCGTCGGTATGATATCATTGGATAGAAATTACTGAGAAGTAATAAATTTATTATTTGTTTTGTCTGGGTTATACTTAAATATACTTAAAACTGAGAAAATATTGCAATTTTGGGACAAAAAATTCTCGACGTGCGTGGCACGTCATTCCAGCGCAAGAGGTTAATACGACTATTTTTCGTAAAGCAATGATGTCGATTATTAATCAATTGTTGTCGATATTTGTTCTTCTGTTTATGTTTCTGGCTGTCTATGTTTCTCTGATTCAAAGTGACATTGATATGCTTCTGCACCATGGTAACGAGGACAATGGTGTAGGGCAGAGAACTGCTAAGCTGTGAAACACACTGTTCTAAACCAGTGAAAGTTGGGTTAGGTTTTCAAAATTCTTAATCATAAAGGAAAAAAAAAAACAGTCCCGGTTATATACGGCTCTTTTTTCTTAGTAGTAGACAGCTCTAGTCCAAAGAACCTTTATTTTTCTCTTTTTCTTTTTTTTTTCTTTTTTTTCTCTCTCGAAGTGACCGTAGTGTGTAACGTGACAAAGGAAAAGAGAGTAAGTTAGAGAAGGATGGTAAATACAGGGGAGAATCGGATTCGCCAAAGGCGTGCGGACCTTTTCACGCGTGAGTCACGTTTCATAAAAGCGATTGGGATTGATGAGAAAATAGCCCCTATAGAAAGATATCACGCTGCCAATGCTGGCTCGAATGAATTTGTCTGCACAACTACAGACGTTCGTTACACGCTGCTGCTGGCACCCCTGCGTGTGCGCGCGACGCGCCCACAGAAGAGTGTGTCTCGCTTGAAATCGTTGGGAGAGAAATCCGGGCCACTCTAGATAATTCGATTGTCCTTAGAAAATGTTTGCCAGTGAGCATCATTGTATCGAAAGTGCTCCTAATTATCTCTTAATGAGTAAATAGATACTTTTTTTTTTTGGCAGGAAGTAACGAGAATTTATATTTATATTCAATATAATAGAGCAGTAAACGACATGAAACATTTGGCTAACGAAAAAAGAATTAAATTCTCATTTTTGTTGAAACTAAAAGAAACATTTTTCGATAAAAATCTTATCTTGGAACACGTGTTAAGAAAAATTAGGAGAAAAGAAGACCAAGGTAATTTGAAAGGGGCGGAAAGTTCGAGCTGTTCGTCAAAGTTGGCATCCCTGCATAGAGAAACATCGCGCTTCTAGCGCGTAGACAGACATATTAGTGATTCAGACTGTGGACAATTCAACTCTCATTTGAAAATTTCCAATCTCCGCAAGCGCCAATGATCGTTAGCTAGCAACTAACCAGAGGAATTGAAATGGCGTATTTGTTGCGATATAACGATTGTTTGTTGTGAACAGCGTGATTTCTTTAAATGCTGGTACAAAAGTAAATGGCTATTGAAGAATGAATGAACTAATAGATATATATCCAATATTTAAATAATACTTTAAAATGTTGCAAATTATGTGTTTTTTTTTCTTTTATTTTCAGAAACAAAATTTGCGTAGTTTTGTAATATTTAATTTTCCAGAAATAATTTATATGTAAGTGGTTCATTAAATACGGGAAGAGTATAGAAACTGGACAGGGTACCCTTCTCGAGACAAAATGAACAATTTTACTTTTTATCTTTCCATTCTGTTCTATTTTCTTTTATTTCTTTCAGTCACAAATGATAATGTACTTAAAAGAAAAATTTATGGAGTCATGAAAGGTCAATTTGAGAGGGATTCTAAGAAGTCGATAAATTTTATGACCACCTTCTCTGTAAATTGTATACTAAAAGAACCATAAATATATCTCCAAGATTGTAGATAATGAGAAATTATCGTATACTATTTACAGATATTATCTGCCGCCACAAAGTCGGGAAATGACCGATCATTAGTTTATTAGCTGTAACTCCTAGTAATTCTTATGGTGACAGTTTAAGCTTGGGTATTTTTCAATTTTGTACTCAAAGTATTGTACTCGATTCTCACAAACACATTGTCCACAGTCAAGAATGTAAATATAAACACAGAGTAACAAATATTATTCAGTCTCAAAGTAACGAATTTCTATACAATACTGTTGTTACAGACTTGTGTATAACTACAATTCTAAAAACAATTGAAAAAATGAATATTAAAATTTAGATAGGAAACGGTTTTTAGACACCTTATGTGATGATTTTATTAACGTTGAAGTAATTAATATCATTTTAGATATTAGTTTGCAGTGAATTATTAGTTTAAACTAAATTTAACTTGTAGCCATTTAAAATTGTACGTTTCCTGCTTTTCATGTTTCGAAAGTTCTACTGTTTTGAATAGTTTCGCTATT